GCAACTTCATTTTACTGCAGGCCTGTTTGGTACATGATTTTAACATCAGAATCAGGTGTGCAAAAGAGTGATAAACATTCAGTCCTAGTTCATAAATCTAACCAGTTTCAAACGGTGCCTAAAACCAGTCCACGAACCATTACTGTCCAGTAGACTGTTACTACAGACAGGGTGTTGACAGTGACTCTGTTGTTTTAGCTGACGGTGAAAGTTTGGGCAACACCCACCCCTCACTGCAGCTCTCCAGCTGAGCATTCATTCATCACTAATGTCTGTTTCAAGAGGATTTAGTTGGTTACCTGCTGCGAAGTGCAGAGGAGTCGATTTGCGTCCTGCCATGTCTTTTGCATTCACATTCACAGCATCCACTAGTTTCTTGACCCTCGACACATCTCCATTTCGACAGGCTTCGAACAGCTCCCTGAAAGCTCCGTGAGCTCCGCTGCCGCTACCGCCACTGCTGCTGCTGCTGCTGCCAAGGTTACCGCTGCCCGAGTCGGGCGTGGAGCCAGGGCTGGTTCCGCTACTCTCGGTGGTGGTCGGGGAGCTAGCACTGCTGCTAGTGCTGCTGCTGCTGGCAGTGAGGGCCAGAGCTGGGGAGGTGCTGGTGGGAGAGGCAGGGGCTACTTCACCGTCATCCGCGTTCTCTAGCGGGGAAAGCGGGGTGGCATCGTCAGAGGGTGCCGGCGGAGAGCCAGGCGGGGTGATCGGGAAAGGAGAGCCGCGGGGCGGGGAGACTAACAGAGGGTTCGGCTGCTGCTGCTGAGAGGAGCGACGAGGCGTCGCCATTTTCACAACACAGCAGTCCCCACTAGCAACAAAAACACTGCTGACAATTTCCTGCCAAGGACAGTCTAACTTCCGCTCAGACATGCTGGCTTTCATGTCAAAAGTGTCAAAGCTTGACGACCCAGGTGTCAAACTCAAGGCCCGGGGGCCAAATCTGGGCCGTGGAACAAACATATCTGTCCCACAAGATCATCTCATATTTGTATTATTATTGGCCCACCAGTATGAAGTCTGCAGATTTCCTCCAGTATGATAATGTAAACTTTAGCACTATTATTTAAAATGTCCTTAATCAGCCACGAATCTGGGAAATTAAAGAGTAAGGAAGATTTGATAAACAGTCAAGAATGTGGATGAAAAGTATTTGGTGTTTTATTTCATGTTTTCACTTTTGCATGTCAAGATTACAAGTCAGCCTGCCAGGTTATAATGTGGTGTCCTGCCAGTTTAGGGAAGCCAAGTTATAAAATAGACATGTTATTTTGGTGCACACCTCAGATTTATTCCCATGTTATTAGTCCTTCGAGTTTTATTATGTGACTTTTTCCCTTCCTGACAAGGTTGTTGATTCATATCGTATTTTTGTAACACAAATAATTAATATCAAATCAGTTAATATAGAGATATAGCTTTAAATAGGATGCACAATTTATGTTTGTTTGAGTAAAGCGTTAAAAACAGAATATTTTTGGATGTGTGTTTAAGTGTGGAGGAGTTGGGTGATGACAGCTGGCTCAGATGAACACTGTCGCCACCCAGTGGATACCTTTGGTAATGTCTACTGAATCCAATAGCTGCAGAACTCTCAGTGCAAAATCTGTGAAAGCACTTAAAACGTATGTTATAACATCCTTTTTAAAGCTGTTATAGCCAGCATCAGTCATGAGCAACATCACAAACTTTGAGTGTATTCGGCTTTTGAAAGTTCTGAAATTTTGTACATAATTACTTCAACATTCATCCAGGAACAGAAAAAACACAAACTTTATAACAAAACGCTGGAAAGTATGTGTCTCAAAAGCGGTGTATGGTACTCTCAGATATTATTTTTCTTCGGTTGTGTTTGTGTAGTTTTAAAAAAATAAAAGCTTCATTATTTGTACAAACACACAAAAAAGGAGGTTCAAGATATCATGTATGGCTGTGATTTGTGACAGGTCTTTGGTATAGTAGGTTTATTGTTGAAGTTACATTAAATGGCCACTAGATAGTAGCAGATATCCTGCATACTGTAGCAGCTTGGTAAGGTGTTTACAAAGGAGCTTTGCCTTTCTCCTTCCCATTTCTTAAGGTAGTCCTGATCTAACACCCTCTTATGCTGATGTATGTGAATTAAAAACCTAGTCAATGTGAGTTCTCAGTGTGTGCTATGTATCCTCAAAAATAAAGACGTACCATCCTCTACTTTTTGATTCAAATTGGACAAACTCTGTTTAAATACTCTATCACCCCTTCTTACTCATGTGGCCACCTTTTTTTTCTTTCATCACATTTGCAGTACTTTTGTATTTGTGTGCTTTTCTTAAACTGACAACAATTCTTATGAACTTCTGCAGAATGTAAATACTTTGCACACGTTTTACTCAAGCTGATAAGAAGGAACTGAGAGATGAAGACTGTCAGTGGTACACGTGTCACTGCCAAGTTCTCTGTTTCCAAGATTCACATAAAAAAAACAAAGCCTCATAAATAAATATGCAATAGTTTACTGTAATTTGCAAAGAGACATGCTGTGTCAAATTTTTAAAATACGCATTTCAGAGTTGTGCCAAATCCTTTTGACCCTGAGAAATAAAAACTGCCAGAATAAAGATGCAGCTGGAAGGATACATAATTTGAAATAAAAGATTCAAATTCGGACTTGAAAGGCACCCCTGTGGACAGAAAGGAACCCTTTTTATCAATGCTGAACTGTCCTACACGTGTGTAAGTTAATTTATTTTAACAAAGACTCTCATTCTGCTGAATTTCAACACTCGACAGAAAATCTTTGTCACTGAGCAAGTGATAAAAACTGCAATTTTGATCATGTGTAATCGGTCAATTTGACTGAAAACCGCTGGTTTTATACATTACAGATAGCTTAAACAGATGTAAATACTCACTCTAGTCTCGATGGTCTTGTTTGTTTTTGTATGTTATAAAGAGGTACAAGTACTGGTAGTATTGGCAGTCTGTGTCACAACCAGGTAAAAACTCAGAACCATAACTTTTACTGAGCAAAATATGATACGATGTAGAATAATCTGTAACAAATAAAGGTGGTGTCAAAGACTGAGGACATTTTATAGCTTTCCAAAAATATTAAACAATAGAATAATAGAAATTTTACTTTAAAGCAAACTGAAATACAGGTGTGTGCTTCTAAAACCATTATCTGTGCTTGAAGACCAAACAACTTAACTGATAAGCCACACGAAGGCCATGATTGAGCTCCTAAGCCATCGCAGACACTTACTGTTCATGAGGCTTAGGTCACTGATAGATTCAGCTTTTGCACCTCAAAACAAGAGAAGACTAAAGTACCAGGAAAAGTACTTCTAATAGAAATACTGGGGAGTGGTAGTATCAATACTGATCTGGAAATTCACTGCATTTCCCAACAGATACCTCATGTAGCCTTCATGTATGTTCAAGACATCCACAATAAAGTAAGGACGTGACAGCTAATCACAAAACAACTACAACTAGAACAATGACTCAGCGTGTGGAAGTGATGGTGTCAGAGGACCAGTATGCAAAGCTCTGTCTGGTCGGTTGGTTGACATACCTCTCATACTTCCTGCAACCGCATTCTGTGTTTGAAAGATCTCTGAACAAAAGCAAAAAAGATTTCAACGGCTCTCAGCACATGACACATAGTCTAAATTTATACCATCAATAGATGCAAGATTCCCATGTTACATTTGACACAGTTTGAGAAAATTGGTCATTATGTTTAAAGCTCAAGTTTAGGAGAGGCCCACTGAGACAAATTCAAAAGGATGTTGGTTACTCATGTTTATAATAATTAATTTCATGACAGAATGAAAAAGTTTTGGCTGTAAAAGTAGTGCAAGGTCCCACTCTCACCTTTCCCTAGAGGCCTGTGCACAATAATGTCATGCAGGCTGTTAAATTAGTACAAATGTCAGTCTCTTGAGAGACACTGTTTGCATTTTGGAGTAATGCACTTTATTTGGGTTGTCACATTGTTTTGAGGAGCACGTTTCTATAAGAGCTGGGGGGGAGTCAGAAAGACAGAAAAAGAAAGAAAGATGAGATACAAAAAACATATGCACATGACTGAAAGAGACTGAAAGAGACTGAAAGGACAAAGTGGTGGAAAGGTATTTAGGCTGTTGACTGGAGAGTCCTGCAGTGCTGCATTCTTACTTGAAACAGTTCTCACACACCCATGATGGCAGTTTCCAAACCAGAGCCACCAGCTGATTCAGATGTGTTCCACTAAACATGATCACCTGCAAATACATTTTAAGACGCTTCTCTAATATCCTTATTTTCAGAAACAGATGGATTCTTAATCTTGATCTAACTGAAATTGACAATGATGCTCTGTTAATACATTGCTAGAAATGATTGATTTCATGTTTTCATAGAGTCATAGGGTGAAGAAACAGCAATGAGTTGCCGCCGGAAATCTTCAACTGAGTATGTATTTTAGTCAATATAGTTTTTGAAGCACATTCAAAATAAGACACACTTATAACTTAATTCCACGCAATATTAATACAGTCAAAGCAGGGTTTTTTTTTTGGTATTTAGGGCAAAATACCTTGATCCCAGTTTCAAACGTCTATGAAACATTGAGACATTGGATGTTATCATAAGTAGGTGGGATTGATTTATCATTTAATAACAGAACAGCCTGATGCTGCTGTTGTATTTCACTGAAACCCTCTTGATCTCTCCCTAGTTCTTTACTTTTGAGTTCTTTATTATGATAAAAACCAAGTCGAAACTCCCATCAGAAGCAGTACGTGGGAGATGTAAAAGCAGCTGGAGCGCCACACCTGTCCCGTGCGGTGACTAGAGGCAGACAGGTAGCCCGAGGCCCCGCCCTCTGCCAGGTTTCAGTCAGACTTGTTTTTAAGGGCAGCTGTTGCCATCAAAACTCAGATACTCCTCTCTTATTGACTACACTGACCTCAGGAGTACGAACACACACGTCGTCAACAACAACAACAACATCAACCGAAGAGGAAGACATCATGCCGCGATCAACGCAGGAGTGGATCCGGTTATCCCTCCGCACCCCGGGCATCCTCATCTTCGGATTGGTCATGGCGCCCTGTGGATGGGTTCTGGACCTGACTGCCACAGTGGCCCCAAACTGGAGGACCCTTCACAACATCCCCAACCGTCCATCTGATGAATTCATCCAGCAAGGAATCTGGGACATCTGCAGGGCAACATCCACTAACACGAGAGCGGAGTGCAACCTGCTGGACACTACCTATTTTAACAACGAGATCATCCAGCCGGCACAAGGTTTGATGGTCGCCTCCCTCATCGTGACTCTGATCGGGCTGGCTGTGGCAATCCCGGGGGTCCGCTGCTGGAGAGACCGTCCGAACTGGACCGTGGCTGGTCTGGGTGGACTGTTGATTTTCCTCTCGGGCGTCATGACCATTATTCCCATCGCCTGGTACACCCATAATCTCACCGACATCGCAACGGTGACCCCGGTCATTGATGTGCGCGTGGGTTACTGCATCATCCTGGGTTACATCGGCGGGATATTTGAAGTCCTGGGTGGGTTCGTCATGTTCATTGGCATCTGCCGTTGCTGCGGAGGTAAGAACCGAGGGGAGGTACGCGTCGATGAGGTCGAAGCCAACCGGTTCAGCCGCCAGAAGCCACCTCCGAGACGGGTTGAGGTGCCGAGCCTGAGCCGGGCCCGGAGCAACGCCAGCAGCGTGCCGTACACCAAAGACTCCTTGGACGATGATGTGTCTTTCCCCCGGGCCAAGAGCCCCGCAGCTCGGTCAGTCAACACCTCGTACGGCGGCAGGCCCTATGATGCTGACCTATGAGCACCGTGAGATCCACACCTGGAGACACAAGGAGCAAAGGAAGAGAAAACAACTTGATGGTGGAGAAGTTTATCTGTGAAAAGGACTGAGAGTGGAAAATCTTATAGAGAGAAACAATGGTAATCAAGCTTGTATATGACCTAACAAAATTACTAATCCAGTCCAGTGTGTATCTGCCCAATTTGAGTATTGAAGTGAATGAAAATAGTAATGCCATAAAGTACTTTAAGAACCATACAGTCATTGCTAAGTGGTGTAGAATTATGAAGAGGCCTTAAAGTTATGTGTAAGAACTGTCCTGTGGTACCAAGTATTACAAAATTACAGCAAAAAGTCTACAAAGTGGAGCAGAATCACTTAACAAATCACTCCAGTGTGAGTGATACTGTACTTTGTATGGTGGGTATACACTTGTTAGGTGATGATGTAGAAGTGACGGATCTCTACCTGCAGATGAGACTCCTGAGAGGTGATGCTGGGATTTGATTAATGCACTCATCATTATTATCTGTAACAGGTGTATAACTACAGTAGGAGAAGTAGTGTCAAATGGATGAGATAAATAAGAGGGAAATGGAACAAAATTTTAAAAATGGAAGAATCCTGTGTTGTATGAACAATGAAGAAAATGATGTGAAGTTGAAGTTTACAGAGGCTGTCTTAGATTCTGCAAAATGATGCAGAACTTTGTAAATATACTCACCTTTATAGAAACCCCTTTTTTAGTTCCTTTGTGTATATTGGCTTATGCATATGCAATCCTCATTTTCTCAGTCTTTGTACATACTGTATTGTCATGCACTTTTCCCAGCCTTTGCTCTGTAGCACAATAGTGAAAAAAAAGCCTGCTGATATGATCTATTTTTTTTATTTGCTCTGCTGTCTATTAAATGTGCTTTGTGTTCCTTATAACAACAACTGAGTCTCTTTCCTTTACTGATCTCTAAAAGTTTCATCACCTGTTTAAAGCCTCAGTTTTCTGCTGCGCCATTGCAAAGTCATTATGGACTCTGTTCAAACAAATACAAACAGGCTGCATTTTACAGTGATATATTTTTCTTTCTTTGTTGCCCTGTCTGCTCACTCTAAGCTTTATAAGAATACAGACAATGCAGCCTGACCGGTCTCAGAGGTTGGTTTCTTTACAGATCTTGTCTGACAACATTACCTCTTCTGTTTAAACTGGTTAAACATCTCAAACAAGGCTCCACTGTACTGAACACTTGTTGCTTTATAGCTGCTGGCAACTCCTTAGTAGTAAAATTGGCCCTCCAGAGATCATTATGCACTTCACCTTGAAGGAGTGCAGGAAACAGTCAGTGAAAACTGGGTTAGATATAAAGTATGACACTTCCTAAAGATTATTTCAATGCTTAGACTGTACTTTTATAAATAAAGAGCTCCAGAGGTAAAATGTGCTAGATCTTTCACTCTTTACACAGAAACACTGCAACTTTACTTGTGTTAAAAATGACACAGGAAATGTTTTTTTTAACCACATAGAGATTGGAAATCTAGGCTATTGAGCAATTAGAGCATTTTTAAAACACCCGCGAAAAAAACAGTATTAAAAATGTCAAAAATCAGGACTTTGTCCCCTTAAAGCTCTGAAATGTTCAGATGATGAAAGTACCTGCAGAGAGTCATCATTTCAAAAACCCACTCTGCACTGAAAACTGAGACCCTGTTTTATTCTTCCTCAGCCTCCCATACTGCTAATACTGAATGTTTTATACAAAATAGTAAGTTTCACCCAGTCTGGAGGTCCATGGTTGCAGATTACATGTTTAGCCTCAGGTAAACTCTGGGCTCTGACACTCAATTTGTTAGACAAGAGTGAGTTAATCTTATAACAAATCAATACAATGTGAAACACATTTTGTTTTTTTAGCCTTATCCTTTGCCACATAAAATGCAATGACTCATGAAATACCGAGAAAGAGGTGTGGAAGACTGATCTATTTGGGGTGTGACCAAAGACACGGGCTGTCATTTTTAGTCTTAGTCTCCTGAGAGACTCTTTCCTGAGCCCATTCATACACAAAACGCAACACAAAGATAAGCTAAAGATTGAATTTGTCTTGATTTTCAACCCTTTGTGCTCAAACCAGATACACTCTCACCTGCTTATATCAGCACTATTTTTTAATCTGTTGCCTGCTTTGGGTCATAAATGAAAACAATCAGCTGTAACTGTTAGAGATTCAAAATGTCAGTTCTTCTTCACTCTTTACAACCTCATGTTGAGGTCACAAACTATTTTTATACCAAAATAAATCTTAATACAAGCAAAAGGAAAGTTTGACTGTTTTCTGGATAATCCAGCAATTTAACTACTGAAACAAATACAACCAAAGTGAAGTGAAATATCAGTTGGCTTGCAGGATTTTCATTTCTTCATTATTATTATTATTCTTTTTGGCAATAGCTCCAGGCTCTCAGTGGTTTTTAGTTTTTTGTTTTGGTCTTCCACGCGTCTGAAGTTGTAACTCATTTTTAAAGTTAGATAAGATTTTGTTTATGTTAGAGATCTAAAAGTGTCATCTGCACAGGAAAATGTAACACAAAGATGAGAAAACATCCGTTAAAGTTAGATTTTAGTGGTGTGTGCCGGTCACTTTGTTTTAAATGTATTGGTTGTATTTTTTAAAAGTAAACTTTCTTCCGCTTCATTTTAATTTGTCAACTCATCCCTCATTGTGAAACTTGTCCTGAGTGAACGTCGACACTGGCTTTTATGATGTGCGTGCTGTAAATCACATCACTGGAATCCAGCCTGGTGGCAGCAGTGACAGGCATTGAAAATGATTAGAAAAATGTAGTGCACCTAGAAGCAGATGGTCTTCTTTGCTTTTGTGAGTCACAGAAAAGACTCTATTGGAGACTGAACAAAACTCTTATAGCAGGTTACAGTGGAGAGTCAGTTTGATATTCGAAGTCCATAAATCTCTGAGGGTCATATGAGAGTGAAGATGGTGTTTTTCAGAAATTATTGACCAAAGACTGATATATTTTTACTGCTTGTGATACTCAAAAGATGCAATCCTTTTGTACCCATAATGAAGCTCATAGCACAATAATGTCAAAAGTTTCCTGTGCATGTTTGCAAATCCAGCAGCAAACTGATAAATGCATTTAAAAAACACACCTCAGGCACACAACACACTTTGAAAACTCCAGCTTATTTTTGAAGGGTTTCAATCTGCTGCCTTGTCAAAACAAACATGTAAATCTGCTCACTATTAGGAAGGCAGGTGCTGACAAACCCTTGCTGCAGGTGTATCCTTGTTATTTTCTTAAATAACAAAGACTTTTCACTCATCAGCCTGCATGATGTCAGATCACTTTCATTTACGGATGAGTTTACCGACTTCTGAAGCAGTTAGACTGGGAGCAGTATGTTTTGGTGTATAAGACACACAAACTTTCAGTCTGTTTTAAATGTTAGTACACACTGACACCCTACAGGAGCTTCCAAGACACGCTTTACTACATCATGTTGAGGTCACAACCATTTTTATACCATCATAAATCCTAATAGTCTTAAATACTTAGGATAGCATGTGTAAACTTATCTAAACCACCTATTGATGATCAGGACAACTCTTTATGTTTTTACTGTAACAGTATTTATTGTGACAACTCACACAGAAATAAAGAAAAGTGAACATTAAAACAAAGATTTGAGGATGCTGTTCCTGTTTCCAGCAAACCCTCCAGTGTAACTGTCGTTCTGTCGGGAAACATGACCGGCTCGGCTCACCTTGAAGGAGGCCCATCTGGCAAACTGCTCCTCAGCCTTCAGCTTCCTCTTCTTATCTTTTTTCTCCCTGTACTCTTGGTACTTGTCCATCCAGAACTCAACCTTCAGTTTATCTGGAAGCCACTGCCTAGGCTCCTCTGGTTTGGGTCTCTGCTTCTCTGTTTTTTCCAAAGATGAGATAAAAGTTTCAGTTTTAAGTACAAGTACATATATATTTTGTAGCTATTAACTGATAAGCAAACATGATTCAGGATTTATATCAAACTTAAAGACTTAGCAGGTTTAGTATTTTAAAAGAATTTTTAAAAAGTGATATAAACCTTCAGACTTTGGAGCTGCCTTTGCAGTGAAAATGAGGTAGGTGGAGCTGTTGGGGTGGGGCAGCCTTTGACACACTCACTGACGGTCCTCAACACTCCAGGGGTTTCCTCTTGCCCTGCTATTCACATGCCTTCTTGTTAGAGGTCAGACGATCACGGCTGGCTTTGTTTTCCACGACTGGCTGGTTATTTATATGAAGCCTTTCTTGCTTCAGCAGGTCCTGGTCTGCTTTCTTAAGGGCCTGTAGTTCATGGGCCTTTCTCTCTTCTTCCTCTCTTTGTTTGGCCTCCTGCACCTTCCTCTCTTCCAGGTGTTTCTCTCTCAGTCTTCTTAGACTCTCTTCTCTCTTGAGCTTCTCCTTGGTCTCAAGGGCTTCTCTCTCTCTACGCTCCATCTCTAGAGCTTTTTTGGTTTTTGGCAGATTTGGCCCATAAACCAATCATCAGCTGGTTCCTGTACTATCAACATCCTCTCACATTTACGAACAAATGAGGCAACACATGTACAAAACCCAATTCCACTGAAGTTGGGAAATTGTGATGAACGTAAATAAAAACAGAAAACAATGATTTGCAAATCCTTTTCAACCTATAATCAATTGAATTCACTACAAAGACAAGATATTTAATGTTCAAACTCATAACGTTTATCTTTTTTTGCAAATAATAATTAACTCAGAATTTCAAACAAATACAGTGTAGAAACTAGTCTCTCATTTTGCATTATGCAGAAGTTTTTCTAAGACTTGAATCCCCTATTAAATATACATGTTTTAAGGTGCATGACACTGCATTGTCCCTCCCTTTTTGTCTGGGAATGACCCGCCCTCCAAGAAAATAGGCTTACATATAACATTTGATGAACAACAAAGATATAAATCAAAAAATAGACACTGGAGTCTATTTAAAGACTATAATAGTCCAAGTTAATTTACCTTCCAAGTCAAACGTTTCTGTGCCAAACTCATAAAACAGAAGAGGAATTTAAAAATGAAGCAGAACTGGAACTGTGGCAGTGAGCGCACATACCTGCTTCAGTTTCAGTGACTGACATGGTTTAGTCTCGACGATGGGGGATGGGAGAAGTGATAGTGGTAAGACATTCATTAAGCGTTGGTCAAAAATGCATTGTGTATTATGTTAAATGAATTTCATCCTACACTCATATCCACATTCAATGGTAAAAAGCTTTTCAAACCTCTTAAATAATTTCTTTGTCAAATAGTCATGAATCAGAAGTAGTTTGCAGATTATCTGGACATGTTTAATATCATACAGCAACACATGAGACTACAGACAATCGAATTTCCCTTCAGGGATCAATAAAGTTCTTCGTAACTTATCTTATCTTATCTTATGAACAGATTATGCCTAATTTTATCATACATAAATACAATAAAAACATGTCTATGAAAGGTGAGTAGTAAAGGTTATACATCTTGGTCGGTAATCAATAGTGTTACAAAAATAAAGTCATAAACATAGTAATTCAGTCAGCAGAGTGAAAAAAATATTACAATAATTCTGAACTTAGTCAGGATCATAGTTTGTTAAACAACTAGCTAGATGTGATTCTGAAGCATTGAAAGTGAGATATGTTCATAAAATACAGAGGCTTAGCTGTGGTTTACTTTATCTGTGAGATATCAATCTAAAACAAAGGATCCAAAGACAAAGGTTCAATAAAATAATGCACATAGACACAGTTAACATAAAACAAAGTGCACAGTGTTGTAGAATTAGAGTAAGGTAAGGGTTAAAAACATCTCCTGTGAACTTTAACATTAGTATCAACTCAGTACCTTCTCATTAGCAGTTTGTTAAGCTGTGGAAGCAGAGATCGTGATGCAGGGATAAAGTTGAATTAATGACTGTGAAAATGTGGTACATTTGGAGTGGGAGCCGATGAGATGTTTACTTGAAAAACTTTTGGTGTTCTTGGCCTTAAAAAGAGGAAATCACTTACACCACCCTTTCCTTATCTTTACTGTTACTTACCGACTGAAATGTTAAAGAGTATAGTTTGCTGATGAATGGAAACACTGGGCAAGAATAGAGAGAGGGATTTCCTCTTTTCAAGGCTTCACATCTTCTGCACCTTCATGAGAGAGTCAAATAGATTCAAAGAGCAGAAATAAAATGAACTCTAGGGAACTGTGTGACATCTAAATCGAAGTTACACACTATCCTTTTATTCTCGTATGAACTGTTGGAGTAGAAACTTCTGCTTTTTATATATGTAAAACAAGAAACGACTCCATTCAAAAGGGGAACCAATGAGTGCACATTTAGACTCAGTGTAGTGTAAGAGGAGTGCAACAATAGAAAGAGGCCTTTGCTTTCAGGAAATGTAAACATGGAGGAACATTTTGAGAGAGAGAACGGAGTGACCATCAGATCATATTTAGTGGATCATTTCATCCATTAAAGTCCGATCAATTCTGGATCAGCAAATTATCTCTACTAAAGTTCACATAGCCATACAAAGTCAACAAAATTCTGTAAATAACAATAATCCACACAGGATGCAAACATTCAAATCTTATCAATGAACTGGACTTGCATTGAAACAGTGAGATAGTGATGTATAAATGCACTGAACCAGAAATAAAAGAGTTTTTTGCTCTAAGCAGCAAACTGTGGCAGTAAAAAAGCTCATTCCACGATGTTTTTCACATCTACACCTTCTACGTAACATTTAACTTCAATCCTAAACAAAGATGATGTATTTGATCATGAGCCCAAAGTCTCAAAATCTAGCATTTCTGTGATCATACTGTCAGTTAGTTATCTGTTACCTGCTGTAGCGCTCTGTAATATATGCATCTATTCTCAGTGAACCGTCTTTGGGATAAACTATGAAGTTGTACTTTTCCATCGTCAACTAATAAAGAAAATATTAGAAGAAAGAAAGTTGTGTCACTTTAACTCCTCAGCCCAGTCCACTGGCTCAGTATTTGAGTTTCTGGAAGACAGCATCAGTCGTAGATTAGTGGTCAAAAGTCTGTAGATTAACCCTCCTTGATAGATGACAAACTGCCTTATGAGCCTGCTGCAGAAAGACGCTGATGGAGGTTGAGATGGAGGCTCACTGGTGTCACTGTTCACAGCTTCATGGCTGACCTGGATCTGAAAGAGAGTTATTTACATTTCTTTTACACATTTATACATCACCCACTGCTGCCAAAGCATGTGTGTGTTTGTTAAAGTAAATGAACAGTAGATCGATCTTTATTTTAACCCTACTTCCTCTGTTCACGATGACATTTGTGCAATGCAGAGGCTCCAGTTTGGCTAGCTGACTTTACTGCAGTGGAGTCTACTTTAAAATCTGAGAGTTTGAATAAGTTGTTTCCAGAGTTGATCAGTTTTTGACTTTTGTAAACAGTGTAGGTGGCACATGGAAGAATGAGTGGATTTTTCAGCTGTTACGTGGATTAACTCTTTTCTCTTAAAGAGCAGTAGTCATGTTTTCATGGGCAAAATTTCTTGATCTGATTAAAAATTTGAAGGATCAGATAATCTGAATCCACTGTTTGTTACAAAAACAAATAATCTGATCATGACATGCGTAAACATGCACCAAGCTTTATTCAGATTAGAAGTATTTGGACATGTGCAGAGTTGTCTAATTTCGCTAAAACAACAGCAGAGGAATAGTTGTATTTACGCCTGTGCTGTCAACAAACCAAAAAACACAGGAGTGTCTCACTCCATCCAATTCAGGACGTTCCCTCTGTTAAATGCTGTCACTAGATGGCGCCCTTGCTTATTTATTTTACTATTCTGTCAAAGGTTGAGCTGTGCGTGCAGATGTGACATCATTACGCTGTATTTACGCCTTGTTATGTTATCGGAGGAGCAGACACGGCACTACGATTGTGTTTTATGCCAGAGTGTTGATAATGAAACCTCCTGCACTGACCTCAATAAATAAGTCAAAGGATAAAGAGTGAAGACTGAGTCAGGTTAGAGAGTCATGATCGGTATAAGTGTTTGCATGGACACGTTTCGGAGCAACGATCGGCATAAACCACCCCTCTCGATCGAAAAACAATTTCTTTCCAAATGAGCCGAATTGGATCAGAATTTTCTGATCGACATGTTCTCTTGACGCATTTTTATTCCGATCGGTCCTTTATTCTGATTATTTGTGCCCATGTAAACGCAGCTCGTGACACACTCTCACACCAGTATAAACAATATGGTCATAGCCAAAGACTTTCCTGGGCTGTTTGTCAATAATTCAACATAATACAAAATCCAATCTGAGTACTAGGTCTAGGTACAAAACAATATGTAAAAAAGTATTTAGTCCCCAAAAAAGTCCTCTGAATACTTCAGAATATCAGCGCCACCTTTTCTGCAGAAAATCAGATATCTGCTCTTGAATCTGATTTTAAGATAACATGACAGTTTCCTGGAATAGAAAGTACTTGAATAGACACCTACCTCAGGTATCATGGAGATTCATCACACAGCGACATTGTAGCCATCCTCTACTTCCCTAATTTTCCTGTTGAAACACACAGAAGAGCTGATCTGTGAACTTGTCCTCATGTGTGCTATCACAGATATACATATTTAAACAAACAACTTCTTTTCAGTGTATATCTAGGACATTACATGCTCTTCTTCTCTTTTATTTTGCCAGCTCAGGGTGTTACTAAAGCTCATTTCTCTGTTAACTAAGATGACTGTCAGTGATCATGCTTTTATCAGTTTTCTTTTTGTAAACATGCAGATAAACCAGCTTTTTTCTGCACTTCCTGTTGAATTGAAAGACATTCCAGGTCACATGGGGGTCAAGAAGAGTTTATCATTTGTTTGTTCCCTTTTGTGGAAAAAGGAGTAGTAAGAAGTATGGATGCTGAAGTCGGGGCATGATGAGCATGGCTTAAGCAAACTTTTAACTTTAGGAGTGTTCACAAAAGAATTGGTGGACATAAATAATCTAAATAATCAATCAATAATCAACACATAGGAAAGCTCTCCTCCAGAAGACACAGCTGAAAAAGGAGTACCTGAGTTTTTTTTTTTGCCTCTGCCTCATCTTGGCGACGATGAAAGCCAGGATCAGCAGCCCGAGGATGACCGCCACCACACTCAGGGTCAGGGGCAAACTCAACGCTCCGTTGACTGTATCATCACAGAACTCCCCCCTGTAACCAAGTTCACACTCACACACCAGGGCAGTCCCCCCACCAGGAGGACTCACGCAGGTACCGTGGCCGTTGCACTGCGTCTCACCGCATGTGGGCAAGCTCAGGTCGATGCCTCTTGCTTGAGGAGGATTGAATGCAGTGGACATGTTTTGAGGAGTGAAGAGACGCTGGATAACTTGTGGTGAGGGTGATACCTTCAAGGAGAAAAGGAAAGGAGGGACAGCAAGGCATGAAAAGCAGCCACACCCTAAAACACAACAAAGACCAGACGCACAGAGCCTCTTTCTGTGGGAAAACTCAAATGGGTATTTTACAGCTGTTCTTTGAGGAGCTTTAAAGACTCAAAGTTTGACTGAAGATCTCTTAGAGGCAGTTAGTCTGAAGGGATTCATGTTTAGTTCTTACTTCACTGAATTTATCACTTTTTTGTCGAGGTACCAGAAATAACAATACATCGATGTAACTACTGCACTCTTATTGGACTCTTTTGGAGGGAAAATGACTTATCAAAACTAAATGAGGAATATTTATAGTTGAAGTGAAACTGTAGTTTTTTTCATGTGTAAAAATTATATTACACATAAATGAAATAACTCTTTCCTCTTCAACTTAACGCTGTGCAAAACAAACATAGTCAGATAAGATAAGATAAGATAAGAACTTTAAGATAGGAACTTTATTTATCCCTATATGTAGATAAAGTATGCATACTCTATAACAGAAAGACTTAAAGAGTTGTGAAGCATCATGTTAATGTTATAAAATACACATTTGTACCAGAGGGCCGTTTTTATTCCCTTTGGTGGAAATAGAAAATATGCAAATCAATGCTGGAAAAAGGATCTTCAGGGTATTTTTTAAAACTATATTCAGTACCTGTACAAACAAAATGGTATTTATAGCTGCTTTTTGTTATGAATTTTCCAGAACACAGAGTACACATAGTGCTGACTCAAAGCAGTGTAAGAAACAACTTGACGCATTAAATATCTCGCCTTAAGGCAAACCACAGTCTACTCTCTGTGTTCAGCCTCATGTTAGCAACACAAGGAAGAGGGTCCTCCTAGCAACTCCCATGGTTTCATCATCAACAGCGGTTCCCAGACACTGACTCAGAGTGTCTTCATGTTTTAACTTAAGCCCAGGACACAAAGGTGAGGTGAAATCACTTAAATTTAATCCCTGATCAAATAAAGAGCCTGCGGACCATCACTGTACACTTTTAGTGACATTATCAGTTGTGTATCAGTGGGGTGAATGATGTTTAGACACAATTTCTCCTCTAGAAACTTCAGTCACCTCATATATTGTGTGTTTTAGTTTTAAAGATCACTCTAAAGTCCAATCTTAATCACAGTGGACAAGCCAGCTCCTGAAAAATGACGAGAAGCTACACCTGAAATTAGAGGGGCAGCACTGACCATTACCTGAAGCTCTAAAACGTGGCTTCTTAACCAATAACGAAGCAGTAGTGGTTAAGTTATCCTACCCGAAGCATGTTGTCATTCAGGTTTCCTTCAACTATAGTGAGAGTGTGTCCAAGACTGGCTCCAGGGCAAGAATCCGGCAGAGCTAAACGACACAGGACAACTCTAAAAGATGTGAAATTAAAGATTTTTTTACTCACCGCAGCAAAGAATCAAGACCGAGCGTGTTAAAACACAGGCTGTGGAGCTGCAGGTTTAGTTGTAGGTGACTGTGTGATGTACTGCAGGTCCTCGGTCTTTGAAGAGTTTGAAGTTCCTCTTTTCAGTGAGGGAATCTACAACAAAAGAAGGGAGGGAAGAGGAAGAAAGGTGAGACCTGTGAATACCTGCCTGCTTTTTTCCAAGTAAACACACACACACACACACACACACACACACACACACACACACACACACGCACATACATACGCCGACAAAATCCCCTGCTCCTCCCTCTGCCTTGTCTTTGAAGGATTGAGTAACATACGCTGTCTTGCTTAAAACACACATCTCTGACGGCAATGAAGCAACTTTACATCTGTAAGATAAGTGCAAACTAATTTCAGGCTTCATCATAAGGCTGACAAAGGGTGACTCATTAAATTCAATTATCTGACATCCGTGGGAAAACTTTACTTCACGCATGCGACAGAGTCCCGTTGAATAAACACGATAAAATAAAGATTTAAACAAGTACAGAAACAAAAGTTAAGATTTCTTCTTATAAAATGTTTCATGATATTCTCACCTCTGTACTTCCTTTTTCCAGAGAATTAACATTATAAACAACACACAATCACACACACACAGCCTTACCCTGAGGACTATTAAAGTGAACACTGTGGGTGTGTTTGCCAGACAGGCGTGGGATGGAAGCAGGTGAGGGCAAGTAGTAACAGGACTCTGATAGTGGGGCTGGACAAAACTGATGTGCCTGTGTAACATGAGAGATTCAACACATACACATGTAATTGTCAGAGAATATTTCAGTATTTAGAGAGATGTGAGAACTTTTAAAGATGAAAGATTTTACCAAAAGTAGTTCAACCTAACAAGAGAGCTGGATTTGACACAGACCCGGACAAACATCACTGAGGAGTAAGAAAGAGGGGTCAGCTGAGGGAAGAGCTGGAGAGGGAGGCCAGGTGAGGGGGGGAGGAATGTCAAATAAGAAGAAGACTCAAGTTGAGTGTGAAGTGATGAACATTTATCAACAACCTAGAAGGCAAGGACGCTTACAACAAAATGTGAATCCACTGTTTTGTTTGCCCATTTCTACCAATCTGAATCCTTAGAAAATCAACTTTAGAGAAAGCAGAAAACTTAGAATTGGGAGACAAAGAAACACCCCCAGGAAACACAAGAGTCCAAACCCTCAGATTGTAAAAATGTTCGCTGATCTGATGAGTCTGGATTTCAGCTGCAACATTCAGATGGTGGGTCAGAATTTGGCGTCAACAACATGAAAGTATGGATCCATCATTCCTTGTATCAGTAGCTCAGCCTGCTGGTGGTCTAATGGTGGTGGTGGTGGTTCCTGGCACACTTTGGACTCTTAGTACCAACTGAGCATCATTTAAACTCCTCAGCCCACCTGGGTACTGTTGCCGACCATGTCCGTCTCTTTAGGACTGAAGTGTACTCATCATCTGAGGGCTTCTTCCAGCAGGATCACGCACAATGTCACAAAACTGAGATCATCTCAAACTGATTTCTTGAACATGAAAATGACTTCAGTGTTCTTCAGTGGACTTCCCACTCTGCAGACACTCAGCCCAACAGATCACCTTTGGGATGAGTTGCAAATTAGTCTGAGCTACAAACCTGATTGGATGGTGTCTACTTCGTACGACGACCACGCCAAATAACCAAGTAAATGAAAATGCAAACAGGACTCCAGTGTGTAAAATTGGGCATGTCTACCCTCAAGAGAAGCATGAACTGTCATTGTAAGAATGTTAGCATGCTGACATTTTGACACCCATGAGCCTACGAGTGGGTGTTGTTTTTGCTTAATAACTCCCACTAAGTCGAGACTAATCACAGCTATTGCCGTGTGGTTACTGCATTATGTCTGTGTTTGAGGTCTGTCCTCTTCCTTGTTGTGAAGTTTGTGTCCTCTGAATTACTATTTTCAGACTAATGCACCACGTCAGATCTACTGTAGCCGGCTCTCAAATACCCAAGAGGTTTAGGAGAATAACATAGTTTGGTTGTTTTGGTCAAAGTAATAAGATCAGAAATCAGGAGAACTGTAAAAATGTTGATTCTTTTTAAATGGGATGTTGTTTGGTGACGCTGTTGGAGACTGATTGGCCGACCAGAACGTGCAGAAAGAATAATGCAGACTATGTAATCGAGAAATAACCTGGAACCATAGAAGACATGGGATCACTTTCTTCATGTGCTTGTCTTAATGATAAAATGGTCAGGTGACTCACAATTTAGATTACACAGCCAGTAAACTATGATGACTTTAATTGGAATTTAAGAAGTTCAATTCCTCATAATGAACTTTCTCAAAGTTCAATTCCTCCCAGCAAAGGTCTGAACCTTTCACAATAACAAAACATTGATTTATAAAATATAACTTTATAGGATGTTACGAAGTGTGACAACCCAGCTCCTGAGGGGAAAAGGACGCAACATAAAACTCTGGTTCCATCATGTACTACTACTCGACTAAACAAATTAACACAACAAAAGTCAACTCTAAACTAGAGTGGAAAAAATTAAGCTTTCTGAAATTAGCTCGAAATTAGCTGTTAAAACCAAATGAGGGGTGAGCAGCTCCGTATCCCTTACAAGTGGTCAGCATTGGCTCGATTGGCCCATTAACCAATTAGCAGCTGGTTACTGTAGAATCAACATCCTCTCACGGTCACACACCCGGAGCGGGGGTGCGGCTGCGGTTTTAACATGAAGTAACTAAGTTTATTAAAATTAGTTAAGAGTTTTTATTTCCTACTTTTCAACGTGCAACTGGGGAAACTAGAAAAAGTTTGTGAGGCCTTGATCGGTCAAGAGTTTAGAAAAGGGCCACAGGGTGTAATCCATTCAGCATACATGTTGAAATATGCCTCATTAAATACTCAATCAGTGATAAATAAAACTGACAGCTGGTTTTAAATGTTTTATTGACAGAACTGTCAAACTAAAATAAGAAGTCTCTTGGTAGGACACCGCACCCCTTTTTTGTTGAACAATACCATCATGTCAACAGACGGGTCACTCCCTGCAGAAATTACAAACAAGTCTGGTTATCATAAATTTAACGCTGTGTTTTTGACATGTTTGCTTCCTTTGGCTCAAGTCAGTAAAAGGAGGAGTCAAATGAGTGTGCATGACTCCTGCTCCACTATGAAAACACACGTGTTGGTGCAGAAGATTTGAGAAGGAAATGTTATGTAAGGGCTAAGAGGAGCTTATCTCCATATTTGCTGTTTCTGAACCAAACCACATTCATCTATTTTCAAGAATAAACTACCTTTGTCAAGCAGAGGAGGACAAATGCTTATGTATTGTGTGACGCTACAATCAATAATAAAGTAGATATCTATCTGGCCTCATTTTCCAGGCCGTCTGCTTTGAGAGCAAAATAAATGCCATCACAAATAAAGCTGTAAAAACATGCTTGCACATGAACCAGTCACACATCTGTGTATTGAATTTGGCTGGCTGTCAGTCAAAAGTACACGAATCTAAGAGATCTCTAGATCTAATAAAACTTACGACAGACTAAATTCACTTTCAAGAGTGAAAATCTTGTTTTATTTTATTTTTTTAATAACTGTCTAACCCCTTCACCCATGTGCTTCTAACCTTCACAGACTCCATGAATTGATGCCCATCTCCTAAAGATTTGGTCACATGATCAATTTCTTTTACCATATCCAAGTAATAGGGTGGGTCAGACTGTTTTGAGGAAGCATTTTGTTGAAAATAGTGTCAAATCTCTGATGTTTTGAAGTACATACTGACTAAAGGAAATACACATATTTGTTTCTGATTAAAAACATTGAGCTTGACATTACGGTTTTCTCAAAGAACAGAAACACTAACTGCTTTAATTTATTTTAAGACAGACTATGACAAGATTTGATTGAAAATAACCATTATGTAAACACTGAAAAGTTTCAGCAAAACAGCAGCTTTAAGACCTACAGTAAGAAAAATCCCTGAATAAAAAAAAAAAAAAAAGAAAGGTGAGAAAAAATAAGACAGAAGGGCAGACTGAACTGAGAGAGTACACATGAGAAATCAATCTGCTTTTTCATAATGAGTGCTGACAACTGTAAATGTATGCATGTAAAAACTCTCTTGTTTGATGTTGGTTTGTTAGTCATGAATGTCCTCTTTAAAATCAAAAGTTCCTCAAAGTATTGAAAATAGTTCCTCTGAAAAACAACTTCTAACTCGATTCAAGATTAGCGTAGTTACCAAACTGAAATTATATCAAACTCTGAAAACCATCTTTTAAACAAAGCAGTGTGCAATGAACTTACTTTGATTTTTAACTTCATTACTTACAGTGAATTGAAAACTTCTGATCATGCCAAGAGATCATGTCACAGTATGTTGAGAGCAGCGTAAAATGATACCATGAAGGTTAATGTACTTTGTAAAAGAGGACACTTCTGTTTTGGGTTGTTTTACCACTTTTATTCACAGTCATGTTTGTCTTTAGCTCCAGTGTACACAACTTCTATTTGGGCTGCAGTGATTTTAAAGCTAGTGAGGGATACTTCACATCAACCTGGGAGTCCATCTCCTAAAAGGAGAGAAAAATGGTTTTACTTTGTAAAACTTTGCATTATGAGGACAGTTACTCTGAACATCTCTACAAGTAAAAATCTCTTCTCCTGTCAGTGATGTACGAATTACCTCAGAATCTGAATCCGAGTGTTCACATGGCAGGCCCATGTTTGCCATCAGGGTTTCTTTGTCCGTGGATCTGCTTCTGAAGGACCTCCAGCCTCTCCTGTGGAAAAGACATGAAATAAACCACTTTCTTTCATGGAGCCCCACTTACAGAGAGCAGAACAGTCAATCTGTGTTGATATCAAACAATGTGGCGAGATGCATTTTTAGCCGTTGTTAAATTTTGAAGTGCACAAGAAGAACAAACTTAGAGGATGTACCTTTTAGCATAAATAAAAGCTGCAGCCGTCAGTGCAGCGAAGAGGCAGAGGACACCCAGAGTCACACCCACTTTGCTGTGACCAGTCTCTGTCTCTTGACAGGACTCTCCTTTGTAACCAGACACACACTGACAGCGAGTGACTTTCCCTTCTGTAACACAGCTGCCGTGACCGTTGCAGCGTTGGATGTTGCAGGATGAGGAGTCTTTGTAAACCGAATGTACAGCGATTTTTGGGGTGTTTGGGTGAGAGCCGGAAGACTGGCGTGGGCGACCTTCACTGCCTTTTGTCCCGGTAGAGGCTGAACTTGTGTTTGGACCTATAAGGAAATTATTTTTATGACCATGTTTTATTTTACAACAACATCACCGAGTGTTTATGTGATCAAATGAACACTGTATGTACTCTTGGTAACTTTTAATAGTGCCTGTGGATTATGCGAGCTTGTGCAGAGACAGGTAAGCAGCCTCAGGAAACTTTAAAGTCCAGATTCAATAACACGTCAACGTCACATGATAACAACTTATTTGGTCATCGTGATTGATGCGATGATCAGGACAGAGCTGAAGGTGCTGTTCCCAGAAGTAAATGGTTATAGTTTTGTCAGAGTCCAAACTCACAGTCCTGTTCATCTGACTCCTCAGGACAGTCTGGGCGTCCGTCGCAGAACTTGCTGCTGCTGATACACTTGCGGCCGTCAAAACAGGGCTCTTGACCGACGGGACAATCCAAGAGCGGGGCACAGGAAGTGGCGTTGACTGAGGCGCAGCCCCGCCCGCATTTACATGTCCGACCTCCAGGATAAGCCAGACACAAGTGATCACATCCGCCATTGTTGGTGGAGCAGCTGTTAGTGCCTGGAGGTGGAAGAGGATATGCAAATCATGCTACACACAAACTTAGTGCTGCAGAGTGACAGGATGAACTAATATGATGAATGACGATCAAAAGTTTGGACTTAGTGTAGAAGTTAAAAGATGCATTTACTCACAGTGCACATTACAATGCACATTAATATGACAGCAAAAGCATCAATGTAAATATGCCGGAGTTAGCATTAATGCTAATTTTCATCCTAAGGTAGATGTTTAAAAACATGGAAACAATACATTATATATACCCAACATTACATTATGACAAATAAATAAAACATGCAAGATCTGACATATAGTTTCTACTCTTCTCTAAGTTTACAAATGAACAGAGACATGACCTGAGCCCTTTTCAGAAATAACAGATTTTTTAATGCCTGGAGTTTTGGTCCTGGTTTGTGTCAAACAGAAGGGCTACCAGCAGTAAGGCCAAAGGTGCCATCTGTGAGACTGTCTGCTCAGGTTGATCGAAAAGCTGTTGTTGCGTTATACAAAGACCACAGACTCCTGGCTGTGTGTTGAGACATGATCTGTTTTGGCACTCTGGGGGCACTCCCAGGACCAAACTGAGGAGAAGAGTCCCGTTTGTGTTGAGGGAAGGTGAAGCAGAGTTTTCGTCCTCCACTCTTAGCTACTGTCACAGTGTTTTTTAAAGACTAAAAGGACTTTCGTTTTCTTTCTTTTCTCCTTTATCTCAGACATGTAATCGTTTTCATGTACCTCGACATGTTTCGGCAGAAACTTCTGCCTTCCTCAGAAGTGTCAAGGTACGTGAAAAAGATAACGTGTCTGAGATAAAGGACACTGACCTGGTTTTGCTGGCGGTCGTAGTAAATTAAGTCTAATAGGCAACTTAAAATTTTTTAATATTATACTTCAAGAGTAAAAGTGTTCCAGGTTTTATTTTGCAAATTACAACACAAACAGAAATGCCTGGATTAATTAATCAGTGTTTATAACTTTAACTGCTCAATACAGAAAGTTGAAGGATTGGTGTTGCATCATGTTTGCATTCAGTACAGCATGTTTTAGTTGATTATGTTTATTAAGTGCATGTTATTAATATCATCTGCACTTTAGCTTAATCTAAACCAAAAAAATCTTTGCACTGAAGCAGTTATTTGGCACATGCATAAACCACAACTACGTGTGCTGAGCCCAGATCGTTTCTTTCTTTCCCTCTGCAGCACAAACTTGAAAGAACAGGCTCCCCTCCAGCTTGCCAAGACCCATGTGTCCACAGGTATCACATCACTCTGCCATCTATTGGACTCAAACTGAACCTAAATGAGCCTTTTCATTCTTCCAACAGTGTCCGGTGACCCGCTGTTTCTGTGCCCTGCATTCAAGGAGGGGGACGAAGTTGGGGCTAAAAAAAAATTAGTGTGCTGACAAAGAAATCTCCATATAGGAATAAAAAACTGGTTAGGCATGTTTTACAAATTGAGCTGTCAGTGTTCTGTAAGCCTGCTGGTTAGCACTGCAAACTTAAGCAGGAATTAGCGCATTATGAAGCTTTAAGCGAGGAGGATTTCAGTGTTGACAAGCCATTTGCACAGTTTCATTCATCCGTCTCCACAGAAGCATTTGGCTGTTGCATGAGGGGTTGAAAACATGACTTTAACTAGCAGATACAAACCTGTCTATACCTTTTTTTGCACGTGACATATCTTGGATGCCATTCCTGCATTCGTTTTGTTTAAAAGGTTTTCTTTAAACTTCCTGTAACCTTTCTTACTGTACTTTATTTATGTTTTTATTCGTGCCATAGTGGGACCAGGGTTAGCTGCCTTGGCCAGCTCTTTTCCCCATAATCTGATCTGGAATATTGCATCCTGTCCTGCCTTGTCTGCCATCTAGTGGCCAATAGAAAGCCATCTTTGTGGCGAGTATGTCTGCAAGTCTGCTCCTTATCCCAGCATTAAAATTCATGTTGTCACAATTCATCCTTCTCAAGTTGCTTTTTAACTCAAAACCTGCTTGAGAGCTGTAATGTCCAAACACGTGTTCCTCTTTAGCTGTGAACCTGACTTCCTTTGAATCGTAGCCTTCCTTCCAACATCAGTGTTTTTTTACTTGACCTGCTAAATCAGAGCATCTGCATTTGGGTCATGCCTCACGTCATCATCATCAAACCTGTTCAAAACATCCGACGTGTCCCTCCTATTTTTAAACCTTCGACAGATTTACAGTCGTCCTAATGAGTCCTGCAGACATACCAGACTGGCTGCTGTTGCTGTAGGCTCTGACCTCCACAAGGCTTATCTTTGTCTCGAACCACAGCTGGTTTGGCTGCAGACCGTCACTGAACCACAGTTTGGATACATCTACACAACAAAAGACACACAAAAAAAAAAAGACACAAAAATAAATTCAACAATTGTGAAAACACTTTGTAGAGTGTAAAAAATGAGAGTTATGGGACAGCTGTATGATGGAGAGTGGATGTTTTTTAGGAGTCAAACAGCAGATTGAGGAAAAATGGTTGATTTAATAATTTATAGTAACAATCTGACGCCATCTGCTGGTTGCAGGGGGGAAAGACATCAGGACAGAAGGAAAGAGCTGCAATCCCAGAGAAAGTTAATCCCACATACAGGAGTGCAAAGCCTTTAGGAGCGTGATAGAAAAACACAGGAAGACAATGCTGTCCTGAGTACCTGTCTGAACGGAGTCATCCCTACCTTTGTCCACGGTGACCCACAGGAGGATGTTCTCTATGTATGTCAAAGATATGAGAAGACCGGGCCCTGCTTTGTACTGTTTATATCCTGAACCATCGACGCCAATCGAGCTGATTACGCCTTCACCTGGAGAAAAACCAAAATCTAACAGGTCCAGAAAAAAGGAGGCAGAAGAAACAAAAGAAAATGTGCTGAGTCATCTGATAAAAACCGATCACCTGTGTCAGCCCAGAAGATCACTGTCCCTTTATTAGAAAAGACCAGAGATGTGGGGATGGTGGACTTCCTCCACAGCACCGCTTTGTTACGCCCGTCCATCCAGGCGCAGTTGACCTCCGTCTGGCTCTTTCCGACTGCCACGACTATCGCTGTGTAGCAAAGCCGCCCAGACGGGGGATGCAGTGCAATAGATGTGGTCCCCTAAAAGAAAGGAAACAGACCCCGGCAATAACTAACAAGGCTGAAGCAGATACTTGGAAGAAGGGACAGGTGTGAACGTCAGGTGGTGAAGAAGATGATGCTTAAGTAGTTTAGAAGTACCGTAAGTGATCCCGGCAGCAGTAAGGTGGTGTAGCCATTATTGCGAGAGGTCACGTGGAGGTTTGGCCTTTCTGTGCTGCTCCAATAAAGGTTGGAGGTCACCCAGTCGACTGCAAGAGCTGAGACTGAATCCCCCTTTGGGACCAAAAAAAAAAAAAGGACCTTTAAGAGTTAAGTTTTTCCTGCAGTGTGAGAATTAAATTAAAGAAACACAAGTTAAAAATAAACTGTCTGAAAATGGATTTTGTTAGAGACGCACTTTTCAGCATCGTGCAATTATAAGACTTTTCCTTCAACACCGGAAACATTTCTAAAAAGCTTACCGTATTTTTCGCACTATAAGGCGCACCGGATTATAAAGCGCACTGGATTATAAAGCGCATTAAGCCAAACAAAACAGATCAGTCAAACTTTCTTTAACTTATTCAATAATTCCGCGAGGCTACGGTAGCTGCAGCGCTCTGACAAGCCAAAAGGATTTTAAGTGCGTCTTATAGTGCGAAAAATACGTTAGTTTGCCCACCTTTAGCGTCAGGATCTGTCCAGATGGTGTCAGTTCCTGACTGGACCTGGAGCTGCTCAGTTTCAGTACATCCACAAATCCCTGCCCTGCATCAGCCACATACAGTGAAAGCTCCCCGATGGACACATCTATACCCGTGGCCTGATGTATCCCTGACAGAGATAAATCTCTCCCATTGGGCATTTTTTTCAGAGCGACGCCATCACGACGCATAGAGCGCAGGTGAACCTAACAGGGAGCGCGAGATTTAGGAAAAGACAAAGGGATTAGAGTGAGAGAATAGAGAGTATAGGGAGGAAAAACTAGTCCACAATTAGACATTCACCTGATAGACCACGCTGTGAGACAGAAGAAGGACAAAAGTTGACTCCATGGGCAGAAAACAGGTGATCTTGTCTTTGGAAAGTAGCATCCCCTTGGGGCAGCGACAGACCGCTGTAGGCCCCCTTTCTGCCAGAGCTCCAGACTTGCCTCGAGGTGGGGCCAGAAGGCACAGGTGGGAGCACCGCAGCAGCTCACAGGGGTTGGAGATGGCAGGTTGGGAGAGGATATGCATCACCTGTAGTGTGAGGAAACGTATGTTAGGTCTTATAACTGTAATCTTTCGACTTATAAATGCAGCAGCTGTACGTAAAACACAACAGGCAACGATAAGAAGGTTGTGGGGACACCCTTCAAAAAGGTATTTATAAATTAGCATAAAGGGACTCACTTTCAGCCCAAACGGCTGTCCTGGTCTTTTCAGGAGGACTTTCTGCTCTTTGCCCGTGTTCTTCTCAGCCGAGCGGATAGTCCTCCTTTTAGTGTCAGACCAGAAAACCCGGTCATTAAAGACCGCCACAGAGAAAGGGCTCGGTGTTTCTGCCAACTGGAGGATCTGGTGAGGAAATAAAACAATCGTTACTCATGTGCAAACTGTTCTTGTCTTAAGAATTTAAAAGTGAGAGGACTGTCTGTTTTTCTGTAATTAGCCGGTGTTTACCTTGACATTTTCTCCGTCCAAAGAGGCTGAACCGATGCAGCGCAGCTTCTCATCTGCCCAGTACACCCTGTTGTCCAGGAGGTCAAAGGCCAAACTGACCGGCCAGCTCAGGCCTCGACTCACCACCACCTTCCTTTTTGAACCGTCCATCCCCGACTGCTCAATCTGGGGGGTGCTGCCGATCTCAGACCAAAGCATCAGCCTGAAAAGGGTCATAATGTCACAGATTTAGGGATTCAGGACTTCAGGTACTTCACAAAGTATCATGTAGCTCATTACCCTTTCTGTGGCAACAACACCAATGAGCTTGGCTGCTCCAGATCTTCACCCAGGACCACAGTGAAGTCCTGAGATCTCACTGTGACGTCGCTGAGCTTCACTGCCAGAATCTGGCCCACGAGCCCGTCTACCCAGTACAGGTTCCTACCGATCCAGTCCACTGCAATAAAATCCGACTTCACCCCTGTGAAAAAATACATGTGAATCCTGAAATTGATCTCTGGACTCTACTAACAACCAACAACATCAGATGAAAGCTTCATATAGCAGCAGTAGACCGCTCCACCTTTGATCAGCGTCCCTTTTTTGTTCGTGTTCCTCATGTCAGCCCAGCGGATGCTCTGGTAGTCCGGACTCAGCCAGTAAACCCTCTGCTGAGCCCAGTGATAATCCAGCGAGAAGACTGGCCGACTGGCAGAGGACAGAAGACGCAGAGAGCTACTGTGGACTCCCAGCAGTAACAGCTCCGACTGCACTGACGCCAGGAGCAAAGGCTCGTCTACGGAGAGAGAAAGGAACCATTTTGGAAATTAATCTCTTTTTTTTCTATTGAGTTTACAAGACATAATCAACAGAGCTTGGTATTTGCCTTAAAGGGATATTCCGATGTAAATTGCCATCGTACGGTCATTACTAAAGTCGGCAACATTCATCTCTGGAGGGGGCGTCCAACTCAGTGTTACGGTGTGTTTGACCATAACTTAAATTTACGCCGGAATATCCCTTTAAACAAGCATCTGTCCTCATTTTCAGCACCTTTTGTCTTGCAGCTTTTGTCGTCAGGCTCCAGGTAAAAACCAGGGTGGCAATGGCAGCTGTAGGACCCACGGGTGTTCAGGCAAGTGTGTTTGCATATGTACGGTGTTAGACTGCATTCATCAATGTCCACGCATAACACAGCATTGGTGTGTAGTACGAAACCTGCAGCACAGAAACACCTCTGCAACAAAAGAAAAACTTGAAGTGAAACTCAAGAGTGAAACTCAAATTGTGTAACTGTGATACATATCTGTCGTGCACTCACCAGTCCATTTGGGGTGCTGACACAGCGGTGGTCACACCGAGGAGCAGAGAAGCTAGAGCAGTTATATTTGGCACATCCGGGGCCCTCATCTGAACCGTCGGCACAGTTAGTGAGGCCGTTGCACACCAGGCGGGGGTCCAAACACTCACCACTCCCACACTGGTAGAGGTGAGAGGGGCATTGTTTTTGTCCACCTGTGGAAGTAAAGAGTCAAATTTACTCTGACTGAAGAAACTCTACAACCTCAACATTTTATCACACTGGGAGGACTTTTCTACACTAACAGAACGATAAAAGAATAATAATTAGATTTTCCTTATATCACTAATTATTTCAAAATAAACCTGTAGCAGAAATGCCAAGCAAAAGAAAAAACCGGACCACATCTGAAAATGATCATTCTCACATTGGTCCTCATCCATGCCGTTCTCACAGTCCTGCTTCCTGTCACACCTCCAGGACTGAGGGACGCACTGACTGCTGTCTCCACACTGCCACTGGTATTCCCTGCACTTGGCTGGTGCCTTCACACAGTTCTAGAAACAGTCAAGACCGAGTTGAAACCAGCAGTTTCCCAAATGCATGAACTTCATTTTCTTTAAACTGCAAAACTAAGAAAGTTCTTATTGAACTCAGAGGTGCAGTTTCATACCTTCTCATCGGACCCGTCTTTGCAGTCGTCCTCGCCGTCACAGAGCCATTCTTTCTGCAAGCACTCGTGGCTGTTTGGGCATCGCAGCTGCACTGGGCAGCGCGGGGGTCTTGTACAGCCAGCCTCATCTGAGCGGTCGCTGCAGTCAGCGTAACCATCGCATCTCAGACCCTCAGACACACACTGACCGCTGGCACAGCGAAACTGGTTGATCGCACAGGCCACCAAAGCTGAAGAGAAAGAAGATGTGGATGTTAGAACATATTTTAGGGAACTGGATCTCCTCACTCAATTTAAACCACCTACCACACTTTCCCTCATCCGACCCGTCAGCACAGTCCCTCTCTCCATCACACAAGAAGGTGTCTGGTATACAGCGGGTGTTGTTATCACAGCGGTGATGGCAGCCTTGCATCAGACTCGAACAGTCCAGCTCATCAGATCGGTCCTGACAGTCGTTCTGTCCGTCACACACCTGCTGCGGCGGGATGCATCTGTTTCCATGAGCACATCTGAACTCATCTGGAGACGACAAAAGGAAACCCTTCACAAAAATAACCGTGTGGATTCTCCTGAATGCGCTCTGGAACTCATCTTAAATTCAAAACCCACCTCGCTTACGGTTCAAAACAAACGAAAATAAAAACATCCTGAATTATTAAGAGATGCCAAAAAAACTTTGACCACAAGTAAACCCAAAGGACAAAGTCTTAATGCAGTTTTCTGAAACACAAATGCAGCAAAGTTCATTAACACTTTGAGTGGCTACAATGTTTGTATGAAGCCTAATAGTCTGATAATAAATCAGAGCCATTCACAACGACCAGGCCATTATTGATTGAAATTTCAAATAGTTGCAAGAACAATTATAATCTTATTACAACTTGATCTAAAGCAGGCATGTCCAAACTATTCCACAAAAGGGCCGTGTGTCTGCAGGTTTTTCTTCCAACCAATCAAGAGCAGCAGTCTGACCAATCAGCTGTCTGAAGACTGAGATCAGCTGATGAAGTGAATCAAGTCTGGTGTGCTGCTGCTTGGTTGGGAGAAAAACCTGCAGCCACACTGGCCCTTTGTGGAATAGTTTGGACATGCCTGAAAAGAGAAATAACAGATGACTTGACCTGGTTACTTGTACGTTGTTTTTCTTGTATGCTAGTTTCTAAGGTGCTCCAATTTTTGTCTATTAAACCAGGAAAAAAACAGACTGCATATCCATGAGGAGAATATTTGCAAAGGTAATTTGTGAACAGGTTTGTGCCGAAAGATGGTTTATTTACATGTTGCACAGTTGTTCCACTGTCAATAAGAAAATTTTAACAGCTGACCTAATCTTAGTGATTTTAATCAGGAGGAGGAAAACATTGTGTGTGCAAAAACAACTGGTGAAAGCTGAAGTTTTCCATGTATTTGGAGAATTCAGCTCTTGCACTGCTTTAAGATACCACCAGCCCACAAGCACAAAACAGACCTGCTTTACACTGAGCTGCACATCCCTCCTCATCTGATCCGTCCTTGCAGTCTCTCTCCCCATCACACACATGGCTGTACAGAACACACTCCAGGCCGTCTTTACAAGGCTTGGAGCCTCTGCGACACTTCAGTGGGGCTGATCTGTTATCGAGCACACTGGGGACTTGGCAGAGAGAGAGAATTACGCTTCAGTGGGTTACACTAACCCAGAGCTTAGATACTGAGGTTTTAGAGACAGTCAAGTCTCAGAGCCTTTCTGGAGGTTTAACGACGGATGACTAAGAAGTCGTGCATAAGTTCTTGTATTGTTCATGTCGGCTTACAGGGAGCTGAAGGACCTGCTGATTGACACCACTTCTCATCTGAACCATCAGGGCAGTGGGAGCGGCCGTCACACACTTCCTTCCTTGGGACACATGCCCTCCTGTCACTACACAAGAAGTCATCTGATGAGCAGGACAGAACATGTGTCAGTTCAGGGGACGGGAGAGGTAAATACAACACCGTACAGAACAGCAAAAGCAGCTCATGTATCTACCATATAAAAAATCTACTTCATGCCAGCAGGACTCATACTTGCCAGGGGTTTTACACTGAAGGATACAATTGTTTTCATCAAATCCATCGGGACAATCTCTTTGTCCATCACACAGCTGACGTTGGGAGATGCACAGTGATGAGCCTGGGCAGGTGACTGATGGAGTGATACACGGAGACGCATTTGTAGGAGCAGGAGTATCTGTTGGTGCTGCTCTGAGAGGCTCTGGAAAAGATAACATCACGACTTTCTTAGTGGACTCTTGGCATTGAGTTTCCATGATTTTTATTACGTCTAATGCTATTACTTTGACACTCTTCATAAGTCAACTTAGGAAAAATAAAATCAACTGTTTGTCCAGTGAGGTTGGCAGAGGTGACATCAGAGAGCAGGAAAAAGTTAGTACAACAAATGGGTTTTCAAGACCTGCTACATGAAAATAAAACAGAGCGTAAATAAGACAAACATAAAGGAAAGACAATTGATAATTAGCTGAACAGTTTAAAAAAATTGTATAAATCGCAATATATTGTATCGTGGCCCAAGTATCGTGATTTACCACTTACCACAGCCGACCTCATCAGAACCATCCGGACAGTCTCTCTCTCCGTCGCACAGAAACTTCTTTGGGATACAGCGCTTGCCGTCCGCACACTGATACTCGCAGCTCTTGGTTTGTTCCCTGCAGTCCAGCTCGTCTGACTGGTCACGACACTGTGGTTTCCCATCACACACCTGAGCCACCGGGATACACATCTTCCCATGGGAACACTGGAACTCCCCTGTAGTTTATAAATAGATAAAATATATAAGAACTGGCACATTTCAAAAGCTAGTTTTAAAGTAGTTATCTGCACGGTTTTAGTCTGCTGCTGTCTTTTAAAAACAGGTGTGAGAACATGAAGGTACTTTTTTCCTACATGTAAACATAAATGCTAAAATTGATGTCTTGGTTTTAACCATAGACTGTATATAAAATGGATGCCTCCTGGCTGGGTGAAGCCACCGCGAGAACAGCACCCTCTGGTGATGGGCTGCAGTATAGTTCATAAATCCCGCCTCCTCCAGCAATCCCTATGGAGCTGTGGTCAAACTTAAGAAATTTATTATACAGAATGTACATTTTTATCCTCCCTGGATGCGATGTTGGATGCAATTCAGCTTCAAATTTGTAAAATGACGGAAGGCGGAGCTAAGTTGTCCATAGTATATACAGTCTGTGGTTTTAACTGGTAGCATTTAAATGAATGAAGCTTTTGCAAGGGCATGATTAGAAAGTGAAACAACCTTGTCTGCAGGTTTCTGGACATCCTTGTTCGTCAGATCCATCCATACAGTCTCTCTCTCCATCGCACACATGGCTGAATAAAACACACTCTGTGCCGTCGTTACAAGGCCTAGAGCCGATCCGACACTTTAGGCCGTTCGCCCGAGCGGCTGACGGAGCCACGCCTGGACAGTTCAGCTCATCTGAGCCATCCTTGCAATGAGAGCGGCCATCACATATCAGTCTCTGAGAGACACAGCTCAGACGGTCTTTACAGAGGAAATCAGCTGAGGGCAGAATCACAAACAAACAAAATAAAATACACAAAAGACATCAGATAAAAGATTTTCTTTGTACTTTACAACAAACTTATTATTTAGTTACTTACTCCTGGATGGACACTTTTTCAGACAGTTCTCATCCGATCCATCAGGACAGTCTCTTTTTCCATCACAAAACTGTGACGGTCTGATGCATGAAGAAGAGCCCAGACAGCGAACTGAAGGGCTGGCACAGGGACGCTCAGGGAGAGACTTGGAAATGGGCGGGGCAGGTGATTCACGTCTGCCAGGATATTCTGAGGCAGTGGAGGGGACAGTCTTTGGCTCATCTGAAAATTGGGAATTTTAACAGGAAGTTTTAGTTTCATTTAAAATTAAACTTTTTTTCTCTTTTGTTCAATTATAATTTCAAAGTCCATTCCTTTAGTCCAGTTTATCTTTAAATCTATTTCACTTTGAAGGAGAAAGTTTCACAGACACTCACCACATCCGTCTTCGTCCGATCCATCCTTGCAGTCTCGCTCTCCGTCACAAACATGGCTGAAGAGGACGCACTCTGAGCCATCTCTGCACAGTCTGGAGCCCATGCGACACTTGAGCGTGTTTTTGCGAGCTGTAGAGGCCGCCACACTCGGGCAGTTGAACTCATCTGAGCCATCATGACAGTGAGAGCGGCCGTCGCAGACTAATTTTCTGGAGACACAGCTGCGACGGTCTTTGCAGCGAAAGTCGGCTGAAAAATTATTTAAATAACACAAGTCAAATTAAATCACATGTGTTTTGCATTAGATCAAATATTTCAACTGTCATGTTGCTTTTTAAACCTTCTATCCCACAGCCACATGTTACTGTTGACGTGTTTTCCTCAATAAACCCTGAATAACAAACTGTTGACATACTTTTTTGAGGGCATCTCTTCACACACTTCTCATCCGATCCACCCGGGCAGTCTCGTTTTCCATCACAAAACTGTATCGGCTTTATACATAAAGGTGAATCTGGACACCGAACTGAAGGGCTGGAGCATGGAGGCTGGGTCGGAGGCCGAGTAAAGGGTTGGACAGTTGCGGGGGAGTTGTTAAGGCGAAGTCCTTCTGCAAGAACTGCAGTGGAAGAGTCTGCAGTAAGTAGAAACATAAAGTTATGATCATTTTGAACGACCTTTTAAAAGACCATTTTAGTATCAATGTTTGAGTAAAAACTCACCACATCCTCGCTCATCCGATCCATCACGACAGTCCATCTCTCCATCACATACATGACTGAAGAGAACACACTCTGTGCCGTCAGTACATGGTTTGGAGCCTATTCGGCACTTTAAGCCATTTGCTCGAGCAGCAGCAGCAGGAGGAGGAGCAGGAGCAGCCACACCTGGACAGCTCAGCTCATCTGAGCCATCATTGCAATGAGAGCGACCGTCACAAACCAGTCTCTTGGAGATGCAGCTTCGACGGTCCTTGCAAAGGAAATCAGCTGAGAAGAATAAGACGTATAAAATATGAATTAAAGCAACAATATTAACTGGCAAAGGTTAAGACAGAAGGTGTGGCTAAGATCAGAAAAAGGAAAAAGGTTTCCTCGATGGCTCATAGTTGAACTACTTACTCCTCGATGGGCATTTTTTAAAGCACTTCTCGTCGGATCCATCAGGGCAGTCTCTTACTCCATCACAAAACCGTGTTGGACTGATGCACAGATTTGCTCCTGGACACAGAAATGAGGGGCTGGTGCAGGCTGGCTGAGTGGGGGATTCAGTAGGTTTGATATTTATTGCATTAGGTGTAGGTGCTGTGTCTGAAAATGTCACATCAGAAGCAAAATTAAAAGTCAGTTTCCTTTCTAAAAAAAAAAATAAAATCAATTTATGCCGTTTTTGTTTTAATTTTTTTAAGTAAACAATCCTTGAATGAATATTTACCGCATCCTCGTTCATCCGATCCATCAGCACAGTCTCTCTCTCCATCACACACATGGCTGAATAAAACACACTCTGTGCCGTCATCACAAGGCTTGGAGCCCAAACGACATTTCAAGCCGATCACACGGGCTGCAGGAGCTGCTACGCTAGGACACTTGACTTCATCTGAGCCGTCATTGCAGTGAGCGCGGCCGTCGCACACCAACTTCTTTGAAATGCAACTTCGGCGGTCCTTGCAGAGAAAATCAGCTGTGGAAGATATAACAAATCAAAACTGTTTTCTTAGTGTCCAAAGAGATCCAATCAAAGAAAAGACGAGTCAACCAACAAATAATCTGATGACTTACTCCTGGATGGACACTTTTTCAGACAGTTCTCATCTGACCCGTCAGGGCAGTCTCTTTTTCCATCACAAAACTGTGACGGTGTGATGCACAAAGAAGAGCCTGGACAGTGGACTGAGGGGCTGGTGCAGGGTGGTTGGGTGGGAGGCTGAGTGAAGGGTTGATCAGGTACGGGAGATTCATCCAAAGGCAGATTGTCGGAGGAAGTTGCAGGGGAGGCAACTTCGGCTGCATCAGAAAAGTAAAGGTTCCCGTAAAATAATAAGTTGGACAGAAAATCTAAGAAAAAATGTTTCAGACACTCACCACATCCGTCTTCGTCCGATCCATCCTTGCAGTCTCTCTCTCCGTCACAAACATGGCTGAAGAGGACGCACTCTGAGCCGTCTCTGCACAGTCTGGAGCCCATGCGACACTTGAGCGTGTTTTTGGGAGCCGCAGGAAGAGCTTTAACCGGACAGTTTACCTCATCTGAACCATCTGAGCAATGGGAGCGGCCGTCACACACCAAACTCTTGGATATGCAGCCGCGACGGTCTTTGCAGCGGAAGTCATCTAGAGGAACATCAGGCACATCAGGAGAGACAAAATACTTAAAATTGAGGAGAGTACAGAAAACCTCGTTTCAAACTTACTCTTGGAGGGACATCTTTTCACACAGTTCTGTTCATCAGAGCCATCAGGGCAGTCCTTACGCCCATCACAGAACTGGCTTGGTGAAATGCAAATGTGCGCTGAAGTACGGGGACAGAGCTTTGAGGGGCTCCTGCAGGCCGGTACGGTCGTAGCAGGACGCTCAGCAGCTGGAGGGACCTTGTTTGCTGGAGAAGTGGCCTGCTCTGTGACATCTTTATCATATAGTAGCCAGAAGTTAGAATTTTAAAAACGAACTATCTGAAGTTGAGGTAAATTTTAAAATACTCACCACATCCCTCTTCATCTGATCCATCCTTACAGTCTTTTTCTCCGTCACACACATGGCTGTATAAAACACACTCTTTGCCGTCTCGACACGGCACTGACCCCGTGCGACATTTCAGGACATTTCCACGAGCTGCAGGTGAAGCTACAGGAGGACAGTCGACTTCATCTGAACCATCGCGGCAATGAGAGCGGCCATCACAAACAAGATTCCTGGAGATACAAGCCCTCTGGTCCTTGCACTTAAAATCATCTAAATGGGTAAAAAGGATTTTAAAACGGGAATCAGTCAATAAAAAAGTCCCCTACTGTCATGAGTTTAGATCATAGTATTTGTGATCACTGCTCTCTCACCTTTAGACTGGCACGTAGTCACACAAAAGTCCTCATCATCTCCCTCAGGGCAATCCTTCCTCCCATCACACAGCTGGGTTTGCGTCAGACAGATCGGTGAATTTCGACACAAGACAGAGGGTTTATCGCAGACCGGAGCTTTTGATACTATAGAAAGTTAAAATAATAATAAAGATAATAAGGTTTATAATAATAAAACTTAAAGCTTACAACGGTTGACAAATTAAAAACGTGTATTCCTCTCTCTGACGTACGAGCTCTGATCTCACCTGTTTGGATTTCCTTGAGTGCAGGGATGACACCAAACACATGACCTTCCACTGTCACGTCTTTGATGGGACCTCCATCCCGCCGGTCCCACAGAGTCATGACGCCGTCAGCAACGGACAACAGGAAGGGCTCGAAGGCGGCTACGACTGAGCCGGTTATGTTCCACCTTCTGCCTGCTTGATGGTTTCTTTGCTGCAGCAGGCTCATTGTTGTTAAACCTAACAAGGTGTAAGAGAAAACTCATTCACATATCTGTATCTTGATTTTGCAAACCACACTTAGAGTGAACACCCTCTGAAATAGGTCCGAAATCCCATTTAACACCATCAGATTGAAGTTGGTTTTAGGAGCCTTAGCAACAATGATTAATTTCTAGTTCTAGGAGATTTGCAAAGATTCTGAACAACAGCTTCCTAAATTTATTAAAAGACCTACAACTCCGGATTCAGCAGGATTTAAACAATGAAGACATCAGAGCTTTTAGAAAGTTTCTCTCTGTATAGTAAATCTAGGCAGGCCTCGGTAAACCTGAAGTGGAACCAAGCCTTTCCACCTATTACTAAATAGAAGGAGGTCTTTTCCCACTCAAGACCAGTTACTTACAATACCTATTATGGTTAGCCAGTAGCCAAAAAGTACCAGATAGTTGTAGACGGATATGTGAATCAGACCTGATCTTTTTGTGTTCCAGAGCAAACTATTGGCCCTGAGGTCGAAGGCGACGCTCCCTCTGACTCCACTAGCTTCTAGGTGCAGCAACTCTTTGGCTTTGCCTCCCATCATGCTCATGGTGAGGATTTCGTCATCCTCGAGCCACAGAAGACCACCCCTCAGCCAGTCCAAATACACGTTCCGGATCTCTTTGGTTGTTTGGTAGAGCTGCTGCGGGTATCGATTATCAGCTGTTACTGTGCCAATGCTCTTTTGGTCACATGACACCCAGAAAAGGTTCCCTCTCCTTTGGTCGATTTTTATCAGACAAACTGAGGATAACGGAAAGTAAACAGTCGGTTAATGAGCAACAGCAAAAAGGAATATGTGATAAAAAGTCTTTGTATTTTTAAATAATTGTTATTTAATCTTTTGCAGAATTATTATTATCCCTGTTTTAGGTCTACTTATGTGTGAGCACAAACCTGGCAACGGCGTCAAGACCACCTCAGTCTTAACCTGGGTAAGACTGGTGCGTTGGACATGACCAGTTTTGTTCGCCCAGTACAGCCAGTCTCGATACCAGTCCACATCAAACGACAGGATGCCATCATCTGTGCCAAACAGCTGAGTTTTTGAGGACTCTCTGCCTTTGAACTCCAAGATGTAAATGTCAGTGATGGTAGCGTATAAAAACCTTGGATCTGTGGAGAAAAATGAAACTCATTTTTTGACCTTACTTTGGAAACTAAAATAACAATTTTTATAAGGACCATGAGAGGCCAAGATGCCTAAACCAGCCTGTTTCAGAAACTAATCACACACAAGAAACTTAAAATTGAGATGTTAAAAGGCATTAGCAGCACAGGGGCGCTCACATTCACACGACCCGTCGAGGAGCAGTATTTTGGAGTTTGGACAAGTGCAGGAGAAACCAACAGGGTTGCTTTTAGTGAGCTGGCAGAGCTGACATGGAGTCTTGGCACATGCCGAGGAACCTGTTGAAGGAAGCAGAACATTTTGGAATAAAAACACACCGGTCAGCTGTGATGACACCCGGATTTGTTGAAGGATTAAAATGCTGTTCTTGATGAATATGACACAGAGAATTATGATTTTGTTTTATAAAAGTTGCATGATAAGGTCAGATATAAGTGAAAATTCAGAGATGTGTTACACTGCTCTGATAAGCACCTTTGGGCTCTTGTTGCTCATGGTAAACAGCTAATATCGGCGGTGCTACTTTCCAGATAAATTTCCTCTGGTTTGGTTGTTTCTGTGGGACTTTCCACAGTCCTTTATCATCAGCCCAGAAGAAAGAACCTTCAAAGACAGCCAGACTGAGAGCCGGCCTCCTGTTAAACAGTCCTGTGAAGGAGTACCGTCCTGTCCCATCCAGCTTCACCGTCTCTATAGACTGAATGAAATCAATTCAGAATCAGGAAAAGTGTTTCAGTGATCGTGCTAAATTCTTGTCTTAGTTTGCAGGTTTTTAAAAGATATTTTTACACAAGAGTCAAAGTACATTGTACAACAGTTTTCTGTCAAACTTTACCAGTCCTTCATAGTCACCTTCTTGGAGTCACTGATCCAGTACAGCCTCCTGGCAGCCACGTCAGCAGTGAGGCCATGAGCAGACTGAGCAGTGAGCACAGTCAGAGAGCTTCTTTCTGACCCGTCCATCCACGACTTTTCTATAGTCACTCTTTCCCCGAGGCCAGCATTGATCCAGAACATCAAACTGGCAGGGAGCAGAGGATCGTACAGGTATCATCTTTTTTTTTTCAGCCGACTGTAGAAACTTTTAATGTTGATATTAATGCCACAAGTCATGCAAACCTCTCCACCGGTATCAGCACCAGCTCTGATGGCCTGATGTTTTTGCTCAGCACAGTAGTGTAACTTTTCCCATCGGCTGCCTGCATGTAGATTGATTCTGTCTTCTCATTGGTCCAGAAAATGTTTCCATTTAGCCAATCAAAAGCTAGACCCCTGATTCCAGGCTCCCCTGAGAAAAATAAGCATAAAAATAATGCATATATTTTGGAAATATCCCCCTTTTTATACCCTGTTTGAGTCCTAATTTTAATTCCTTTTAGAATAAATGTTTTTATCCCATTTGTCAAATTAGTACACTTGGGTCTGGAAAGTCAGGGAGTTTTATTCAGGTCATATAACAATGATCTGACTTGAAGGCACAAACTTTTGGAAAAGAAAAACAAACAAACAAAAATATGAACATAGTTATTGTGGCAGTTACTTCCCACCGCTTGGTTTAACTTCACGATGACAGGCCTTTAAGTTTACTTTACTCTCTGATGCTCTTTTGTTTATTTCATTCATATGATGTGGAACAAAACCCAATTACAGTTCTCATCCAGTAACTTCACCAGTATATGTTGGAAAATTACAAAGTTACACCTCTACTTACCAGTAAATACTGTCCATTTCTTCTGTCCATCACTTTCATAAATGTTGCCTTGGTTGTCAGCCCAGTAGTACCAGCCTTGGGCGACATCAAACGTTAAAGCCACCGGGTCAGTCACTAGAGTCTGTATAACTTCAAACTGTTGAGACGCCACATTCAGAAGCCCGACCGATTTCTTCTGTACTGTTAGCAACCTGACAGCATTACCTGGAAACGATCAGACAAAAGGGGGCAGCCAGTGAGAACATTCAAGAGAGATTTTTCAGGACAAAATATCACTCACTGTTTGATAAGATAAATGGCAGTACAGTCCTTTGAGAACTTATTGAAATCTACAAATACCATCACCTTTTCTTTACTGGTACTACACACATTTTTCAATGTAACCCTCCAACTTTGTGTACTTTAAAGAAAACTTTTGATCTGTGTGAAAACTTTTCTCTCTCTAACTCAGCAACATCAAAGTTTCCCATTAACACACTGGTTACCTTTGGCCTATAGACTTCAGAGCATTAATTGCAGGGTTTGATCCTTTCAGAGAATGAAACTATTCAACACCAAAGTGGGCTCATGTGTTACACTTCACTTACACAAGTATTTCCGATTTTCATGTTGGTCAGACATGAAACAAAGCCTTTCCTTTAGCACTCACTGCTCTACCTGGCTAAAATCTCACACAGTTTGAAATATAGACTGGATATACGATTGAAAACTTGGCTCCGCCTTCCATCATTATACAAATTTAAAGCTGAATTATTCTCGGTATTTCCAGGATTTTCTCCGTTTCCTGGTACAGTAAAGTTGTACACAATCTTTGCATACCCATAGGCTGTGTCAAGTGTCAATCATAGAAAACATGAACCCCCTAATAACTTTTAAAAATGGAGCTACACAGGAAAAAAGAGGACAACCACTAACCAGTCTTACAGTAACTACATGTCAACATCACAAGCAGGGTGGAGGAAAATGTATATTTTGTGTCATTAATTTTGTTGTCCACAGCTCCATAGGGATTGCTGGAGGAGGCGGGATTTATGACCTATATTAAAGCCCGTCACCAGAGGGTGCTGTTCTTGCGGTGGCTTCACCCAGCGAGGAGGCAGATGGTGTCCACACTATATACAGTCTATGATTTGAACTCATCAACTGGTTGAATGGTTTATAAAATGGTAAAAGAAGGCCTTTCGTTTTTTACCTGTTGCTACACATGTGGAGTTTCCATCCAGTTTGAAGCCCTCCCTGCAGTGGCAATAGAAGGATCCAATGGTATTAGTGCAGTGATGCATACAAGGAGCAAAAGGTTGAGCACATTCATCCAGATCTGGAGAGAGAGAGAGAGAGAGAGAGAGAGAGAGTATTTTGGCTTTTTAAGCATGAGCTGTGCATCAAACAGACCAGTGCACAGCTTCGATAAGGGGTTCCTTCAAGAATTCAACTCAGTGAACATTGTTTTTAATTTCATGGCTGGCTGACTGTAGCATTGGTTCTCAGGTTTATAATGTAACCAATGCCACACACACCCCAACCAAGTCTTTGAAAATGGAGACTACCGATAGTTTTATTTTCCCACCCAACACACCTTCACACACTGCACCATTTGCGGAGAGCTTGTATCCATCAGGACAGGCGCAGAGAGCTCCCCAAGCTTCATCGACACACACATGACTGCAGCCACCATTGTTCTTAGAGCAAGTACGACCTGCAGAGTGTGCAAAGTGAGCCAGAATCATAGAAATATATGGACCAGAAGCAATACACATACCACACTTGAATTTTAAAAGATGTTAGATGTTGTAAAATGTCAGCTAATATGTTGAATACGATGCTATCAGTGTGATCGGTCCATAACCTACCACATGTTATTGGCTCATCACTGCCATCTGAGCATTGAACTGTCCCATCACACCTCTGTTCAGCAGACAGACATGTCCCCTCAGGACACCGAATGCCGTCCTCACCACATGGACCTGCAAGAGAACACATCATCTATAGTTTGCTATTCCAACTGTTTTTGTTTGCTGTCTTTGGATGGAGTTAAAATAAAATGAAAATAAACTGAAAGATTTTTTCCTAAAATAACAGTTTAAGTATCTTTTACCCCACTGCGCCATGAGGGCAGACATTATATTACCTTTGTACGACATTGAAAACCTCTCTTACCACAGTCTTCCTCATCAGAGTTGTCCAAACAGTCATCTAATCCGTTGCAGCGCAGCTCTTCAGAAATACAGATTTTGTTTCGACAGGTCCAGTCGGTCTCCAAACAGCCCCCCGAATCTTTGCAGTTCTCCTCATCAGAGCCGGTGGGACACTGAATCTGTCCATCACAGCGGGCTGACATATCAACACAGCCGACGGTGTCCACACAGGAAAACTGACCAGGTGGACATGCTGCTGTGCCTGGCCCTACATTACAGGCCCATGAATATAAATATAAATCCTTTATCAGCAGCTTAGGAGGGTTTTAAATGATATTCTCTCTTTCTTTTAAGTTTGCAAATGATAGATGATGGCTTTTAAGATCGAAAGATAACTATGGGCATCTGTTCTAGTTACTTTTTATCATCTCACAACTTTGTATCTTTAATAAAAACCATTGTAATAATAAAAAAGCAAAACTGCCTCTGATTCTATCGATGCTTGTATTTATTCAACATGGTGAATACCATTTAAGACTGTTAAGAAACTTTAAATAGTCAATCGTGATTAAAATAAATTAACTGGGGTCTTAAAAAAACATCTTAAATAATCATTCATGTAACAGGATGTACATACCAGTGCAATCCATCTCATCAGATCCATCTAGACAGTCTCCCCCTCCATCACATCTCCAGACATCAGGGATGCAGTGACCGTCATCGCACTGCCACTGGCCTTGTTTGCATCCCAAAATCTGGGCTGCAAAAATGCAAAGAGAAAGAAAGACCCTAAAACTAAAGCCTCCCTTAAGAGTTAAAATGGCATGTTGGAAACTCAGTCACAGACCACATGAATGGATGAGTTTCAATTAAAGTGACAACACATAAAGGATAAGGAGGGTTCATTTGAAGAAAGGCATCATTAGTACTAATAACGACCTTTTGCAATAGTTCAGAGGATTATGGAGAAGTAAGTTTTGAAACCTTTTGAAAATGTTGAGACACTACACAAAACCCAATAGAAAATGGACAAAAATGAAAATTTTGCAAATATTTTGCATCTTTTCTTTTAAAGTTTAAGCCAACATACCTCAGATTATATATTTCTAATCTTTCTAAGTGGCAAACAGCAACTATGATAAAAATGACAATTGATTCAAGTTTTTAAGATGCCAGAACCTAAGGTTTAACAATTAAAATTGTTGTCAATGACAAACCAGCTTATAGTTTCTCTTTTGAGGGATTAATGACAGAATTTAAAGACTCAATGTTCAAGGTTTGAATAACCAAGATGGACACCATTTACCTGGAACTGCAAGTTATGGTGTGTTTATTTCATTGAGGTCCAACTCTAGACCTAAAAGTTAAACTGTCTGACTTCAAATGACATTATGGAAAAGGCAGTTTTAGAAACTTCAAGTGGGGAAACCTGCATTTAAACTCCACAAAATGTTTGCTCTTCACAAGGTAAGCAGACAAACTCAAATTCTCACCTCCACATGGTCAAAATATTGCCAAACAAAAGTAAACTCTTGAGGAAAAGTAGTGTAAGTAACATATTCTTATTAGCACGTTTTTGACTTGATCAGAGGAAAATGTTTGCCATGTCTTGGACTGGTCAGGTTTTACCAATGTAGGATCACTTAAAATGGGTTTTCTAAACTTAGATGGATAAACACAAAGACTGGCAGTAAAATACCTCTTCGACTCTTAAACTGAATGTGTGAGGTTGAGAAATGGACGCCATGTTGCTTTTCTACGTTTGAAATAAATTGAATGTCTTTGTGAAGCTAAGAAATAGCTGTATGTCACATTAACGCTTTGTCATGCATAAAAAAGCCTTTTTACCTTTGGTAACCGTCAGACTTGTTAGTAAAATCCAACGGATAAACGTGCGTAGGTCCATGTCGGCCCGCACGGCTCACCAGGAGAAACTGCATCACCTGAGAGGACATGCTTTAATCAGTTTCCACCTCTGCCGGTGCACGTGCTATCACAGACCAATCAGTTTCTGTCACTAAACAATAACTATTAAAAAAAAAAAAAAAAAAAAAAAAACTTAATTTAACTTAACTTTTTTTCTTATTTTGAATTCATTTGAAGCATCATTTTTTTATGTTAATTTCTCCCATGCTCGACTGGAAAAAAAAAATAATAATAATAATTTATTTTTATTTTTATTTTTTTTCAAAAAAATATTTTTTTTTATTTTTTTTTAAACTTAATTATTTATTTTCATTTTTATTTATTTTTTAATAAAAACTTTAAACGTTTTTTTTTTATAAACTATAAATCATAATGTCTTACAAATGTATTTCTAGTCATTTTTGTGATTCGGGCACCTGTAGTACTACAGGGTACTGTAGCGTTTCGTAGTTTACGCTTCCTTCACTAATAAGTTAATCGGTCTCTTTTTTAACCGTGGTTAAGCAGCGGCACGTGACACACATAGAGCTCAGCGTTGACTTTCAGAGTTTTCATCGAAGTGACGAGGCCTTGGAAAGGTTCAGTTGTGCGCCTTTACGCACAGGACACTTCGCGTTTATTACTTTCAATTATCAGTTCCCTTCAAACATCGCCAAAAAGTAGGCTCAGTTAAACTCTACAAACCCCTCATTATTATTGTTTAGGTTTCCATTGATTTGTTTTCATAATATAAGACATTACATCACAAGAAGCACGTTCTCCAATTAAAATGTGGCTAATGCAATAATAATACGATCTTTTTGTAGCGGTTGATACTTGAATTTGAATCTCTCAAAATCAATCATATCTACAACAAAAGTTTATTTGATGCTGTGACATAAAAGGACTTCAAAAGAACACGACTTTTGAAGAGTATCCACACGTTTCTCATGTTTTTCTGATTCTGTTCACAGCTCGTACACTTCAAAGAGAATCAAAGCTTTGTTGTTCAACACGAGCTCTTTGTTCTTGTCTTTTGAGGTCAAGTTTGCTGTTAGAAATATTAACAGACAACAATAAGCAGACTTTGATGTCTCTGATGTTCCTAAAGTATCAATTAACATGACAGGAATTAGACTCAGGTGATGCTGAGTTGAGACTTGTGATTGAAACTGTCCATAATAGTTTATTTTTATCATTCACCAACAATAAATATTTACACATTAATCAAAACATATATAAAAAAAGGGGGACTTAAAGGACATCAATATTGACTTGTATAGTTTTAAATAAAGAGACATTTTTTTTAAAATTATTTAGCTCTAACAAAAAGATGGACTGACTGCACCAGCTTTGTAAAATATAAAAGATAAAAAGCATCAAAATGAATTAAACCTAGAATTCACATGTAACCAGTTAAATTTTTTAATACAATATATCCTAGTAAGTACAAAGACAAAAGTACATTAAGTTAAAAATAGTCTAAAAAGATAAGTTATGAATATGGGTAAAAAGATATCTCATGTTTGAGTTAATATGTTTTATTTTGAAGGGTTCATGACTGTCAAAGAAAGTGAAATGTGGGATATACCATGTGTAACACAGTTGTTCAGGTGTGTATGTTTGGTATTAAAGAGACTCATTAGCATTTAGCATTAACAAAATGAATGGACATTAACCACGGAGTAGCTAACCCAGTTAGCATGGAGGCTTCAGTTCATTGTTTCTGAAGTCAACAGTAAAGTATTGGGTTATTAGGGTTAAAGTGCTTTTGGTCATCCTGTTCTTTACTGAGACTAGACTGAGACCAGAGAAAGGTAAAACCTGCAGTAAAGACAAGGACACCCCTGCCAACTGTAATTAAACCCTAAACTAAGGTACCACTGTTTTGTTTTGCTCATTTGAGTGAAGCGGCCATAAGTTTTGGTTCCCACTGTTCATAAGCTTCACCTCAGGCCTGCAGCACAGAGTTTTCTATGGTTCATCTGCTGGCTTTAGGGTGTGTAAACTGAGAGAGGGCCGACAACGTTTAAATTTAAATTGATTAAAATAAGACTTGAATTTGGTTATTGTGTTTTTCCTGAAAGAAAGTGTTATTCTGATATCTGAAGTTTTAAATATTATTCTATCTGTTATTTTCTGATACCTTTTAAAAAAGTAAACAAGGCTCTTTAATTTTAAAGTTACTCCAGTCTGGTGTTTTTTTTTTCTTTCTTTCTTTAACCTATAGAGCCCAAGACATCTAAAGGATTATCTTGCACATTATAAATACAGTCATATTATTTCATCATTTGTTATTGAAAGAAAAGTTAAAAGGTTTACAGAACTTAGAATATGATAGGGTTAAGTGGGCTACGCGAGAAACTACAGGCATATATTAATGACATGTGAAACAAAACTTTTATAAAGATATTAGTTACCTCTGTTGTCATAGTAGCTATTGATATTAAGTATATATTTTTTGTTGTTTGGTATAACCTTTTTGCCACCATTCATTTTAACAGAACATGCCTGCTAATACAATCACTTCGACAGATTATTCACTAGTGCTCCATGTATTGCTCATAAAATACTGAACATGCACAGTAACAAAATGATAAAACACTGACAGACTGAGTATTTAATAAAAATTAACCAATAGGCTTTCAGAAAATGTAACATTATCCTACAAAGGAGGAGGGTAAATGTTGGGCCTGCTAAGTGACTCTACTTCATTGTCTTTTCTCATGGATTCCCAGCAGGTCATGACCTGCGCCACAGAAAGTGTTTTCTGATTAACTGCCACGTTGGTTTCCCATTAATCACAGCGTAGATGTGCAGCCCATAATCTCCTTAACTAATATTATTGTTAAGGCTTCTTATCAAAGAGATCTCTAATATACAAACAACAATCAGAGTAGTGGGCATTTACACTTTTCACACCTCGTCCACTACAAAGACCAATTGGTTTCGATACACAACGACGATGTCAGAGTTAAGTCTTTGAGCACCACTGTGGATCATACACGCCCCTCAACCATCAGCGGCTTGACAGATCTCTTCAAAGGACGACAGGGGAGAGGCTGGGACTATAAAACCAAGCCACAGCATCTCACCTGGAGCATTTGGAATCTAGCTGTTGGAGAGACAACACCATACTTGGGAACTATGAAGGGACTAGCAGTGGATTTTTCTTTTGTGCTTTTTCTCATTGTGGACTTGGGTCTTGGCCTTGCAGCACAGTCCTTGTCCAGGATCCACCCTGATGCACAGCTCCATGGAATTAGCAGCGGTTCTAGACATACTGAGCACCGGCCACACTCACAGAGGCTGCCTCTCTACATGATGCAGCTCTACCGGACTATGCTGACCGAAGACCGGGCTAGGTCTACAGCTTCCAGCATGAGACACGCCAAGGCAGAGGACAGCACCGGTCTGCATGACTCTGACTCAGTAGTCAGCCTTGTCGCAAAAAGTAAGTATAACCATGTTCTCTATTTTTGTAGGCCTGTATAATGTCTGAGATTTAGATTTAAGACACACCTTTGAGTGAAGGCACAGCATGTTTCTTTTGTCATGAAATGTGGGTGATTTAATTCTGACTGCTCAACTTAATCTAATCATCAAATCGAATTTTGAGTATCCACTGGCTTTCACTCTTTCTGCGATGTACATTTTGGAAATGTGAAATCAAATAATGTTTCTTCTACAAACAATTCATGCTAACTCATTTTCCTTACTGTTGTACCTTACAGGCTGTCAGCAGATTGGCAAGAGGTGGTCTGTTACCTTTGACATGTCTTCCATGTCTACAACTGACATCATCCAACTGGCTGAACTCCGCATCCGCCTTCCTTCCTTCACAAAGTCTTCCCAGGCCTCAGTGGACATCTTCCACTCCCACAGGGATGGGTGTTCTGGCATGCACTGTCCAGAGGACAGGCTGTTCCTCGGACGCCTGAGGGCTCACCCTGGCTTGATGGACTCTCCATCCTCCTGGAAAGTGTTCAACATGACGGAGATGCTCCGTCACTGGCTGCAGCGGGGACACTCTGTCCAGGAGATGGAGCAGGAGGAGGGGGAAGTAGAGGATGAAGAGCTGGAGCAGGAAGGAGTCCAACACCCTACAGCTGACCGGGTGATGATGGTGGTTTTTTCAAGGCAGAACCCGAATGCTCAGCGCACACTCATTCGCACAGCAGAGCACTCCAAGTACGTCAGCTTGGACAAGGAGCGGGTGAAGGCCAGTTCTGGTTCCAGGCGAGGAAGACGGAGAGCCAAGAGGCACCACCATGTCCAGCATCAGAAAAAAAGGGTGGTTGTGACTGCTGAAAAGGCCTCAGTGGAGGAGAAGAAGGGTCCTCTCTGCAGGAAGGTGGATATGTGGGTGGACTTTGAGAAGCTTGGCTGGAATGATTGGATTGTCTATCCAAAGCGGTATAACGCTTATCGCTGTGAAGGAAGCTGTCCCACACCAGTGGATGAGACCTTCACTCCAACTAACCATGCATACATGCAGGTAAGGCTGAAATTTATAAATAAACTTTTATGTTCAGAAACTTATGTGGACCCATATTAACTCTCTGTAAAATCAAGTGTTCTAATCAACCCTTTCTTTCTCTTTCCTTCTCAGAGCCTACTGAAACTTCACCACCCAAACAAAGTGCCCTGTGTCTCCTGTGTGCCAACACGCTTGGCTCCACTCTCCATGTTGTACTACGAGAGCGGGAAGATGGTCATGAGACATCATGAGAACATGGTGGTGGAAGAGTGTGGCTGCCACTAAGCCAAAAAAAAGACCAGGTATACTGAGTCGCAAGCCCAGAAGAGTGAGAAGCCACAGGTCTGAGCCACTCAGAGGCACAAAGTGGATGGAAGTCCACAGGCACTTTAAAGACGCTGAGTTTGACCCTGGGACAGAGGCTGCTGCACTGTAGATGGACACAAAGATGGACACTGTTGTGTTGAATAACTCAGATCTCTAAATCAACTAAACTGTTTGTACGTTGTTGGGGTTTTAGTGACCTGTATTGTGCCTTAGATTTTAATTGGGTAAGCCCTGACTCAGGTTTTCAAGGACTGATTAAGTATTGATCAAGTTAAGATGAAACAAGGTCCAAACAAAAGCACACCTCCTCTGACTGAAGCACTATAGAAGACGCAGGCAAACAGTTCCACTAAAGAGATCTTATGGACAACCTGGTTTTGATGCTTGAAGACAGTTTTTTCTTTAATCATTGAAATGACAAATGCAAGTATTTGAATCCTGTAAGCGCTTTTACTTTATCAAGATGTTTGGGTCATGTTGATCCATGTTTATTTATGCTCTGAACAGTAATGAAATAAATTATTTCTAATCTTGAACTACCTGTTTGGATGTTTTTCATTTGCCTAATTTTTATTTATTTGTTTGGAGGTTAAAACATCACCGTCATTGTGAAAACATGTTGGGAAAAATACTTTCAGAGCAAACTTTTGGATTTGCTTTGGTGAAAGTGTTCATTGATAGAAAAACAAGCTGCATACCAAACTTTTAAAGTTGTTGTTAAGAACAAGGTGATTCTTTCTTAAATAAAAAAATCTTCATATATTTAAAATCAAATTGAATTATGCTTCTGTTAGTAAATTATATATATGACCCAAAAATTCACAGTTATGCCTTCTTGAGTGTGTGACCCTAAATGAACTCAGAATGGGATTGCAAAACGTCTCAATTCCAATTGAGTAAATCATTAGACAGTATCGTTTATGACTCAAACATAAAATTAAAGTCCCGTTCAAACGAAATCCCCAAAATGGTCCGAACAAGATCTCCAAAGTTTATGTAATTCTTGAAGCTTCAAGAAAACAATGCGATCTGCTGCTTGACGATTAATACACCAGAGTAAAGAAAACACGCAAAAAGGATAGATGTCACCTGAAAACACGCCGCAGATTAATCCTTTGAGAAACCCTCTCTTTGATCCACTCCCAGAGGGTCCATCAGCATCCGTGAGCTCCTGGAGAGTCAGCTGAGAGTGTTGCCACTGTAAGTTTTCATTGAAACCTTTTCCTTTATAGTCTGTAACAACAAATGTTTAACCCCTTAGTTAATAATAAATATTTTCCACTCAGCATCAAAACAAGCCACAGTCTATTTTGCCTTTATTACCTGCATTGATTTCCGAATGTAGTTTTTTTTTCAGACAATACTCTGATTCTCATAACAGAAAAGAAGTCAAAGATTTGTCAGGACTGACTCATGTCTGCCTTGTTGCTCTTTTGGCGCCCTCTGCAGGCGGATGTATATCTTACTGCTTGGTTTATTTCGGTCTCTTCTGTGAGGAGACGGTGTTTTCTGACAAAAATCCTTCCTGATGTCTCTTGACTGTAATAATTATCAGTTATTTTGAATATTTGATGTTGTAAATGTAAAGACAGTCTGTTTCTCCAGCATGCCGATGATTGTGTGGTGTATTATCCACCGTCTTGCAGCGGTTTGGGACATTCAACATCTTTATTACAATATGGTTAGTCTTGTTGCAGTCTTGTTTGTTTTTGTAGCTTATAGACATCAATATTAATTTAAATCTGTCTTACAACAAATGTTGGCACCATTTAAACACTGTTATGGTTTTTAGACCACCAAATTTTGGTAGCAGAAGAAAATAATCTCCAAATTCTTTTTAACAAAATACTCCACAACACTAGCAGTTTGTGTAAAATCATTTTTAAAAGGCATTTATTAAGTTATCAAATGAGTCAAAGACTTTTAATGGTTTTAATTTCAATGGACTTTGTAAGTCACAAGTCATACAAAGTCAAGTGAACCTGACAATTGTAAACATGCTTTTGCATTAGTTACCGTAGTTTTAAAAGAGTACATCATGCCAACACATACTGAGCATTACAAAAGAATCCCACCCTGTTTTTTTCAGAATAAAAGTGGATTACACAGCTAAGTCAGATTAGCCTTTCTTATATCAATTGATGCATATATTTTGAATCTCAGTAAACAAAAACACAAAGATCATTAAAATGATATTGCAGCTCATCCTTGACGCTGACTCTTCAGATGTCCATTTCAAACTGGGCATCTTCTGTAAAAAAAGAAAAAGTCACAGTTGTGAAAATTGTATCACTTCTTTTTTTGATGACATTTTGATTACACAGAAACTCTTACCTGCACTCTCCTCTGTGTGCAGGTCGTGGTCGCCGGCTGTCTGTTCAGGCTGTTTCATGTTGCTCGAAGTGTCTGGTTTTAGAGGCCTGGTGACTCCTGGGATGTCGGGCATCTTGGGAGGTGTGCGAGTCAGAGGAGATGTCCGACACTGCAGGAGGAACTTCCTGTCGTATATTATTCTGGTACCTGTGGGTTAAAGAATTTACAGTGTTTAATACTGCAAACCCCTATAACCAATGAAAACGATGCAAAGACAACATATCAAATGTTGAGAGTGACCGAGGGGAAATCCTCCCAACTTGTTTGGTTAATTTGTTAAAGATGGTAAAATGACTATGAATAAATAAGGCAATCCAAAGAGTCAGTGTAAAAGATGAATCTCTTTGAAATATGTTGCTCGCACCAAATCTAAAATCAACATATATTTCTCATTAAAATATAATTTGTTACTTTCCACATGCATGATTTTAAAAAGTTGTATTTTTCATGTCTGGACAGGGAGAATGGCTTCCCCTAGGTGTTACTTCATTGGATGGTCTGTGCAGGTCCATACATGCCCATGACCAATGGCCTATATATTTCATTTTCAATCCATATCAGCGTTTTGAAAACACCTTGACTGACCCAGTTCTGCTTTATCTGTTTACATCTGTCCCACCTGTTGATGTTACAGGACACAGTATCAGTTATAATGGACATGTGCGCTGAGTGTCACCATTCTCACAACCACTAAGTCCAGTTATTTTCATATTTTCAAAATATTAAAAGCTTAAGTAGTAGTAAGTGGGTAAAAACAGCTTCCCTATTCATAAATATGATGCATTTATAATTATAAATTTGTAATATGCAGTTTATACTCTTTTATTATGACCGGTCAACTCACACCTACTGGTACAACAACAGTTTGTTAATAAGAAGACTATAAATAGACGCTGAAAACAGACCTATATTTGACCAAGCACTGAATGAGGAAGTCTGCTTTTCATAATCGGAACATGAAATATGAACACAGATCTCACATTGTGTATGACAGGTCCACCATCTTCAGAGCTCCAAAAACAAATCAAAAACTAAACTAATAAAATATTTCTTCACTGATATTGATAAAATAATAAATCCACCTACATACTCACTTTATTATTTTGGTGCAGGGGATTAAAGTGTTAAAATAGCCTTAACCCTGGTCAGTGTTAATCTATGGCCTCATAAAGTGCAAACTGTTAAACATTTACGGGAAACTAAGGGCAAGACCTCCAGCTTTCAGATTAAGTACACACTAACTAACTAACTAACTAACTAACTATCTTAACTAACCAACTAACTAACTAACTAACTGACAGGATACATTTACTCTGATAGTCAGGGTCTCCACAGTGCCATAAAATAAAGGTTTATGTGTAAAAAGGATTTGACATGCAAGTTTGATTTGACTGGGCTTATCCTCAGGTGTCCCTTTAAATGTTGAAGTGTCCCTTTAAATCTGTTTTAGGTTTTTCTGTCATGTATAGTTTCTGTATGCCCCTCTCGCTCTTGTAAATCCTGTCAACATATTTCTCATCTTCGACTGATCTTTACCTCCGGGCGTAGTGCTGAACAGGGTCCCTCCCGGAGTGGTGGAGTAATCCTGGGGCATGTGAGCCGCATCGTGAATGGCGACCCTCCTGACGGCCGGTATTTCCCGGCTCCTAGTAGTCTGACCCCCTGCTGACATCCCTCACAGAAGCGTAAAACCAGCACGGTAACCGTAAGAGTCGCATACAGCGTGGGAGACGCTCTATTTCTGACGCCAGTAAAGGAAAGTTACCCAGAACCTCCACGTGCTGTGACCACATCCAAAACAAGTCGACAACTTCCTTCAAAACACCACATGGAGCGGAGGGCTGTGATTGGCTAAAAACAGGGGGCGTCACAGCTCATGGGAGTTGTAGTTTTTTCCTCGTCTGGCAGTTGCTCCAGCTCAACTTCCAAATGTACCTGTAAATCCTGTAGGGCAGTGTTGATTTACAGGAGTTTTCAGTTATATACAGTGGAGAGTTTCAAAAATAAATAGATTAAAGACAATAAATGCAGGTTAACAGCAGACCAATCATCTCTGGCCTGTACTAAATACCAAACACATTATATTTCCATAATACATAATATTTTTCCATAAATATCTAACAAACTTAAAACTAAAAAATAGTGCACAGAAAAGTTACAGACACTCGATAGAAACTTACTGAGACTTTTCAAGGCAGTGTTTTGAGGAGTTCTTGAAATTCACAACTGCATACAGACTAAACTAAAAAACTACAACCGTACTTCGATATTAAAGAACCATGACATTTTTGAAGGCTAAGAATACTAGTGCAAAAATATAAAGAAAGGGTAAAGCTTTCTTTTACGGTACACTTATTAACAGGTAATTACCTAGTAAAAACATGAAATTATCTGGTAATTACATGAGAACTACTAAGTCAATACTGTCTAGCTACCAGGTAGGTAACCTTCCATCATCATACAAATTTGAAGCCGAATTGCTCTGGTATTTCCAGGATTTTCTCCACTTCCTGGAACCACCTCTTGCGCAGTAGCATTGTACGCATTCGGCGGGTGAGTCGCTGTGATAATGCTCGGCTCAAACAGCGTATCGCTACGAAATCTTCGCACGCCCATAGGCTGTATCAAGTGTCAATCATAGAAAATAAGAAGCTTTTGAAAATGGAGCTGCACAGAAAAAAGAAAAACTAGACAGTATTGACTTAGTAGTTACCATGTAATTACCAGATAATTTCATGTTGTTACTAGGTAATTACCTGTTAATTACCTTGTAATAAGTGTACCGAAAAAGAAAGCTTTACCAAAGAAGGATATTTTAGTCAGAAAACATGATACAGCACATATGTCACATCTTTGTTTATTAATTCTTGTAAATGGTTTGAGCTGGTGTACAGGGTAAGATGATCTATACATATCTTCATGTCAGAATGATTCTGATTGAAAGGCTTGTATACATATTCACGTTTGTTTATCCTCTCTTCGGGACAATACAAAAGAAAAGAAAACAAGTGGTCATAGCTACAAAGCCTCTACATTCCCCATGATGTGGGTGTTGGCCTAGTCTAGATAATGCTTAAAGAACATCCATAACAACTCTATGAGGGTGCATAGCATTCTAATTAAATATATTTTGTCATATATTTTTACATATATTTTCATAAAAACATATTTTTTGTGCATGTGCGCAGTTGCATTCCTTAGGATAGAGTAATATGATATTGCGTTTACATTGTCATGTATCCATTCTAAAGGAGTATAGGTGATCTCTATTCTTCGCAACACTTGATTTTTATTTTTATTTCATTTTTTACAATATTCTGTCTTTGAACACACCCTTGTTGGTTACGCGTCCTCTCAAGTCACACTCCTGGTAAAATTTCTCGTCTTCCCCCCTAATCCAACAATATTTGGAACCCAGCATCACACATATAGACACACATTCACACACACCTGAATCATACATGCACACATGATAGAGGACACTGGTTAGTTTATCCCAGATTACTTCCAATAATTCACATTTGAGTGGAAACAGGGGAACCATTGAAATAAAAGAGCTTCCTAGTGTGAAATTTATTGACTGATCAAAACATTTTAATTCCATATCTTATTATTTGTAAAATTTCGGAAATATTTTATATTTTCCTGATTATAAATAAATTTGAAGGCTTTCTTCAAATGTTTTTGATGTGTGAGATTTTTCTTCTTTTAACAATCTTACTACATTGCAGTAAGAAAAATAAAAAAGGCAAGATGTGAGCTGTGCCGTGTGATCTTTTAATACTGTATCAAATATTGTCTTACACAGAGCTTGAGACATGTCAGTTTACCAGTTTTTGTGTCTTCATTAGCGCTGTTTTATTTGGTGTTGTTTTTTAGCTGAGTATGAACTTTGAATCCCAACTGCAAAGACGGACCCTGTTACTCAGTGTGAGAACTTACTATTACACAATCTTCAGATGGTCTTAATGCAATAAAAGTTAAATGCTGATGCAGGAGGAAAACAACCTGGAGAATTGTGGGAATTTAAAAGAAGTCTTGTGACTTTCTGTGTGTTATGGTAAAAGAAGCTCACCAAATCCCTCTCTATTTATTTATTTTTTCATTCCCAATAAAAATAAATAAATAAAAAATCTGAAAACTCTACATGCAAAGAGCTGGGTTGATACTACATTATGTGTCATTTTTGGTCTCCTTAAAATCAAAGTGGGCACAACCCCATGCACACGCATGCACTCACAACCATACTTACACAAAAGACATCCTTCTTCCCACCCCTTCCCCCACTCTGAAACCCACATGAATCCCCAAACACTCCCTAAATGTCCCCACAGTCAAATCCTAACTCTGAAGCTCTAACTTCATGTCCTTTACTTTGAGAGGAGGACTCCGAACTTAAAAAACTCAAAGAAGTTGATTCTGACCGAGCAGAACTGAAAACCTGAGTGGAGTTACAGTGGAAAACATGTGATATGTAATTAACATGTGCTATATCTGATGAGGCTCTCGTGCACAGACTGGGCATGGAAAATATGTGCATATGTGTGACGTGTAACTAATGTCTACATTCATTCATTCGCTCATTTATTCAGTGTCTCATTCACTCAGGCTACAGTAGCGTTTACAGTACTTAAATATTGTGTTTTGATTTCCAGGAAAATGTGTGCTACTATGATATGACCCCTTCATCGTGCTGCCGTCAGTTTTATGCATAAAGTAAGTGATGAAGGGTGGATTACAGGGATGCCAAAACGACACACTAACAACAGCGTCTACGTATACCCAGTACAATAAAATGCAGCCAGGTGGTTTCCACCTTACAGCAGCAGCGGCACACCTCTTAATAGATATTAGTGTGATAGGTTAATATATCCTGGTTTATATTTTGCTACGTTAGGTGCTAAAAAAAACACAACAGAAAAAACAAAACAAAACAAATAAAAATCTGTTTCAGGCCTCCCACGCTGCTACCGCTGAGTCATCCAATCTTGCATCAGTACATCGTCTGTGACTCATTCACATCAAGGTTGACTTTAACATTCAGATAAATCATATCAGCCCGACTGATGTTCATCCAAACGGAGTATCTGTGTTCACTGAGGAGTTCATTCAGTCACCTTCTAGATATACAAAACCCTGGCTCATCTCTTTTGTGGTTCTTGTAAGGTTTTTTATTGCTGTGGCAAACTCCAAAATCACTGTCCTCTGACACTTTGACCTGGACATGATTATTCAACAACGTCATGTTTTTTTTTTTCTGATTATGTGTCTATATATACTGTGCTTTTTGTTAGTTTATATGAATGTTGTGTCTTCACAGTTCACGAGTCTGGGGTCAGTGATATTTAGACGATCACAGTGCTACCTGTCCGTCCTCTCTACTCAGGTCCCTTCATCTAACATAGCGTCACGCTATCTCACACTTTCTACCTCTTACGTGGACATCATCCAAACCACCACATCCTCAAATGAATCAGATCCTCCGCCGTTTCTCTGCGTCTTCCTTACATGTGAATTTTCAGCGAGGCCCTGCAGCCGTTGCGAACAGATAAAAAGAGTGCGCACACGTTTTTTTTTTTTTTCTTTTTTTTTGACTTAGATGGAGGAGCTAAGGATGCTGATGACGAGGCTTGTGTTTTCACTGCATATTGACTGAGGCTACTGATAAAGGTTGTGGATCAGGATGACATGCGCTACTGGAAGAAACAACGGAAGAAGAAGGAAGTAGAAGGTAGAAGAGGTCACGAGGGGCGAGAACGTTAAATCGTCGTGTTGTAAAGCTGTTGCTCGGTGCAAACAAGCAACTGACCCCTTTCTAAAGAACACATTCCCTGTTGTCTGAAAACACACTTCTCCTGAAAAACACAAGGATTCAAAGAGCCTCAGTTTCCTACTGAAAGTTAAACACTGCTTCAACTCAAGGCGGACAGGTTTTCAGAAAGAAACAAATAACACAAGCTTTATCCACAAAGGAAAAAAGACGTTAACACGCGGACAGGAACACTTACAAGCAGGGGGAGCGCAGCGGCTTTCTCATTCTAGCACTGAGCACGCCATGACATCACAGGGGGCTAGAGCCAATCGTGACGCGTGTCAGCACGAAGCCAGAAGCAAGAAACACATGCGGTAGAGAAGAATAGGTGCACACATACGCACACATCCACATACTGACACATGTCCACGTAGCATAGAGTGCATATATCACATAGAGAATAATAGGGGAGAGGTCCAGTGAGAGACGCATCGGTAGGCTCAGCAGAGGCGTAGCTGTGTACAGAACCATCCGTTTGGGGACTTTTTTGGCTGTAGTGTTATTGGACTCATCTTGCTCGTCACTTTTGTCAGGGAGGGGGTGGGGGGGTGAGTAGGTCCATTAAACAACATGTGTCCGAAGTGTTGGCCAGCCCCCATACCTTGTACCCCTTCAGTTTGTAGATAATGACAGTTCAAAAGGTCAAAGGGCATGCACCAGCAGTCATCATGCGTTTACAGTTCACAGGAAGCACTTTTGTTGCTTTTTTTTCTTGGTTGTTTCACTGACATTTAAGTTTGTTTTTTTGTTAAAAAAAGAATCTTCATGCCATGGTTTAGTTGATGTTTTTCTTTACAAATGTTATAAAACTACAAGTTTCACTCCTTTTTTCTCTGTCTCTCTCTCTTTTGGGGTGCTCCATGGTCACACACTGAGGATGATTCTGTGTTTGTCACTGTGTAGTTTGCACGTCTTGTCTTTATCTCACTCCTCCTCTCCTCCTTTGCTCATTTTCCTCTTCGGTCCGGTTGTGTTTTTTTGGAGGACGGTTTGGCAGTGGCTTTCCGGTCCTAGAAAACAGAGGGAGAGAAACTATAAACACTTGGAAACCTGACTTAGTTCTTCATTGTCAGAGTAGTGAATGTCAGATCTGAGGTTCTCATTTTGAACATACATGAAACAGAACAGAGTGTGACAGACTACTGAGCTCTGACAGAGTTAAATGTGTCGCCATACGGGCTTCTTTCCAAGCACTGGGATGCACAAGTGCTTGCTGAGTGTCCCGTACCTGGAGGACTGGGGTAGTATGTGTATTTCAGTGTTTAACTCTCCGCAGACTGGTGCGCTGCACTGACTGAGCACCCTTTCTCACATCCACCCCCACCTGGAGCAAGGAGGGAGGGAGGAGGGAAGGAAACAACACTCAGACCAGTTAACTCCTGAAGCCTCTTCATGAAACCAGAGCAGGAAACTAACTCGTCTCTCCACCGGCCAGCCAGTGTGGCTTTCTGACTTCATCACAAGTACGAACTCATCAGCCAATCAGTTTGACAGGGATCATTTCTGAAACACTTCACTACCAACATCATATGGATATACTGTATAGATACTGAAAAGCACTTTATTAATGGAGACAATGACAATGAAAGGTGGTAATGGCCGACTTTTCGTACACATCTTTCAGGACGGTAGGCCTTCGATTTTGTTGTTTTGAATTTTCTCTCTCAGTTTTTCACATTTTGATATTTCAAAGTAGACACAATACTTTCGACCCACATTTGGCTGGTGGCTGCCGTTAATTTCCCACCCTTTGTGCCAGGCTTTGAGACTGATTCACAGTAAAATGTGACTGTGCTCCATTTTACTTTTTTTTTTCGTGAAAATGACTCCATGTAAACGACACAAACACTGATTTACCTTTCGAGCGAGCACCTTGCCCTGTTCAGAGGCAAACTGTGCCTCAGCAGCGTAGTCGTCTTTCTCCTCTCTCTGGAAAAATAACATCACAGAATAAGATGTTAGACCTGATGCGTTTCCACCCAAAACAGCAGAAACTTCAATTTTCAGGAACTACTTTCAAGGAACTTCAACTTTCCACCAGCCTGATGTTGTCGGACTTTTCACTGCAGTTTATAGACTTGGGAATTTTCAGCAAACACATCCAAATCTTAAAAAGTGACACCAACTTTTGGTTACTTAGTTTGTGGTTGCAAACATTTATATATATCCATAATTAGTATAATTCCATTTCTAAACATTTAAGTTAGTGTACTCTCTGATTATATTCACCTTATTTGTGCTTCATCTCAATAATACATTATCAATTAGTGTATTATTAAAAAGTGAGATGTGCGTAGCCTTGGAGGTGCAGTGTGTAGATTGAGGAGGATTAAGCCGATAAGTTGTTGAAAATTGGACTATAACATTTTTAAATATGTTTAGATTCATATACAATCACTTAAATATGATTTTTTTTTGTTTACTCAGGTTTAGCCTTTTATGTCTACATGAAAACAGATCCCTGCCGTGACGGTTGTTATCCCGAATCTCCATTTTTCTACTGCAGCACAGACAAACTTGTTACAAACCCGCCTCCTCCTTTTATGTAAAAAGGATGCAAAAAATGCACGATGGAGAGGAAGTGAATGGTTGTGTGCAAAATATTTTGTTTTGGAAAAAAAACAAAGGGAAGATCTTACTCATCATGCATCCCCCTGTCTCATTATCATTATCATCATCATCATCAGGTGAGTCACAGAGTATTTCTATCTAGAATTTGACCTCTAGATACTGCTTAATATTCCCATTACTACACACTGCACCTTTCAACACCAAAGAGAGAGAGCTTATCTCAGACAAAAAGCTGCTGTAGATGGCATCATCATGGTATCCAACACTATTTGAGGTCTATATTAATAAAGATATGCTCTTCAATCGCCACAAAATTCAAAGACAGGCTTTCTTTAACCGAACGACATTAAAGAAATCAGGCACACTGTCTTAAAATCTTGCAAATTAGCCTTTGAATTTTCCTTTTAGACTGGATCATGACAGATTCCCCATCATCACAAAGCTCCGATAAGTCTTAAAGTCCTTACAGCTGATCAAGAACTTATTCTGTGAGGATGTCCTTTTTCTAACACTAGCTTATCCGCTCTGGTGAACAGTTCCTTGAAACATTCCTGATCCTCGGGAGAAGTTCCTGCCGTGGAAACACAGCTAGATTTGCATAATAGATCTGTTAGCATTTTAAATGTAAAACAAAACCAAAAACTACTGGGCATGGCAGATTGTCCTCATGTGTTGCGCCTCACAACACATTGATCAGGTCAGGTTAGTGACTTCATCAAAATCATCCATTTTGATGATTGCAGAGTTATCGAGTGGGGCTACAACTGCTGATGAAGGCAAACATTCAGAAACGATAAAGAGATGGACAAAGATGTTCCCCCTCCAGGCGCAGGAAGCGGCGGTGGTTGTCGCGGCAACCTGACCTGGCCCCGCCTCTGCTCCTTTTCCCAGGCACGTTGGCCCATCTCCTGGTGAGAGAAGCCCAGCCCCTTGTCAAAGGGCTGTGTGCCCTGCAGGAAACGCCCACGCAGCACATAAGAGTAACCCGTGTCACACACCGGAGTCAGCAGAGCCTCCTGGGCCACTCGCAAGCCTGGCATGCTGCCGTCGCGTCCTGTTGACACTGAGCCCACCCAGCCCTGCAGAGAGTCCTTGTCAGGCAAGTACGGCTGAAATGCTCCACCGCCCACCATACTGAGGACCGAAATGTGGATAAAGCACAGAGAGCAAGAGAGAGAGAGCAAAAACAGAGAAACAAGAAAACAGAAAGTGGATCAATACAAAGTTTTGTTTATTTGCGACAAGAAAAGGTCGATTCGTTTCAGAGGATTACAGCCGACTTACCGGTTATCCCCGTTGTGCTCCGAGGCGCGACTCAGTCCCGATATCTCACACCGTTGGGCATACACCTGCTGGCCTGCAACAACAGAAATTCCCTCCACTGAACCCAGCCCTAGACTTTCACCTCCCCCTATAGCCCCTCCTCCTGCGACGAGGGCCTCCCCTCTCCTTCTGTCCGACCTCTGACCTCCCAGCTGGCCGTTTAAGTTGACTTTTGGGACGGCACCACTGGCTCTCACCCTGTCCCTTTCTGCCAGTTCTGTTGTCGGCTCTTGTGGCGCCTCCTCCTCCTCAACCTCCCCTTCCTCCTCCTCCTCCTCCTCTTCCTCCTCCAGCTCCATGATGGAGCCACTAGCCCCGCTGGCTCCGCTGCTTGGGCGACCCAAGCTGCAGGGCAAAGAGAGGGTGGCGCCCTCTGAGTCGTCGGCCCGACTGCTGCCCTCTAGTGACGAGTCTTCCACGGCCAGCGAGGGGCTGACCCCTGCTGGCCACACTTGAATGTCCGACATCTCCACAAGTGTGTCTTCCTCGGTGGTGGCGATCGGAGCGCACTCGAGGCTCGAGACCTCCTGCCAGTAAGGCTCCACGCCCAGCGGAGATGGCAAGCTGTACTGCATAGAGGCTGGGGACAGCAGCTCCTCCTGCACCAGCCCATAACCTGAAGGGAAGACAGGGGGGAGACAGAAGAAAGACTAACACCACGCAGGCACAGCCAAGGAAAGAGTGGGGGGTGGTAGTTTGACTGTTTCTCCAACCTGTGAGGAAACAGTGAGGCACAGCCCTGTCCCAATACACCAGGGAGGACAGCAGAGTCCGTCTTTGGAGACCAGAAAGCTTTCGATTCAGCCAATGTGACAAGAAGGATGCTATGTGGACTCAGCGATCTGACACAAATACATCCTTGGGTGGTATCTCGTAATGCTGATTTTGATCATGGGTCTTTGAATAATTGGATAAATTATCTTCTGTTTGTGTCTTTTAACCAAATCTCAGTATGTTTCCGTCATTGGGACACAGCAGTAAGCGTGAGGTGTGGGTTAGAGGGGTTTGGTGTATCATTCACTGTCTGTGAGGTGAACTGTGCAGGGCTCTATGTAGTTCGTCGCCATGTAAGTAAGGGAATCTGCAGAACAGACACTGTGTTCCTTTAAAGGCAGAAAACAAGGTGAGTCTATCATAAACAGAACAGATGGCGGGGTTGGCACGACAAAATATTGTATTTGTAACTTTTAAAGGAAGTGTAGTTCAGTAGGATTTTAGGATCCTTAGGAAACCAGGGCTGTTGGATTTACCAAGAGCCCATGAAATGAGTGGTCGGACTTTTAAACTCTGACCATCACAAATAAATGTCTTTTCTTCAAATTTGTTTGGATCACCGTCTGTGTAAACCAATTCCAGCAGAGGCCAGGTGCTGCTCTCTGTCAAAGTGAAGACGACGTATCAGACTACGTTATCTCTCTACATCGTTTTCATGAAGCTGCTCTGTTATCGTTCCAACCCTTGTTGTTGCAGGTTCCTGTGTGGAGTCAGCAGCATCTTGCAGATTCTAAGAGGAAAATGCAAGTTACTGTTGCTCTTGCATTCTCCTGTGGTTACACATTAGTCATGCATTCATATTTCTGCACCCCAAGCATAGAAATAGAGTTCATAGATCAGACTCTCCACAACATTCTCAACCACACGCACTAGACATCAGACAGTCAGACTCTGTTTATCAAAACTTTGGAAAGTTGAAAATGCCTGTATTGGAAGTAACTACAACTCTGCTTTCATTTAGTTCTTAATTGAAAAGATAGTCTTTGAAAAGTCACTCATTTAAGTCATAAGAGGCTTGACTACTCTACTCATACAGCTGTGAATGAAAAAAGAAATCAGTGCTTTCATTTTAAAAGTTTTACTTCAATCTATGAATCCAGACACTTAGATATAATAACCAATACATGAAGAAATAACTTTTTCAATAGTCTTAAGCCCTTGACTTTCACTGTCAGGTCTATTTTAGTTTAAAAAACTAAACATCTCTCACTGCAAATATACAGAAGTACAAAAAAAAATTCTACAAAACATGCAAACAGGATAAATCTGAGATCTTTAAAGTGACTTTCATTCATAATTTTGAGTACAAAGACCAGAGCGGAGTGCTCGTACACAAAGCTCTAAACTGCATACATCCTTATTCTGTTCATACATAATCATGATCAAGCTAATTTATCTGCTGACTTCCATCTTATTATCGTTTTTTGAAGATTTTACTTTTTTCTCTTTTAGTAGTTTCCCTTTCTGTCTTTGCTATCCATGACAAATATTACATCGAAGTTTTACATAAAAAAATGACCAAATGTCCAGAAATATAAATCAACACATAACAGGACAATTGTACACATTGACAAAATTATGTGTCAAGATGAACCTATTCGCTCACGTCTGGAGTTGCATAAAATATTTTTGATAAATTGTCAGATTAATGAATTCAGATGAATGATAAAAGGTGAAACGGAACAGGAGTATTTCACCCACAAATGTTGGAATTTATATGAAATATTGTTTGAGAGGGTCGAAACTGACAATTGCAAAGATGACAATGTTAAAACTGCAAACATCTGGAAGTTGCGTAGATGCTTCACAGTAGTTTTGCTGTGATGGAGCTTTGACTCGTGAAAACATGTATTTCAGATGAACTTTCTAGGTATGAAAATTAATCATACCCAATGCTTAAATTATTGAAGATAGGGGTGCAAAGGTAAACGCTGATCCTGAATACTTGCTGATCCTGACCAGGCTCAGACAAAGAAAAGCCACACATATTTTTGTAGTTTCGTAGAAATTTCTTTAAACCTCGACAATCACAAAGAACGCTCATCAAGAAATTATGACTTCCATAGACTGATATCTTGTTATCCTTGTCTAAAATTCTCAACTATGGAAGGTGAGCAGCACGGCTAACGAAATACTGGCCATGATCAACAGAACAGTAAGATATGCCAACCACTCTAGGTCTTCAAATAACTTTGTGCACTCGAACTGTGTTAATGCAGTTCTGTAAAAGCAACTCATGACCTACATGAGGAAATTTTACCACGATGTGAAGTTTTGTGAAAACGGGGATTTGTTAAAAAACTGCAACAAAGACTATCATACATATATATCATGAAAATAAATGTCTTTTCTCAGAGGCTTTTAAGTCAAATTAACCAATTTACAGTGTCCAGTATAAATCAGCACACCCCTTATAAAAATAATGTATTACTCAATATCTATATGAGCAAAAGTACAATTTTCAAAGTTTTGACAAAGCTGAGTTTAACATAACATTTTCTTTACCATAAAATGAAAATCAGGGGGATATGGTAACTAAAAGTTAGCTTTGCTCTCAGAACTTTGAGTGGGGTGTACTCATTTTTGCATCCTGATTTTAAATAGAAAAAAAAATACTATTTTGTTTGCACTTTAAAAACATAGAAAATGTTGATTTTGAAAGGAAACGCAAGGTTTTCTAACAACTCTGCAGCGGTGTACTCATTTATGCTCAGCACTGTATATAGACACAGTTATTATAAGTCATTAGTTCTAGCAGAAATCAAACGGTCAGACTGATGTCTTACAAAATTGTGGGTAACACCTAATGAGGTCAAAGGTGACTCCAAATTATCAAAAAAACATTAATGGGTGAAATACCTCTTTACTGTAAAACTCACTGTCTCTAACCGTGCTTGTGAGTGAGTGAGTGTGTGTTTGTGAGTGAGTGAGTGAGCGTGTGTGTGTATGTGAGTGAGTGAGTGAGCGTGTGTTTGTGCGTGTCTGTTTCTGGGATGGTACAGGGCCAGGAGAATGAGAGGTGGCGTCAGAATGAGGTGAACAGGGAGGAATGAATCGGGATCAGAATGAGAGTTAGAATGAATTAGTTGAATCTGGGTTAGCCTTTTCCTTCACTCCTGCTTTTTAAACAAAAACACACACACACGTAAACACACACACATACACAAACACACACATATAAAGGTGTCAAAGGCACAGGATGTAGTGAAGCACAAAGAAGATCCACAGAGACGACAAAAAACAATGAAAATACTCCACTCACTTTACCACTGTGTACACACACACACACACACACACACAGAGTACTGCACTCATATTCAAACACAGATGAGGACAAACACTTTTAGCTCAAGTTTACACAAAATATCACCACACCCAAGCCACAGACACACACACCTCAGTATAATACCTTCTGACACATAACGTTCAGACAATGTTAACTGTGAGTGTGTCATAAGTTCAGGGCAAGACGCCGATCTTATAAAGCCGGGTCGACTTTACCGTGTAATTTAAGCGCAAACATGTTCATCTTTAGCAACTTTAAACTCAAAACTTTTATTTTCCCTGCATAAATTTAAACATGTTTTATTGTAATATTCAATTTCAATACAATTTTGCCCATGAATGAATGACACCTCCTCACAGCAGCATTATACCGAGAACGTTATGTTTCTATATGACCATGTTTTACAGCGTAGCATCAAAAAAACACACCATTTATTTCACAGTAAAAGAAAAAATAACCTGTTTGTTAATATAGCATCGAAAAGAAGACTGAAATACACCCATTGAACAGAGAAAACATTTTACACTGTGAGGAAAACTTCTTACATTGAAAGCATGCCATGCACATAAAAATGTCACAATAAAAAACAACAAACGGCAAACATTATCAGAAATCCCTCACGCACAAGTCCCAGTGAATTTACAGTCAAATGCGTCTCAACTAGGTCTAGATAAAAAATGAATTTTACGATCTTTTTAAAAATTTAAGTAATCTGAATTTATCTTGCAAGCATTTCCACCAAAACAAACGAACTAATAAATGAAATTAAACCCATACACAAATTTCTTGCAAGCTAAACTAACTTAGTCGTTTCCTTCTTTGACTCACGTCAACGTTAAAAAGTTCAGAGCCAAGATCTGAAACACGCAAGCATACACACACACACACAAACAGATACTTGAACGGAAAAGCATGCAGCGTGCACATGCACAAACTTTAGTACACACACAGAGCTGGATTGAGAGAGGAGGAGGAGGAGGAGGAGGAGCAGGAGGAGAGGGTCCCCCCGCTCGACTGAACGAAGGAGGAGCACGGAAAATAAGATGACAAGAGAAGAGGAGGCCCAGAGGTCAACATGAGGTCATATGAGGTCAGAGGTCGGACAGGAAGAGCTGTGAGGAAGAAGAAGAGCAGGAGAGGGAGCAAGGAGGAGGAGAAGCAAGGGCGGCTGGGCAGCAGATATGACATGTTTCAGGTCAGAGACTGAGAGAAAGAAAGAGAGAGAGAGAGAAAGAGAGAGATTGTCCTGAGTAAAAGACAAATCTTAAAGATCAGTGAAGCATCGCAGAGTCAAAGTCTGCTGTCAGATGAAAAGTCAGGAGTAAAATTATGTCTTATTCTCAGGGAAAGAAAGAAAGAAAGAAAGAAAGAAAGAAAGAAAGAAAGAAAGAAAGAAAGAAAGAAAGAAAGAAAGAAAGAAAGAAAGAAAGAAAGAAAGAAAGAAAGAAAGAAAGAGGGAGGGATAGACATAAGGTATGAAGGCCCAGAGCACACTATCATTTGTGTGCTTGTGTCACTTTTGAGTGGTGTATCCATCCCAGACACACAAACAACACACAAATTGTATGCGCACACACACAAAAGTATGTGTGCACACACTCTCAAACACGCCTGAAGTGTGAAAAATCTCTGATATTCAATTTCCCCAAAGTTACCCTGTTTGGCCTTGAAGCGCGCTAGTTTACTCTGAATTGACTCCGAGTGTGTCCTCGTTTCTCATATTTAGTGAGAAGGGTAGGAACCATCATGTTTAGGGCTCAAGTATGAGGTGTGAATAAGAAAACATGACTTATGCCCCAGTGAGGAATGCACAGAGGCGGTGTTAGTGCATGCTGCAAAGGTCGGGTTTATGGTGGGAGAATGACACCATTCCTCAGACCTCAAAAACATCATTTGAGATTCATCATCATCATCATCATCATCATCATCATCATCATCATCATGAGCAGCAAACCACCATGCAGCCCAGGTTCAGCTTCAACTTACCCCGTCTGAAAAATGGGGGTCTAATAACTCGTGGCTTGTGCACTAGGCGCGATGGCCTTGTGTCCGTGACCTCTTGTGGAGCAACAGAGACAAGGTACAATGGCTGTTACCCACACTCAAGTCAAGCAGGGAGGTTTTCAGAGGTGGAAAGCAGATCTCCTCATTCTCGTTCTGAAGGATTGTGTCTCTGTGGACATTTTGACTAAACCGAACTAGCTTACATTTGTTTACCGAAAACATTTGTGAGTAAAAATCCAGGAGAAAAATCCCTGAATCAAGCAGGTTCTTTTACTACGACTACTTTTACTAATTCACTATAAAGCATTTGTTTTTGTTATGTTAACACTTAACACATAATTGTAATTTTAACCATGCATAACTTAAAATGAACTTTGTCATCATTCTTTGTCACGATTCCCCTTCCGCTGTGGACTTTCCATTTGTGACCATTATAGAAAATTAAGACAGCAATCAACTTTACAATTAATCCTAATAATAAACTGTTGTATTGTTTTGGTTTTTTTTTTAATTGGAGGATAATCAGGGCAAATGATCTGAAACGGTTGGAACAATCACTGCAAATGCAGAGACGATATATTTTCAAAAATGCATGCAACTGTTTAAAACGTATCACTGCGAATGAAGGAAGCGTGTTGCAAACTGCCAAAACAACTGCATGAACAGCATAGGCATTGCCAATACATACATGGTATGAAGCAAAAACACATCATGACAGACAGCAGCTACAAATAAAGACAAAAGCAGCAGATAAGTCAGACTTAATAATACCCGATAAACATCATCAGAGCTCGGTATGTCTGATGACCATGTCTCAGGTGACAAAACACAACTGTATGTATAAACGTAAAACTGCTCAACCATAGTGAGCGAAAGTGTATATTGGATAGAAAGCCAAGCTAAATTAACCGCTAATAAGTGTAGCATTGGTCAGATTTGGATCTCGGTTAGTAGAATTTTTGGCAGCCATAGAATAAAGAGGACACAGTGGGGATGGGAGAACTGAGTGGTTGTTATGCAACAGCTTCAGGATGCTTGGAGTCAAGCCTTGCTAAAGTCCCACTGAGCTGCTGAGTGCAGCTCCTTCTAGCCACAGACCCCAGATGGCTTCACAGTACCAGGCCCAGTCTGCCCAGTATGAGGCTCAGAGTAAAGAGCATTTTGTCAGTGAAATTCTGAACCCCTGTCTTCACTGTTACAGCTGACAGAATCCAGCTCAGACTCCCCTGGCTGCTTTGGTTTTCATGTTACTCAATGTGTATGAAATCACTGATATATTCAATGTGTCATCTTCTTCTCCATCTTGTCAGTAATAAAGCTGTGTCACTCAGGACCCCCACAAGCCTGGAGTTCTAGTTTTAAAAGGTCTGACTTCTCTGCAGCTTTTATCTTGATTTGCGGCTGTTTTCTGCTTCACATGCTCTTGCTTTCTATCATTTGTGTATCTGCAGTGTTTTTGTTGTTCATGCAGCTGTTTTGGCTTTTGGAAGCATTTTTTTTTTCATTTGCATTGCATTGTGTGTCTTTAAGACTGTTGCATATGTCTGTAAAGTGTGACATTTCTACATGTCTGCATTTCCAGTGTGAAGATCATTCCGGCCGTTGCAGATTGTCTAATGCTGTCAGACTATTATGAACACTATTTCTTTGTATAATTTCATAGGATACTTTACTTATCATGAATACAAAGACTTATTTCACTATTGCATGTCGTATGTGATGTGTGATGTGTTTGTGAGTCTTACCATTGATGACACTGGGGGACAGCAGGGTGGAGTCCCGGTCACTGAGTCGACAGGCACCCTCTTCAGAAGAACCTGGGGCGGGCTGTGGAGGCTGACCCTCCAGAGAGATGACGATGTCTGCTCGGTCGATGTTTTTCAGAGCAGTGTAGAGACTCTCCACTGAGAGGGGATCATTTAGAAAAAGAAACAGAGAGAAATGTGATTACAGAGAAGGAAGCAAATTAATACTTTGGTTTTAAAAATGTTTACAGTCACTACACTGACTTCCAGAATCTTTTACAATTTATTTGCAGGTTCTGTTACTGTTACTGAGTACACAGGTATGAAAAGTGCTTTATAAATAAAGTCTGATTTTTTTATTAATATTTAATAATGTGGGACTCACTCTTTGCTCTTTTGCCTTCTCTGCTCGCCCACAGGCTGAGCAGGGCGGAGCTTTGGTCCAGGAGTGAGTTTGGATTCTCCACACGGATTCTGTTGATGTCATCCACACCGAACTGCAGCTCCCGTGCCAGCTCTAACAAAAGGACAAGTCAGGTCGATAAATTCAGCAATAGCTTGTGAAACTTACAGCTTCAGACAGGTCATCCTCGTACCCTGATTACATGAGGGAGGTATCTCGCGAAGGATATTTCTCGCTTTGTTGTCCTACAGAAGCAAATAACCATAATGCCTGCTGGCTGTCAGTCCTGATGACTGCTTCGAAACATCCTCTTCCTACATGGAAGCCAAACCCTTCCTCTTTCTTCTTCTCATTTGGCTTTTTTCATGATAACGGAGGTTTTGGAAACGGGGCAAAAATTTGTTTGTCAGAGAGATTGGACGGGGATGAGCAATCAAGACAATCGATGGAACCCACTGCGCAATGTGACGTCAAAATGATATCTATTTAATGTATTCTTTCCACGATGAGGTACAAATGTGGATGTTATTTCAACGTCTAATAATGACGTCTAAATCTTGGATCCATTTTGCACATTGTGCTGACATCTAGATTCGGTCTTCAGATGACGTCCAAATTCTAAACATCAGAGCGACATCTAAGAAAGGTCCAATTTGGACGTTGAAATTTCTAATCTATTTTGCATGTCGCACTGACATGTGGTCTTTGACGGACCGACCCAATACTGACTTGATCTGCACGTCTCTTCGATGTCCGAAGTTTGGTGGGAATAAAACAGAAAACGTGACCCTTCCCAACCAACTGTGGAGCAGGCGTGATGGAGGCTTGGTGGAGGCTTGTAGAGCAAAAATTTGCTCCTGTAGTTTATCTTGGTATGAAGATAAAGGACTCATTCAGAGCCAACCTCAAACCAGGATGTTGAAGTTTCAGCACCCTAGACCTTGGACTATCGCTTAACTAGCAGGATACCTGACATGAAAGAACTCAAATGATCCTAGTCAGCTTATCGACCACAGCTGGGAAAATGAGATTTCTGTTTTCTGATTATTCAAACCAATCTATTGACAGTTTAGCGTCCGGTCCTGTTAGCAATCCTATCAGAGGAACAGGTCTGGGTGATTGCCTGAATAAGACTGTAGGATGTCCCTCTTTCTGATGCAGTCGACACATCTGCTGTCCAGTGGGGCTTTGTGAAGGGGGGAGGGACATCTGAGCTAACGTTGGAAGGAGAACAAACGGAGGCTCCTCTGCTGTTTGAAGTACTAACCTGCCCAACTCAAACCCAGCTGTTCGGATATGATGTTGATCTTTATCTCAGTCCTCTCCATCGCATTCACGGTGGCTGGAAGGACAGAAAATTCAAGTGTCAGCAACATACAAATTCACATTTACTGAATTAAGGGAACTGAAACTCTGCTTTAGTTACAACAATGTTTGAAAGTAAGAATGTATTTGGACAGTCCCATTGACAGTTATGGTATTTGTCAGGAAATATAAAACTGTAAGTATTCAGCTTGTGTTTCGGGGTCAATGTTTGGACTCAGGGGCCATGAAACATCAAGATGGGACTTTCCAAATACGTAACAAATCTAAATACTTAAAACCTGACCGTTTAGATATAAATAGATATCTGCATTCACTATTTTGGTTTTGATGATTCCTGTGCTTTTAAAGACTCTGATGTTGACTTGAGTAACTATTAAAATTGCTAACAGCAATACTTACCTTATCAAAAGTATCGTTCTGTTGAAAGAGATATTCAATACCCAAAACACAGTATTTGTCTTAAATTCCTTCAGGGGAAGCACACCATCTGGGCAGGGGAGGATAAATTTGGGTTTCATTCAGGTGCTAGTCCCACCAATCCAAGTTGCATTCAGTAACCAACCACTAGTACGGGACTGTGCAATGTAGCAGCGCTGTGTATTTGATAGACAGAAAAGGCCTTTTCCCTTCGAACCCTCATAATCAGCAAACTTTCAATAAAGCAGGAGGGCCATCTTGACTCTGTTCGTTTACTACAGGCCAATCAATATGAGGACTCCTCTGTCTAGCTCCACTGCGAGGTCCTGCCCATTCCCAGTGTTAAGCAACAGGGCAAATGCTAACCATAACTGCTGCCATGCTAATGGAAATCGCAGTGGAGATACCAGCGCCATGCAAACCAATCATGGAAGTCATTCATCTGCTGTCATAGCGACCAGGACACCTCAGGAACTCATTTGCCTTGAGTTTTGGAGCCATTTTGGGTCCTGTTTGGGACTACAGCTGATCTTTAATATAGTTTCCTCTAACTGCACTACAGAGAACTCTGGGGCACACTGAGGAGCAGTGCATTGCATCCAAGGCTCAGTCTCTGTGCCATGCGTGCACGCGTTACAGATAGGGGGGAAATAAAAAGGGTGGGAAGCAAAGGGTTGTGGGTAACGGGGCAGTGCAACATTCAGTGCCCGTCTCCACTGTGTATAAATAAGGAGAGGGCCGGAAGTCAGGCAGCGGAGGACTCACCCACACCAGGCTCATTCAGCGCGCTGTAGCGTTCCCTCAGGGCAAGGGGGGTTAGAGTCCGCCTGCGCTCCTCACTTCCAACCACCTAAAAAAAAAAAAGAGAATAAACAATAAACAAACAATCAAAATCACTGCATACAGTAGACTTGACCTAATCTCAGAGGTGACATTCATTTGTCAAACTCAGTCAGTGACCTGTGAGCCTCAAGGATAATAAGGATCTTAAGTGGACTTTAGATGTAAATACAGTTTACATGGTTACGAGCATTTATCTTGTTTTAAGGGTCATGTTATTCAAGAAAAAGTATGGCATTTCCCTACCTTTGAAGCAGTCTTTAAGTCCAAAAATACAGTAAATCCAAATGGAGCTACATGTCAGATTTTATTGTAGAATTTTATTATGTTAAGTTTCTTTTATTAACCAACCCAATTTAGTAAAATGATTTTAAAAGTTAAAACAATATCGCGTTCTTCCTTTTTTTGAGTATATTTTTGTGAGCATTAACAGCGTGCTATGCAATGATTTAAAACGTCCATTTTCATTTAAAAATAATGATAATAATAATAATGAAGCACTCTATCATTTACCTGGCAGAAACAAACATTCATTAAATTTAGTGTCTGGTATTTCTTAAGGTGGTTTAAAGTTCTTTTGAACAGCTTTGTTACAGCTGTGATAGTGAAAACTAAATGGGTGGCTTCAGCTTGCAGGCTTACTAACAGTGTAGACGACGGTCTGCTTGAAATAGCTTGCACATAAAAATTAAAAGCCATGACGCTCAATTTATGTGACCACGAGAAAGCTGAAGCAGAGGAGACGTTGGAACGAACAAACATGATTATTGTGGGGGATTTCCAGGCAGTACTTCATGCTGTTTTTGATAACTGCAATAATGATTAGCATACCTTTGAATAGGGCGAGCAGATTTGTCAACGAGTGTCAAAATTTTTTATAAAACTCTTGAAGGAACATTCAGAACAGACAACAAATGTGTGATTATTCGTGATTAAAGGCAATTCAACAAAAGACAATCATGCGATTAAATCATGTTTAAATATGCTGATCGGTTAATAGCCCTAATAATCAATAGTAATTATCAACACTGCGGTAAGATCTAATAATGAACATGCAGTTTGGAGTAAAGTCAAGCTCAAAAGTCCTCGTTTCAGTGATTTTGGAGATGGCTTCACAAACCAGTTCTCACCTTGATGCATGGCGGCATGGTTATGTTAAGGTTGCACAGGACATGTTGTGTATCCTCGTACTTGGTGCACTTCCTCAGAAAGGATAAAAAGCCAATGGCGTCCTTGTTACTATCTCTCACCTAACAGAAAGATGGCGGTAAGAGAGAGGTAGAGAAAGAAAGAAAGAGAAGATAGAAAGAAGGAAAAAAAATAATGGACAGGAAATATGGAGGAGGAGTAGAGGAAGGTAGAGGAAAGCAAAAATAAAAAGGGAAAGTGAAGACAGTAAAAAAAACAAGAAAGAGAAAGAAAAGCAAAGAATGAAAAGAGTAAGATTGAGAAAGAGGAGGAGGAAAAATAGATCAAAACAGGTATTAGTTTCCTCCACAGTGTCTTGAGCATGTGCCGCACTAACATGGGACGAGAAGCAGGGGATACAGGGATGGAAGCAGTCCACAGGCAGGCGAGAGGGAGAGATTTACCTGCACATTTACCTGGACGTCTGTCAGACCAGACAGATACAGAGTGACCGTGAGAGAGAGAAAGAGAGACAGTGAGACAGACACATACAGACAGGCAAGGCCGCAAGATAGGAAGGCAGGCAAAGAAAGTGAGGGAGTCACAGAGCATGCAAACAATTACCCAAGAGAGCTGACAGCTAGAGAGGTAAGTTGTTTGTTGCTTAGCTATCATTATGAAAAGATATTGATCAGATTTTCATCTCGCTGATAATGAGGAGTGGAGTGTGTCACAGACACACAAAAGGGGTAGACAACAGATATATAGATGGATGACTTGATACGATAAACAAAGGGATGACGACACAAATAAAAACACATGAATATGACAACAGGATAGACACAGAAATGCACAAGGTTGGAAAAAAGTTTGGGTTATCTGAGCGAGAGAGAAACGGGTTTAAACAATGTCATAAAAGTGCAGCAGGACAAAAGAAAGACTGATTTAACAATATGGTTACAAATACATCTTTACCCAAAGGACTTTCTTTAAATCAACGTCCTATTACCTATTTTCTCTTGAGGGAATTTTTTTTATAACACATCAATTAAAAATAGTTTAAAAACTTTAAAGAGTGTCTGACAAATGTGGACGATGTTTAACTAGTTTGTGTTTTAGGAAGGGATGAGGACAATTTGACTAAAACAAAAATGGATTGACTGACACACAGATTAAGGAATGTGTTAAGATGTGATTGTCAATAAAAACCCTCAATGATAAAACTTCTTACAAATATATCATCTTGTTATTTCTAACTTGGGATCTGATGAGGTGCTCATGTAAAATTACACTTTTGTCTAAATTCTATATTTATTTATTTGCAGGTGTAGAATACTCCGAGTCAGTGTTGCTGTGATCCTGAATGAATGCTGAGAAAACACAGTACTGGACTGTTATCTGGGGGACAAACTGGGACACTGCCTGACAGATAGGAAGGAGGAAAGCAAACACACAAAAACCACCATATGAACAGCAGGTGAGTGCCCAGGAGGGAAACTGGCTGCAGAGAGGATCCTTGACACACTGAAACCACCAACTGAACAAACACCACAGTACAGTATGAATACGTAGCATGTGATAGAGAGGCAGGCATATGGACGGTCTCATGGAGACAGACCTTGACAGACACAGGCAGCCTGTTATCTCTGAAGGCCTGGAAGCTGAAGCTGCGAGGCTGCTGAGTGGCCTTCCTGATGGGCACGAGGTTCCCAGAACACTCAAGGTGCAGCGGCATGCCCTCCATCAGCTGAGGAGAGTCACAAAATGTTGACAGTGAGTTGGATTTGATATTTGAGAAACAGCCAAAGTGATAATTGTCATTATCAGACACAAACTGTGAACTGATACTGTAGAAATCTCTCCACGTACTCTGTCTCCGTCACTACCTATTAGCTTCCCACTGAGCATTTTTTGGCCTAAAAGAGGTCTAATAGACGTCTAAATGTAGTCTAGATGACTGGTCTAAAATCAGGCTACCACAGGTCTAAAAATGAAAGTTTTCAGACGTCTAAATTTAGACCGGGTTTAGACTAGCCAGCTAACAGAGGTCTAACTGTATATTGCTCATCTATCATAATTATTTTGGTTTAGTACTTGGAGATCAGTTATTCAACTCACAGTTGCTTTCTGAAATAAATACTTATCGAATAGCGGGTTAAAGTGCAACGTCTAAATTCTGTCTACAGATATACAAAATCTAGACGGTTGAAATTAGGTCTAAAAAAAAACTAGATGTCTAATAGCCGTCTATTGCTCAGTGGGTATTATTAGCTTGTGTTACATTTTCTCTCATAAAGAGCTCTGGATCTCAAAATGCAGATGCTGATATGTAGCCAAAACTACGTTTATAAGAGTTGATAGTTTTAAAGTTGATTATTATCTACATAGCTTAGAAATCAGAAACAGGAATGAACTGATTATGTAAAATTTCCTGTTCTTTCTAGGTACAAGGTCTCTGAGATTCCTTTTACTGCTCCAAGACCTGGTTAACATTTTCTGTTCCTGGATGCTGACCTCAATGTCTCGACTGCGGGCGACTTCTGTGAAGTTTTCATGCAGCTCCAGAGTTTTGTCCATCTTGTCATCCGTCATGCAGTAACAACGTAAGCGTCCCTCACGAGCTTCGTTCATCTTGGCAAATATAACAAACTTGGCCATGTACGGCACGGCCATCAGCTCCCGGTACAGCAGGTTGGCAAAGGTCACTGCCTCCGCCGTGCGTGGGCAGTCTGCCAGCCAGAATCTGGATTATGAGGAAGAAAAGGTTAAGAAGACTGGTGAATGTGCACGAAAAAAAGAAGAAGAGATAACTGAAAGTACATCTAGATGAAATACTCACCTGGCAGAAACATTGGTGGTGAAGTTCGCACAGTTGTGGGCGTACATCAGCTTTGTGGTCCCAGTGATGTCTTCCCACTGAGCTGGTGCTGTGCCACCTGAGACACAACGACCACACAGTGTCAGTCATTTATAGCATCGTATAAAAATGTACACCAACACATAAAGTCATCACTCTGTAGAAAACTTGTCTTTTTGATGAACTGTAAAAAATGGATTCTACCGATGACACTGCAGAGCAGGCGCAAGCTGGTGGTATCGCCCTCTCCAGCATCTCGAGGACTCTCTCTCCAGGAGGGTGGCAAAGGGATACGCAAGCCGATTGGACGGTGGAATTTGCGTCGGCGGGGTTCGATGGTAACCACTGGGCTGAAGGTCGCCTGGTTACCAAGCTGTCGAGTCAGCAGCTCATCAGGAATGGGCTGCGCCTGTTGTCGTCGTGTTGGAAGAAAAGGTCATAAATAGGAGGATGTCGGACTGGACATTTTCAGAGATATGAAGTTAGAAAGGGGCTGGGTGGATACATTTGTGAAAATAAAGTCAAGCACAGAGAAATCATAAAAGCTGAAGTCAGTGAAGGTCAATGGGGAAGATACTGATTAGGCAGGAAACAGAAACGAGGAGAGCACACAGAAAAACACACGTGTGCAAAAAGAGTGAAACATCAAACTCTCAGCCATACTCACACATGCAACCAATTCATATGCCACACCTGACCCAACTCAGATCAGTGCATCAGCTCGGTCAGTGTGGTTCACAACTTAAATCAGGGAACTGAGGAGTGATGAATGGCTGGATAAAAGGAAAACACAAGCAGAGCAGCATAAGGTAAAGCAAAAAACTCATGCGGTTTCCTTAAATAGCATCAACGCTGTGACAAATCAGTGCTCCGACAGACAATGTCAGCAATGTACATTCCAGTGATGAAAAAGTGAAATACAGAACCGTGCGTAATTATTCTGTCATGACAAACAAAGCCGAGCGCTGGTGTGGTGTGAAAGGAGACAGTCAGCACAAATGTTTGCCAAGCTTCCATATGTGTGTCTGTGGAGGTCTGGATGAGTGACAGTCAGCCACATGTTTGCCAAAAGCTCCTGTTTGGCAGGGTAGAACCACGTGTTGAAAGGCTAATGTAGAAATGGTACAGTATGGTTTGACAGGCTGAGATATTCACACACCTAATCCTTAGTGTTTGAGTGTTTATGGTGATAAACCATAAAAATAAAAAAAAAACACATGCTTTTTAAAGGCATCAGAAAACCTCTGAAAATAAACGACATCTCTTTGACATTTTGACGAGTTCTGCTGATCTCACATTAAAGGGATATTCTGGCATAAAATCAAGCGAGGGTCTAATACACAGTAACACCGAGTTAGACACCCTGTCGAGAGATGAATGTTGCCGACCGCTTGCTTCTCTAGTTATACCAACTTTAGTAAAGACCAAACAATAACAGCACAGAGCGGTCTCAGGAGCCATGCGCTTAAACAAAAAGCCACTCTATAGCCACAAATAATGCTCAGAACAGCACCTAACTTCATCAACAGGACATATAGGGTCCCAGCCATAGTACTAGCCATCAAACATCTTTTTAGCTTTGCCCGATTTCTTTGGCAAAGAGACTAAACACAACTCACCTACTCTCTTCCAGCAGCCGCTTGATTTTACAGAGACATCGGGTGAGTTGATCGACTGCAGCGGGGTGTCGCAGTTCAAGGAAGAACATTTCAGAACTACCGCGTCTGCAGTGCAAAATGATTAATAAGATGATTATTACTTCAAGGAAATAATAAAGTAATGATCATAAATGTTCTTCCTTGAGCTGCGTCACCCCGCTGCAGTTGATGGACTCGCCCAATGTGTCAGTACAAACAAGCGGCTGCTGGAAGAGAGTAGGGCTGGGACCCTATATTTACCGTTAATGAAGTTAAGTGCTGTTCTGAGCATTGGTTGTGGCTATAGAGTGGCTTTTTGGTTAACCGTGTGGCTCCTGAGACCGCTGTGTATTGCTATCGTGAGGTCATTACTAACATTGGTATAACTAAAGACATGACATAACTAAAGGCATGTGGATGTTTACCTGCAACGAGGACTGAGTGCAGACTAACGGTGAACTCTGAAAATCCATTTTGCTATGATACTACAGACACTGTAATCCCATGTTTGACTCTGCTGATTATATTTTGCTCAGTTTTGAGTGTTTTTCTATTTTTTTATCTTGGCAGTCAGTCAGAATTTAAGTTTACATTGAAACAACCAAAAAAAAAAAAAAAAACGTTAGCTGTTACTGACTGTTTGGTTGGGCAAGCTGGAGGATAAAAACAGACTTAAACGTCATCTTCATCAGTCCTGCACATTTCTGCACCCTCCTCAGATCTCTGGTCCTCCTCTTACCTGCAGTCCCAGTCTCACTCTCTTGGTAACAGCCGTCTCTGGGAAGATGGCCTCGACATGGGGCACGAGTTTGCTGGTCAGCCTGCCACCCTCTGGACCAATCAGATCACTTTCCTGCTGAATGCGAGACACCACTGCGAAGTAGAGCGGGAAGTCAGTGGAGATGATCCGGCGGATTCTCTTCTTTTCCAGCTCGTCTTGACTCTCCAAGTCTGCACACAGGGAGGAAAGAGAACAAGAGGAGGGCAGAGTTAGTAAAAGGAGATAAAGCGAGGACAATAAAGTGAGAATCATAAACTCCTCTTTTGGATTAGACATGTTCAGGAAAGAGAAACTGTAATTCCATGACCTTGCTTTGACAGCATTTCTCTAAAAAAAAAGGATCCCCTCCCTGTGTCCTTGTCTTGTAACTCCAGGGTCATCCATCAAGATTAGGACTGACTCATCTGCAACCATGCAAGGTTTCAGAAACACTCATTCATTACCATCACACTGACCTTCATCCATGCCATTAAGAATGGTTTCCAGCACTTCGTCACCATAGCGATTGCGATGTTCTTTCCAGACTGAGCCGTTTTCACTGCGGAGGACCACAAGCTCTCTGTCCCCTCGACCCAGTGAGGCAAAGTGAGGGATTTCCACGATGACAGGCCTTTGAAAGAAAGAAAGAAAGAAACCTCTCTGTTAAAACTGGTTCTGAATCCAAGTATGCACAAAAGAAAGGCAAGATGCACCAGTTTACAACACTAAAAATAAATACAACTGAGCTTAGTGAATTTAAAAACGTGGTTTTATAGCCAAACAAGCAACAAATTTAAGTTCTGTACTGATATTATGGCTGGGACAAACTCTTAATTTTGAGTACAAAACTTTGATATGCACGTCTCTTCATGTCCACTAGATGGTGTAATAGCTCTTCACTTGTGATGTATTTTGAACTAACACAGGACAGTTAAAAACTGTGGTTCCATGCATGTCCTTTTAAATTATATTTTAAATAACAGCAGACATGACACCTATTTTAAGACTTATTTTAAAAGAATTAGAAAACTAAAAGAATTAGAAATTAGAAAACTGATCCCCCTATAATCCACAAACACTAAAATATAATTTGTGAAGGAGGCACACTACATAGATACAGTATACATTTACACAAAGCACTACATTACACTTTTAACACCCAAAAAGGGAAAATAAAAGAAAAGTCAAAGCTTGACTTACCCGAGGAACTGCATACTGGAGGGCCCGAGAGAGATGATACGGCTCGCAAGCCCTTCCCCCTCCACCAGCGGAGGAGGCGTGGTCAGTTTCTGAGGTTTGACCAGACGGCAGGTGATGCGTGTTGGGGCAGTGCAGGTTCGAGGAGGAATGATAACTCGTAGGCCGTGGTGTCTGCTGCCTCGCATGGAGCCTCCTCGAGCATCCACCATGAAACTCACCAGGAAGCTGAAAGTCAAACAGCGAGACAATAAATTAATACTATCGTTCAGATGAACCCGTCATTTTATTTTACTGAAATCTACTGGATCATAAAAATTTACAGCCAAGCTCTTGGCAGTCTGAAGAGAGTTTCTTGTGAATGAAGGAGGGAGACAGACATCTGTGGTTTATTCAGCACTGTTTTGAATTGATCTGGTCTCAGTGTGTTTGCGCTCCGAGCAGAGTGATTCATAAAGTGGACACCACATCACAATGTGAGTGCTCTTTTCATTTGATTATCTCAATATGGCCGGGGAGGACAGGCCATCTGGAGTGTCTGCTGAGTGAGAGAAGAAAGACGTGAAAAAACCAAAGAAGCCTGATTTTGTTTGATCGGGCGCGAGACAGACAGCTTCATACAGGTGTGTGTGTTTGTGTACGTGTGTTTGTGTACGTGTCCTGCAGTGTAATCCTTCTCCTCTCATAGGTCCATCCTTTCCCCCAACAACTGCACTTTATATTCTGCTGTTACAATGCTGACTCATTGTGCTCTGCATATATTATGACTAAGCAGACTGAAAGTGTTACAGTAAAATCATGAATTTGTTCAACTTTGGTTGAATTCAAGAGAAAACAGCCTTTTTTCATTTACCTGTGTTGTGTTAAATTAAGTCGGATAGTAGTGTATTGTAAAATCTGTGACTTTCCCTTGAAGGTGTTAGTCACACAAACCTCTCAGTTTTTTTTTTTTATATATATATAAAACAACTGTAATGGAACTTTTATTTTATTATATTTTACAGCAGGTTTAAAAAAAACCCGGAGCTCTATTTATTAGGATTGGTTTAATGGTGCATTTCTATGGTGGCCGAGATTCGCCACTGCTGCAAATAAAAAAGAATGCAAAAAAAGAAGCCACAACGTAAGTTACCAATGAAAAAGAAACTAAAGCCTGCTGCAAATAAAAAAAGAAACGGTGCAGATAAACAAAAAAAAAAGCCACAACAGAAGGTAACGGCACAAACAAAAGTGGCCATGCAAAAAAAAACAAAAAAAACAAATGATGACAGCGAGAAGATGAGCAAAGAAGTAAGTAGAAAGGTTATTGTTTAATTTTTTTTTTTTTGCATCTCCACTTTTCTGTGCGTCCTTAACTTCTGTTGTGCCTTTTTTTTTTTTTTTTAATCTACACCGTTTCTTTTTTTAATGCAGCAGGCTTCGGTTTCTATTTTTTGCATTAGGAACTTCCGTTGTGGTTTCTTTTTTTTTTTGCATTCTTCTTTATTTGCAGCAGTGGCGGTTCTCGGCCACTGTACATTCCAGTTGTACTTAGAAGTCTGGATTTCCGAGCTTCAGTGGAACTCTGAAAGTCAACCCCTGAGTTGACATATAAAAATGCTGTTGCCGGTTGAAAACAGTAAGTAGAAGCTCCTCTAATGACAAAAAATAGGCTACCTTCTGCGCCTTTGTGTGTTTGCAGGTTGCAGAAGGACGGCATATTTGACGGAAGTTGTTTATATTCGGACAAGGCAAGCGTGAGAATAACTTTTGTAGATGTAGCCATCTTGTTTCCACTTTCCGTTGGCTAATTTCTCAGACTTTGTAACTAAAATGCTGACAACTCGGTTGTGACGTCATTCCCAGCTCCGACTTCCGAGGTAAATGTGACGCACCATATCAAGCAGTGTTGATGATATCATAACTGCATAAAATAATTTTAAAGAAAATGAACATTCACATGCAACAACATGTTTTTGAGCTGACCCAGTGTGAATAGGGCTGGCAACCGGGCTGACATTATCTGAAGTCTCCGTCGCTGGACTGCTTGGGATCAGGGAGTCTTCATCATACTCCTTTGGCAGCGGGACTGGGGTGTGCTGAGGTCAGAGAAGGAGAGAGAGGCAATGAAAAATTGAGAGGCGGTAAAATAACCATGACTGAAAAGATTAAGGCAGACAAAAGCAGCAGAAAATGACAGGGAAGAGATAGAGAGGGGAGAGTGATATCAAAATACAAGACAATGAAAGGAGCGAGAGAGAGAGAAAGGAAAAAGGCAGAAACAGCTGAAGAAGAGAAGAAAGGAGACAATCTAACAGAAGAGATAGGGAGAAGACTCAGCAAAAGAGAGCTAAAAATAAACTTGGTTTTCAACGCTGCTACATCCACAAATTAACTTCAGATAGATAAAGAAACTCATGTTTCTAAAATGTTGAGCACTCTCCAAACAGAGCGAGTTAAGCTTACCTGATCCAAGAGCACAGTCTCTGGGGACACACATGGGATCCTGGGAATCGCAGGAGAATATGGCCTGTGGGAGAGGAAGACAGAATCATGTAAGACAAGACACAACGGCTGATTTATGCAAACCGTTCAATGATCCACTTAATTCCACCTTGCATCATCTATTATGTAAAGTGTTCATGAATATGTGTCAAAAACAGCAGGAAACTCTCCATCTTCTGTCACCTGCAGCTCCTCGTTCATCAGATGGCACAAATTTTAAGAGCATGTAGAGACTCACGTGGTACCCATGCCTCCCTCGAAGTCTCGGAGGGTTTTCTTTGGGGAGAGGAAGTCATCATCCTGGTCCTTAAAGTCGTCAAGCTTCAAATAGCGCGCACCATCCATCCCGAGCAACTCGTCTCCTGAGGGCGAAACGCATTTATAAGAAATGGTAATAGGGACGGGGAAGATGCGACAAAAACTGGCAAAAGACAGGTTGCACAAAAATGATTAAGAGAGAAAAAGACGAGACCAGGGAAAACAGGGCAGAATGATGCTGATCTCAACTCTCACTCTCCGACTCTGTCATTACATGTCGATTTCTCAGACTATGTCAAATAAACGCCAATTGAATTAAAGTTGCAGAAGGCAATCAGATTTTTTTCCATGTTCTTTTGCAGTATCTTTCAAAGTATTTTAATATCTGCACTCAAGACAAAATCATACCGCTCAATTTGATTATCTCCTAAAACAGCACATGTTACACAGCCGTCCTCCCCATCCCTTCACCTCCACCAAACCACAGAAAAAAATGGCCACAAAGCAATCTGAAATATTCAAGTTTTAGCAATGGAGACAAACCGACAACAATCAGAGCCGATGGAAACCAAAGAAGAGGATCGGTAAGACAGTGAGCAATAAGACAGTTTAGGACACTGCATGGACGGCAAACTGCAAGGCACCTGGTGACAGCTTTTTTAGTGAGCATGCCCATTAAAGATGAAATCACATGTGGTGATGGTTGTTTCTGTGTAGGAGAAAATACCTCAATTATTAAGGAGGAATGGTATTGAAATAATAATCAGGACAACAACAGTAAACAATAAGCCACTCGACAAAAAACAGAGTTGATTAGACACAATTAAACATTCATAAGTACAAGCTGTACGGGAAAATCAAAGGATGTTAAAGAAGAAACGAGCGATACGATTAAATAGGTAGAAGAAGAAGAAATTAGATCAAAAGATGAAGCTTGCATGGAAATATGTAGACAACATTACACTGATTTGATTTAATACTGAATGCCTTACAATAGAAAGATGACTACTGTGTGTGTTCTTAGCAGAAGAGTCACAGCTGGGACGCAGCGTGTGAGTAATAAGCATACTGATAAATTAGACTGTAAAACGTAGGAGCACTCAGTTTTCAAACTGCTGGATTTGTCGTGTAAATGCCAAAAACACTGGAGTTCTGTCAGCAATGAGTCCACCAACAGATATGTGCACTGAGTGCTGGTTAAAAAGAAAATGTTCGGAGTTCATGCTGATGAGGAACAGACATATTTGTTTAAAGGAAATCTCTGAGCAACAAAGACTGAAGATAAGATGAACGAAGAGAAAACAGGGCTGGTGTCGAGAGAAGAGTCAAGAGTAACTGATTAAAAGACAGTTAAAGACAGAAAAAAAATGAGAAGTGTGTTTGCAATGAAGGCACAAGTTCACTACAGCCATCGGACTGGACAAGAGCAGAGATACAGACACACTCCTACCTAACGTTAGCTGGGCAACCCCTACAAGGCAAATGGAAGAAGGTGTTATAGACAGTCATGTATCAACGTTTAAAACACACATAGTGCTAATAAGGTTACTCAGGGATGTGTCAGAATACCTCCCTTTCAGTCTTCTTCATCTGAATAACAACCCAGAGGTGAAAATGAATCATTAATGCTGTTCAGTTGGCAAGTTTAATGATGGAATAACCTACCTTCATCCTCTGAGACATCCAAAATCTCATCTACAGTCTCAGGAAAACTCATCCGGTGCTTCTCTGTGGTGATCTGTGAAGAGCAAAAGGAGGTTGTGTTGAGGGAGAAGGCAGAGAACAAGAAAGAGGAGGAGAGGAAAAGGAAGGAAAAAAAGGATAATAATGGGAAATGTTGGATAATTATAAAAGCAGGTGAGGGAGCAGAATCGGATCAAAACCATTGTTTGATCAAACATTAGTTTCATGGCATGTCAAGGCTACTTCTTTTGCGTAATGGTGTAACCATGTGAACCATGCATGATGTGTTGCTCACCGCGGAGACGGACTCCTCGGTAACCAGTTTCAGCACGTCAATGACAGAGATATAACCCAGCCGCTTAGCAATACCAAGAGGAGATGTCCCATTCTATTCAGAGAAAGATGAGAAACATCACGCAAAATGTTTCCATATTTTTGAGAAAACAAAAAAAGCTTTTGATACTTTTTATAGAGGAATTTCTATAAAAAAGTACATCCCTGTAACATTTCTTATTTGCCCAAAAAAATGTCAGAAAAGCTCAACCTTTTAATTTATGCCAGAAAACAGGCCCAACGTAAATACGAGAGCTTAGAAATCAAAAAGCAAATGACTGCAGGTATGGTGTGCACTAATAACACTTTTTAAAAACTGATCTGTTGTTTATAAAAAAGAGTAACTGCAAAAATACACAAACAACATATCAGGGAACTTATTCAATAACATGTAAGATTTAAAGGGATATTTCGGTGTAAATTTAAGTTGTGGTCAAACACCCCAGAATACCCAATGTTGGGGGTATGCAGCTCAAGGAAGAACATTTATAATCATTACTTCATTATTTCCTTTAAGTTGTAATCATCATATTAATCATTTTGCACTGCAGACGTGGTAGTTATTCTGCCTTAGCATCTTAGTCTGATTGTATTTCCATGAAGTAATGATCATAAATGTTCTTCCTTGAGCTGCAAAACACTGCTGCACTCGGTGATCGACTCGTCAGGGCTCCCCCTACAAACAAGCAAGCAGTAAACTCATCTCCCAAGGGGGTGTCTATCTCTGTGTTACCTTGTGTTTGACCCTAACTTAATTTTATGCCAGAATATCCCTTTAAGAGTTGAGCATAGTGAATACAAGAATTATTTTTTGTAACAGTGAGTTGTTTTTTTAGCAGAACTAGTCATTTGTTGACTGAAACACATGTGCAAATTTATCTCTTGGATCAACAGGGTATATATTTTAACATTCAAACAACAATTTAGTATCATCTGGGTCCTGACATGAATGAAGACGAGGGCAAACTCAAATATCAAAGACCTGCCTATAGTTCACATGAACCACAGACAGTAATAATCCGTATTCATGAAAACAGCTGGGAAAAAAACAGCACGAGTAGAGAGGGAATGCCCAATGTTGAGGAAAGGATTAAAGTGTTTCTCAAGGTGTCTCACCGAAGTTATCTCATTGGGCTGGGCTCCATGTTTCAACAGCAGGGTGACAATATCAGTATGGCCCTGCTGAGCTGCCTGGTGCAGAGGGGTGTAGCCCATCTTGAAACAAAGGAGAGAAGATGATCAGACAAAACAAGAGATAGCAGTATTTACATCTGTTACATTGAAACTTAAAGCTGTAGAAGTGGTACCAAAGCTGATTTGCTACGTAAAAATATTGAGTTTTTATACAGCGTCAAAATCACAATCAAATATAGTCATGTGCTGTACATTAGTCCATTTGGATTGAAGGCCCTTACCCTTGTCTTGCTATTCACATGAGCCTGCTGCTGCAGAAGGAACTTCACCATCTTGATGTTGCCATAGTGACAGGCCACATGAAGGGGTGTGTAGCCCATCTGTGATAATGAACAAGAAACAATTGACTATTGATCAGAAGCTTTTTTATTGCCTCCTTGTAGACAACATGAATCTTCACATACAGGAGGATGAAACTCTGTGACAGCATGCAGCAGCGGTGAGGGTGTAACTTACTCTTGAGGCAGCGTAAACTGAAGCTCCTTGTTTGACCAATGTGTCAGATATTCCAACGTGCCCTTCCTGAGCTACGAGATGCAGAGGGGTCAAGCCGTTCTAAAAGGAACAGGCAGGAAAGGGGGCGCCATTTTTATTTTTCAATCTCACAGCACTTCAAATATTTTTTAAGCTACATCCTGATTTTACTCAGTCATGAACTATTCCGGTATGATACCTTGTTTCCCAGATTCACATTGGCCTGTTTAGAAATGAGCAGAGCCACCATGTCAGGCCGCCCCTCCTGTGAAGCCAGGTGTAGGGGCGTGATGCCTTGAAGGGATTCTGCGTTCGGTGTTGCCCCGTTCTGGAGCAGACAACTGGCCACCTCCATCTGGTTCTGCTTTGCTGCTATATGCAGGGGAGTGTAGCCGTTCTGCAGCGGGAAACAAGAGCATACAAACACACATGCTATAATCCAAATTTCAAGATTAAAACTGAAATGCTGCTTCAGACTGCAAGTATTATCATTGAACTGGCTGTATGGCTATTTATCACACACTCATTCGACCTGATTTTCAGATATGTGTGTCAACGATCAGTTGTCATGCGTTTTGATCGCCTGCTTGTGCCAGTTTGAGCACACACATATGCAAGCTTCTTACTCGGGCAGTGCTGTGTGCCGATCCTCCCTTGCTGACCAGGAGTTTAACAACATCCAGGTTGTTGTGATGGACGGCCACATGAAGGGGTGTCAGACCGTTCTGTTAAACACACAAACATACACATGTACACATATATACACCCATGGACAACCAGATACAGACAGACAAAAACACACAGAAACACATATATATATGAAACACGTACCACAGTAATCTACCAGTCAGCCCACATCCTTAATATTTCTCTAAATGACCAAATTCTGACCCGCTTTGTGAGGAGTGCTTTATCATTTTCATTGAAGTGTACTTCAGGGAGCTGAACTACAGCGGGCACAGAGTGACTCACCTTCCCAGCTGCATTAGGGTTAGCTCCTCTCTCCAGAAGGAGCTCTGCGACATCCACCTTCCCATATTTAGAGGCCACATGGAGAGGAGTGAAGCCTTTCTGCTCAAAAAAACAACAACAACCACAAAATAGCAGAAATGCTCTCACTTACTTGAGAAAATAAACAATGGAGCTGAATACAGATGTGATTGAAAGGACAGAAAGTGGGGCCCAAAGCAAAACACAACCCTGTCATCGCTTCCACTCTACCTTTGTCATCTTAATCTGCTGTGCTCCCGCATCCAATAAGATGCGAATAGTGTGGACGTGTCCTTCGCGTGCGGAGATGTGAAGAGGTGTGTGGCCTGCAGTCGTAGCTGAGTCTGGGTTGGCCTTGTGCTCAAGGAGAAGTTTTACAAGCTCCTTGTGGCCCATGCGGGCTGCACAGTGTAAGGGTGTTTGGTCATCCTGGACATAAGAAGAAAGAGGTTTGAAAGATGTTCTGAACAGGAAACGGATACCAATGATGAGTGGAAATGAAGCAAAAATGAAAATAAAAAAATCTGTTCTGATGTATGGCAATTAGTTTTACTTTAACTGATTGATTTAATTGCACAATCAGATTAAAAAAACCCTCTAACTTATAAACACACAGCTCTTACCTTAGCCCTGGCATCCACTTGTGCCGCATTCTGCAGCAGAAACTGAGCAACTTCACAGTGTCCAGCTCTGGAGGCCATGTGGAGAGGAGTCTCCACTTTCTGATTTAGATAAATACAGAAGAGCAGTGGAACAAATCACCGAAGTGTATTTCTTTGTGTGTTCCTGAATTCATTCTGTTTACTGCCTGTCTCAGAACATACCCCCGTACAGTCTTTATGGAAACAAAGCCCTGATGAAGCTTAATGAGGTCCTCTTGAGGACATTTAAACAGGTTTACAGATGAATTAGTTAAAACCATAGACTGTATATACTATGGACAACTTGTTTCCGCCTTCCGTCAGTAAACAAATTTGAAGCTGAATTGCTCTCTGGTATTTCCAGGGTTTTCTGTTTTTTTCTGGAACCACCACTTGCGCAGTATCGTTGTACGTATTCAAGAGTCAAGAGTCGCTGTGATGACGCTCGGCTCAAACAGCTACGCAATCCTCTTACGTCCATAGGCTGTATCAAGTGTCAATCATAGAAAACATGAACCCCCTAATAACTTTTAACAAATGGAGCTGCACAGAAAATAGAAGACTTGAGCACAAACCAGTCTTACAGTAACTACATGTCAAAATCACAACCAGGGGGGAGAAAAATTTATATTCTGTGTAAATACTTTTTAAAGTTTGTCCACACTTCTGTAGGGATTGCTGGAAGAGGCGGGATTTATGACCTATACTGCAACCCGTCACCAGAGGGTGCTGTTCTCGTGGTGGCTTCACCCAGCGAGGAGGGAGACGGCGTCCTTCTATATACAGTTTATGTTTAAAACATTATCAATAAACCTACTTTGTTCATGTAAAGGCTTTTAAGAACAACAATTTAATTTATATTTACTTTATAGGTATTTAGGAATAACCTTACATTATTGGCTTTCTGTTCAGGCAGTAAAGAGACTTAATCCATCTAAAGCTACTTATTTAATGCTCGGTCACAAACTTAATCCTCTCATGTCATTAATTTATGGATTCTGCATGGTGTTAGTTTGATACATCTGAATTTTGACAAAGAAAATATCAGTTCACTAAAACCGCAACATTAGAAAGCAGTTAAGGAAAAAGGATAAGTAACGGATGGGTGTAGAAAAGGGGATCTCACCACATTGGAAGCATTAGGTGAAGCTCCTCTCTGGAGCAAGTTCTTTACTATATTCAGGTGGCCCATGAAAGCTGCTACATGAAGAGGAGTGAGACCAGACTGCAACACAGAGGCAGGCAGAGAAGATCAGTCACTCTTGATAATGAGACATAAAAATACTTCAGATTTTCTACTATGACTTTTTAGCAACACCGTTAGTCGTGTTAACAGCATAATTTAAAACCCAGTCAGAGATACAACACCGGGGATTTCTGAGACCTTAAGATGAAAAACAAACAAAGAAAACTTCACATGAAATGATGCATAAACGCCACACAACAGTCAAGGGCTATTTGGCTATTTTCAGTCTTGGTCTCTGTTGGTCTCTGGTGGTCTCAGGACCTCACCTCTGTGACAGCTTCTAGGGAAGCAGAATGCTTAAGCAGCAGGTCCATGGACCGCATGTGGTTCTTCTTGCAAGCAATATGTAGAGGTGTGAAGCCATTCTGAAACACAGGAAAGAGTTCAAAACTTCATGAGCCCGCCCTGAGAAACACGAATAAAGACGATCAGAGATACTGCAGAAGGTGAAATGATGGTATAAATGAACTTTAAAGACGGGCTTAATAGTTAACTGATGAAGATGCTGCTCAAAACAGACACAGCAGCCTTGATTAGTCTGTAACCTTCATGCACTTTGGGTATCTTGAAAGGCGCTATACAAATGCAATATATTATTATTATTATTATGTCTTTGGAACGAAAACAACTGAAAACCTACCAGAGCCCGGGCGTTAGCTTTGGCCCCCTTGTCTAAGAGGACTTTGGCCATCCTATGGTGACCACAGTGAGCTGCTACATGAAGAGGGGTCAAATGGTCCAGCGTGATGTCATCAATCTCAGCGTTGTACTGCAGTAGCTGCCTGACGCAGTCCATGTGATCCCCCTGAGCTGCCATATGGATGGGGGACAGACCGTTCTGAGGGGACAAAAAGAGACGGCGAAGGGAAAGTAGGAGACAGAATTGTTAGTGTTTTCAACTAAAGCCTTGTTCATGCTGCAAATAACATAGTCAATTAGCATCTGCTCCTCTGAGGGGACATAATCAACCCATTGTGCTAAAATGACTTGCAAAATAATATCTCCTTGGTGGAGCATAAATACCCAGAGCTGAAGAGGCTTCGATCTGAGCCGCTCTGTAAACAGATAAATGTGTTAGGAGTCTTGATTTTATCTACCTTGCTGCTGGATGAAAGTGTAAAAGTTCTAGCTAGCTAGTTTGTGAGCTGAATTTCTGATGGAGTCTCCCTCAGTGGTTACATAAGATTCAGATCCAGATTCTCAAAGTCAAACCAGCACTTAGAAGTAAGCTCCAACGATCACAGCTGATTACAGAGCAGCACCCAAAGATAGAAACGACTAAAAGACAGACACGGTGTCTGCAGTTTTTCATTAAATTAATCCACCTTGGTTTTAGCCTGGATGGGAGCACCGTGTTCCAGCAGGATCTCAATGATACGAACATGACCATTCCTGGCTGCACAGTGGAGAGGAGTCAGCTCATCCTACAAAGAGACGAGTTAAGAAAGAGAGATAGACCGGAGAGAGTGATTGGAAAGACATGAAAATCTGCAGGAAGGATGGATGGATGGAACATACAGTAGATACAAGAGCTGTTTATCGGTAAACTACCTTTGTTTTGGCATCAATCTGTGCTCCTCTGTCCAGCAGTAGTCTGACCATCATCACATTACCCCTCCTGGAGGCTATATGAAGGGGGGTGATGCCATTCTAGACAAGCAAACAAAAAACAGACAGCTTTATTGAATCTTCCTGATTTACACCAACATGAGCGAGGACTAAAGTACAACAGAGGCTGAGCTCTACTGAGTATATGAGGAAGGTCTAAGTGTTAAGATTCCTATTCACTGGATGATACTGTGCTCACAACATCAAATGATTAAAACACACTTCAGATGTTGTTTTGCGCCGGGACAAACTGACCTTGGGGGTGAAGTTTACATTGGCTCCTCTGTTCAGCAGCAGCTGGGCAACACTCATATTCTCATAGTGGGCCGCAATATGGAGAGGTGTGAAACCGGTCTACAGAGAAAGACAACAAAGAAAAGTGTGAGGAGAAAAGGGCAAATAAGGATAATTACGATCTATTTATATCCTTATTGGAAAACAAGGTACCAACAGTGAATGATACGTGTCGAAAAAACGTTTTTAACCCAAAAAGCACAATTTCTTTACAACAACAAGACTGCTTCTTTTATGTGACTTATCATAGTTTAAGGCACATGAAGCAGTTTCAGTCCGTGTTCATACCTTGCTGAGTACATCAGGGTTAGGGTCGTTTTGCAGGAGCACTGCGGCGGTGCGCGTATCATCGTTTCGGGCAGCGATGTGCAATGCGGGGAGGCGAACCTTGCCTTTAGTGCCGTAGTTGATGAGCAGTGCCACAACATTTTCATGGCCCTGCTGAAGCGCTACTGCCAGGGGGGTGAAGCCATCCTGAGAGAGGGGGGGGCAGCGAGGAAAAGGGATGAAAAGGTGAGAAGGAGGCAAGAGGTATTTGTGAGGTCAGGCAGAGGAGAAAGTGAGGAGCGAATGGAAAATTGTTTGAATTTTGAGAGTGTTTTGGTCAAACGGAGGGATATTAACACTCAGAAATGAGGCTTGTGTGCACCATTAGAACCGGGGTTTAATGATCAGGATTATTGCTCGCACAAAGGTCAGCATAGACATTTACATATGAACTTTTTATTCCAGGAAAATAAATCATTCAGCCCAAGAGAGCAGCTTTACTGCTGAATAATGGATTTCTGTTTTACAGGGCAGCAACTTTGACTCTGGTGGTGACTTCAATCACTGGAATTACTCATAAACTTTTACAGTTTCCTTCATATGATGTAATAGCACAAACAATACTTATCCCCTTCTCAGTCTCACTGACTCTATCAACCAACAGACTGACACAAGCAGTTCAGGGGGGGAGGTACCTCGGTTGGGAGACTTTGATTGGCACCATTCTCCAGTAGGAACTTGACCACCTCTAGATGATTCTCCTGCGCTGCCATGTAGAGAGGACTAAACCCTTTCTGTAAGAGCACAAAAACACAACATATTGGTAAGAAAGCACACTCTTTCATAGTTTATATTTCTCACCAGCCACTAACAGAATAACTATCTGCTTAAAAGGATAATATTTCTTCATCCTATGGTTGTCAAACTAGCACATAAAGAAATGCATAAGCAGCTGCTGCATGTGGACATTAACCTGCAGGAGGAACCAAAGGCTGGTGGTGATAGCTTTGATAACCTCAAAAACCAATTTGACCTTGTTTAACTGCAGACTATGTGATCTCTAGGGATGGGCGATATGGACTAAAAAATGTATCACGCTAAGATTTGCCATTCTGGTGATAATGATAAAAGTCCTGATATTAAATATTATAATTCCGATCTATAATTTTGACTCATTTTGTCTTGAGAACACCAGTTAGAGCAGTCACATGAGATACTTAACCACAAGTTTAAGTGGTAGGTTATGGAGAAAACTAATGACATCAAACAAATCTCAAATGTTAAAACATTTTCAACATTTCTTGAAAACTCTCTTTGCACAGAGTGAACAGCAGCAGATCCACTGTCCGATGTCAGGCAGACCTGATTGCACTCATCTAAACCCCAATCATGAAGGAAATTCCTCATGTGGAGCCTCGAGCTGCTCAGAAACGTCTTCATTACCTTCATTATGGCCATGTTTGTTTGTTATTCTGCTCTGTGTGGGCTATGGCTGAGAGTCACTCACACTTTCATCATCAACTTGCATTTATCGTATTTATCACGAGATGGCAAACATCTATCATGGATGATTTTTCCGTCAATAAATCGAGAACGATGATTTATCACCCATCCCTAGTGATCTCGTTTTGGGCTCATCAGCTAATCTTTCAATTTCCATTTAAAAGACTATGAAATAAATCATTCATATTAATAACTGCACAGCTCTGTTAAGGTGTGTCTTATGCAACTACACAGACACAATCAAACTCTTCAGCTCCCAGGGACTCACATGTGACTGGGCATTAACGTTGGCACCGTAGTTGACCAGCTCAGCCACCACTTTCTCCTGCCCTGCCAGAGCCGCGATATGAAGAGCTGTGTTCCCTTTCTGGAGGCAAAATCATAGAAACACACACAAAAAGAAGAAAGGAAGACAGAGAGAGAGAGAGAAATATTGAAATTGAAAGCTTGGAATGCTAATTCATACATTTTTGAACCAATATTTAAGTTAAAGTGGTGTAATGTGGTGACAGGGATGTCAGTGTCGCTCATGACCGCTTGCTGCAGTGATTTCTGAAGTTGCAGTCATACTGATCTAAAGCTAAAGCTAAAACCATAAAAAAGTATGGTATGGCACCTCCAGCTGTCACCTGCCTTCTGACCTGACTGATTCGTCACTTGAGATTCGTACCTTGGTGGTGGCTTCCAGTTCAATGCCAGAGTGTAGTAGCTCCAGCACCATTTTGACATGACCTTCTTTAGAGGCCAGGTGTAACCCGTTGAGACCATTCTGGGGAAAGAAAGACAGAATTTGTCACGTCAAAAGTGGCAGACACAAATACAGGCAGTGTTTACTCAGAAGTTATTGCAGAGTCAAAGAGAGGTTTAAATGTATAGCAATAAATAACGGTGCTTCTAGTTGGATAAAGTTTTCGCTCCACTTCAAAGCCTCAGTTGTGGTATAATAGTCCTGTTAATTATCAGGATTATCGTAATCACAGTCCACATTAACTGTAATGTGAGGCCACATCTCAGAGAGGCTTAATGAGGTAAGTAGTGGTCTTGTAAGTTAGTGTCATAAAACACACACTCCCATTTAACTCTCCTAAATCAATTAGTGAAATGGATCTGTACAAAGACCGCTCAGAAACCTCCATGTGGCACAGCCTTCTCTGGCAACCTTCAGCCTTGTCCTCTCCTTGGCACCGTTCATCGCGGTCTTTGCCACAACCATTAACGTAAAGTATCTCATAACCTTTCAGGCTTGTCAAAATGAGCTACAAGTGCAGCAGCCTGAGAAACCGGAGTGTGAAGTGTCTGCAGGAACAGGATCAGACTGACGAGAGAAGGAGAAGAAAGTGAAACACACTGTAGTACTTTTGACTCATTTCTCACATGAGGACTGCGGTTCAGTACGTGCCTGTTTTTGGAGCTGTGCAGAACAAGTCTGGTTACTGTATTTCTAAAAATAACTCATAAACCAATAACAGACGGAGGACTCGGTTCTGATGAAAATAAAACCAGGTGAGACTAATGAGCAACAACAAGGGGCTGGTGGATGTCTGTCTGCCTGTCTGCCTGCCTGCCCGGTGATCTGTGTCTCACTCCAGCTGTCGGTCTGCAACAGCATGAGCCAACTCTACACTGCAACCTGCCTGCTGTAACCAGCCTGACCACCAGGAGTCTCTATTAACTGCACTGTTTCTCATCACACTGCGGTGTCAATCAATTCAAATGGGCAACACAGTCTCTCCGGGAGCATGCGCGGTGTGGTGGGAAACAAACCGTAAATCAGTGCGAGTTTCACACGCCTAATGAGGGAACGCCTGTGTCTCACACACAGGAGTAAAGCAAGAACAATGAGATTTTGTTCTTTTTGTGACACATTAAATGTTGTGGGTTTTATACATTCATGTTCACGGTCACACAGAGACAAGAGCCACAATGGTACGACACCTTGAGAAATAAAGAGAGGGCAGACGCAGCAGGGAGAGCCTGCAGGTTTGGAACCACAGCAAGGACGGGTTACAGCTGCAGGATCACATAAATCAAACATAAAAATACCATCCCTGCCCTCGCCTCAGTGCTTGGTAAAAAAAAGTCAATACAGATGCAGCAACGACCCTGAGAAGAAAACATGAAAGAAGACTGAACCACGAATGGAAATAGATTCAGAATCAGAGTAACATTTTTAATGAAATTAATCCAATACAACTGTGGATCAAATTGGCATTTTACAATCATTTTATGTGCAATTATCATACTACGTAGACCACTCAGGGCTGTGTCAAATTGATAACTCATCTAATCTGATTATTTGTCTCTAACTCATCCTGTTCCTCTGACTAGTTTGTTTGTGTTGTTTTGCATCAATAGCTCAGCACGGATCGTGGGAGTTGGTTTTCATTCTTAATGCCCCTCTCACTGACAGTGTTTTGTCTGGTTATAAAAGCACTTGTCTGTTCATTCACCAGCCATCACTCTTACTACACGAGCATCCAAAGCACAACAAACCTACCGGCAAAAATATGTGTGTGTGTGTGCTTACCAGACAGACGCACATTCACGCCATCATGCTCATGAATCATGATATCTAATCGCCTGAGTTTGTTGTGTTGGTCATGATGCAACAAGGTGAAAGAGAGGAGACTGTAGCAGATGAAGATGGAGGGAACTATAATCTAATAGAGTTAATTATTTATGCACACCACTTTACACAAAGATGGAGAATCAGGAGCTCTGGCGGTCTTTAATTTTTAATTTCCTTTGTCTTCTTTTTATTTCACACGTTTTGCTAATGTGGCAGAATGGCTGCCGTTGAAGAATAAACGGACATTATGTGTTAGATTTCAATCCCTCTTTCCAAACCCTCCAAAGAAATCTAGTACAGCTTGTTCTTTAACAAAGGAACACAATGAAGTTTCTGAGTACCACTCTCCCTTCAGTCTGTTTCATAATCACGACCTCATTACTGAGGGAAGCCTTCTACTTTCCCACAGTGAGGTAAGACCTGGCAACGTATCCTCATCAACTACTTTTAACTGAAGGCAAAAAAAAACAAACTCATGATGTAATAGAGACTGGTCAGAGGAACCAAAAATAACCAAGAGGAAGTGAGCAGAGGGAGCAGTACAACCAGGTAAAGCTGGTTACTGCATGACTGCATCAGCCTGGCTGGGCCATCCAGTTGCGTGAATCACTTGCCGTTCCTTCCCACAACAGTCTGGACTTCGGCCAATTGGGAGCAAGTATTAGAAATCAGAAAATAACCGGGCCAATCAGTGACTGTGTTTCCACTGTTCCCCGCACAACAGGGAAAGGCAGCCCCTGATTGGTCCATGTGAAGATGGTGACGTCTAACACATGCTGCGGGACGTTTCATTCAGAACGCCGTTAATTCTGCAGTTGACTTTGCAAAGTTGGCAGAAGAAGACGTAAAAGACATTGTTTGCTCGTACACGTTGAAATATTACCAAACCTTTACTTGATGCTTGAGAGCCCAGCAGGGAACACAGTTGCGCACTGTGATGACGTCAGATGTTTGGTTACGGTGATTGGTTACAGTAGTCTGTCTATCAAGGAAAGTACTCCCACCCACTTTTAGAGCCCCCAATTGGTCAAAGTCCAGACTGTTGTGGGAAGGAACGGCAACTGATTCACGCAACTGGATGGGCCCAGCCAGGCTATGACTGCATGAACTCAGGGGTGCTTTTAATGAAGTGGTTTAAATTTTCACCCTCGACACTATAAAAGAAACTATCTCAGTGTGCCCTATCAGAAATTTAACAAGTCGTGCTGTAATACAGCTCTTTTGGGTGTAGACGTTCTGCACTCTTTTATTTTGTAGCGTGCGGACAGTTTGATTGCCTCTGTGGCTGACATACCAAACAGAATTTTACAGTATTAGTTATTTATTTACAAAGTGATTATCATTAAAGCAGAGTTATATTTCTTTAAGATGTATTTGCTTCAAGGATACATAATCCAAAGTGGACCGATGGATTCTCAGTCTGAGTAAGAATAACTTTATTTATTGATCCCTGAAGGCAAATTCACTGGTAAGGGGAACACTGTGTTATTATTTGTTATTCTGTTGCTACAATGTTATCTAACAACCTACATAATTAATTATTAAGTCGTACTATGATTTTACCACCCCACAATCAAAAGAGTATGATGAACCTTAATGAGTGTTATGTCACCAACTGTGTTGCCCCAATTACATCCTTTACACTAAATGAAGGTTACCCTCCCTCAGCAGAGCGTGGGCGCGGCCTCTTTCATCAAACAGCAGCTCAGATCAGTGAAACAGAGTTTGGGGGCACAAGGATATTGTGGTTTCCACTAAGACTAACGGTAAACAGCTGCATCTTCAATTCATTATGGAACAGGGGTACAAACTATGAGACAGCCACAGAAGGAGAGAGGGGAGCAGGGAGAGGAGCAGGAGGAGGCACGTAAGGGAGGAGAGCAGGGAGAGAAGAAGGGGGAGGCAGGTAAGGGAGGAAAGCAGGGAGAGGAGAAGGAGGAGGCAGGTCAAGGAGGAGAGCAGGGAAAGGAGCAGGAGAGAGGAAAGCAGGGAGGAGAGCAGGAAGAGGCAGGTCAAGGAAGGGAGCAGGGAGAGGAGAAGGAGAGAGGAAAGCAGGGAGAGGAGCAGGAGGAGGCGGGTGGAAAAAGGAGATTAGGGAGAGGGAGAGTAGGGGGGAGGAGAGCTGGGAGAGGAGTGAGATTAAAAAGGAGTAGGAGAGAGAATTAAAAGGAGTAAAAAGGACAAGGGGGTAAAGATGCTGTCACCTGAGTGGAGGTTTATTATTGTTTCTGAGAAGGTTAGCATGATTCCAACTAGCAAATGACTATTTTGTCTTATAAGTATTCCCCGAAAAGTCTTTATCATAATGAATTTGTATTATCGTTAGCTACAGCTAGCATTAGCACAACTTGGTGAGACTGTAGAGCTGACTTTAGATCTACAGAAAGAGAGAATGAAGAGCTACAGCAGTTACTGACAAAATCCCTGAATGTACAGCTCTATCTGAGGTAGAAAACATGGAGAGACATGTCACTATCTGCCCTGTGTGCTGTCATCTTTAAACACATTCACAAACCCTTTCGACAACTATGACAGGGACGTAAGTTTTACCCTAAACACTCTGCGCCCTTACACTTGTTCCATTCAGCCGGTAGCTTTCTATGTAAACTGAATTACAAATGTAGAAGAGCACTGACAGATTTTCTCATCAAGATAAAAAGAAAGTGGACCTGATTGTCTAGAACCTTTTTAAAAATGGTTTCAGGAACACTACAGCGTAGTTTTGAGTTTTCTACAGAGCTTCACGCAGGTACTCCAGTGTGGGCTTCCCTTTTTGTTTAAATACTCTGAATACTAAACCGATGTTTAATTGATTTCACTGAGCCAAGATTGAACTCACTGTTTTGTTAATTGAAGTATGTGGGTGGCATCTTATTTTAACTCCCCCGAAACACAAACATTCAAACACTGCAGCCGTTACAGGAAGCCAAAGGAAACTTTCTCACTTGATTAGCTATGTTGATGTCGATTCCATTCTTGATGTGATCCAGAGCTTTGTCCAGGTTTCCTGAACGAGCTGCACGCAGGAAGCTGGTGGCTGCATCAGCCTGCAAAGAACAGAGGAATGGTGTGAATACACATTTGAGTACATTCAAACTTGACAAAGAGGGAGACAAAACAAAACAAATTATGTAAAAAAAATTCAAATTCTGGGACATCAGTGCTCAGGGCACCGAAACCCCAGTCAAGTTACATCTAAATCTATAACAGCGTCTGTTAGGAATAGGTGCCGTGAGGAACATTTGTTGGCTTGTGTTGATTTTTGTGCCCCCTGTGGACAAATGTGTCCATCTTTTCAATTCTCTGATGTGTTTCTGTATGAGGTAGTAGTTCCTGACAAAAACAATCTCATCATGCTTCCTTTCACTCCTCAAATTTATCTCTCTTGCTGAGTATTTGCTGTTGAAATGTAAAGAAAGCCTGTTTTTTCAGTGTGCTGAAAATCATCTTGTCTGACACCTACCCCCCCTGCAGTGGGTCCAGGTATTAAAATCCCAGAGTGGAAATTGAAAATGTCAGTCTTGTTGCTTGTGGTTTCATTTGCTTTTGCAAGTCATACAAAGACATCAGTATCAATTTCAATCTGTTTCACAAGCATTTAAAAACCGCTCACAGGGGATTCAGGGCGAGACCCTGGGCTATATACAACTACATCCATCAGCCCCACTACCCAGTGTGAGAGGCTACAAACGTCAGACTCTTTACACTCAAACTTCACCCACACTGTGAGTCTGGCAGGCATTCACGGCTAAGCACGCTCCACCGTGAGCTTTGCTGCCTGTCTGATCTCACAGCAAAGCTCCTGTAGTGTTGAGCTTCAGTGTGTGTCAGTATTTGTACGCCCACCTCTGTTTTAATTTACCAGCCAATAGAGTAATATGGTTGACCTGCTCAATGAGATGTTTTCAATGCCCTAAAGAGGAAATACTGTAGAGCGCTCGGCACCCTTGACCCCTCACCGGCAAAGTGATGCATCTGTTTGAGCTGAGCTTTTATTCTCAAGTGGTTTAATTATACTGAAACGCTGAGAGATGCGGCTGGCCTTTTCAAATGACTAAAGCTTTATTTTTCACCTCGCCTCAGTCTTCTTCCTGTACCGGCACAGGGAGTTAAAGTGTTCAGTCCTTCTGTGAATGAGGCTCATAATCGAAATATAGCTGACACAAACTGGTATTTGGGGTTTTGATATCCACCTCCCCTCTTCCTTTAAACTTTAAACTAAAGTTGATTCACTCATCATTCATTCATCAGGCCCATGAAGCATCTGGGTAGCATACATGAACATTTCAGCACCCTTGGTAGATCTTGTTTTGTTTACGGCACACAAGTCACTGATGTTTTCTAAATTAGCTCATCTAATCAGGACGTCCTCTGTCAGTGAATCGAACACAATTCTTAATATGATTTGTCATCAATTATTTCACTAAAACTGTATTTGTCAAACATTGAAGCATGACTATATCTCTACTCAGCAGGATACAAACTTTCATCTGAGAAGACTCTCAAACTTAGAGCCTGTCAGGGCGGGTTCCTACAGGAAGACAGGGATGTTCCAGTATCATTTATTTTACACTGTGTTACAGCAGAGACTAGTGGTTGTAAAATGCTCCCTCTTACTAAATTACAACTTAAAAATCAAAGCTATTTGAATAAAACTTGAAAGAGTAATGTCACAAATAATCCTTTTGACTTCAGTGAGTTTTCAGCTGGCCAGCTTCCTCTACTCATGGTGGGTTTTAAACAAAAACGCCTTCGGTCATTTTGCTTCCAATACACATTAAAAATACTCATTAGTTATATATTGTTAACACGATTTCGATTTGGTTTATACTCCATTCTCAGAGTATGTATTATTCTCTTTTTGCCACCCACCACTAATATGAGCTATTCCCTATCCCGTGCCTTTGAACATGAGAGCTCAGAGAGACTGGACTTCAAACAGGTACTGTCACCGCCAGAACAACCCCGGGTGTTTGTACTGTATTCATCAGGAGTGGGTATCGTAGACTCCACCTGCAGCCCCCCCTCCACCACCAGCACCAGTGCTTCATGAACCAGTTTTCAGTGCATCTGTCATCTGCGGAGCGTGTTTGTTAATGAGTGCTGGCCAATTTGTGAGAGTGAGTCAGTGTGTATTGTGGAAACTGCAGCATGAGCCATGGGCTGACCACATTTAGCAGAAGATGAAAAATCTCTCCACCACCTTCCAGAAACTCATTCTGCACCAGACTGAGCTCATGTTGCTGTCAGGCTGGAATCCATTTCCCTGCGAGCTTCACTGACGTCAGTCTGCTTCCTTCTTTTCACGCTTCACTCTTTCACATGCATTAGAGTTTCACCTCCAGTCCTGGTATTTTATTTGTAATCATGGAGCCAGTTACACCAAACAATTAGATTACTGGAGCCTCCCACAATACATCACTCTGTTCAAAGCATCCCTGCCTTTACCCTAAATCTGATTTCCTTTTATTTTGTTAGATTTTATTTCTTTTCTTTTTTGCTGTCTATCTCATTCTGACCATTTCCCCTCTTTGTCTAGCTCTCACATTCAGGTTTTTTTTTTCCTGGCATTTGCAGATAACATCAATATATTTTATTTGGTAACGCTTTCTTTTACGGTACACTTATTACCAGGTAATTAACAGGTAATTACCTAGTACCAACATGAAATTATCTGGTAATTACATGATAACTACTAAGTCAATACTGTGTAGTTTTGTTTTTTTTTTTCTTTTTTCTGTGCAGCTCCATTTTCAAAAGCTATTTGGGGTTCTTATTTTCTATGATTGACACTTGATACAGCCTATGGGCGTGCGAAGATTGTGTAGCGATACGCTGTTTGAGCCGAGCATTATCACTGCGACTCACCCGCTGAATGTGTACAATGCTACTGCGTAAGTGGTGGTTCCAGGAAGCGGAGAAAATCCTGGAAATACCAGAGCAATTCGGCTTCAAATTTGTATGATGATGGAAGGTTACCTACCTGGTAGCTAGACAGTATTGACTTAGTAGTTATCATGTAATTACCAGATAATTTCATGTTGTCACCAGGTAATTACCTGGTAATAAGTGTATCGTAAAAGAAAGAGTGACCTTTTATTTCTTTTTACAGATAATGTTCAAGTTCACACTTTACAGTATTGAAATGTTATTTTTATTGTTCTACTTCAATAACCCTGAGCAGGAAAAATTTAAAATAGTGTGCAGATGAACAATTGCTGTTTTTGTTGTGTGATCTAGTGGTCTACAAGCCCTATTTTTGTGCACTTTACAGTAGATCATATTGTCTTAGCCTCAAGTGACTGCTGTCATTAAGAACTTCTTATCTTCTGTGTGTAAGAAAGGAGATACAATAATCACTTTTCAAGCCAAGCGAGCCAAGTGTGTGGGTTTCAGATTTTCAATTTCATACTCTTACAGTGGACAGTGTTTGCCCCAGAAAACCTCTGAGCCTTGTTATTTTGTTTCAGCTATAATCTGAGCATTTTTGTTCAGAAGGATTTAATGTTTCCCAAAGTTTAAAGAGTGTTTTTGTTTTTCAGACTCCATACGTCTTTAATAGCTCTACATGATTTTCAAATCCAAAAAAGCCTCAAATCTCTCACTCTGGCATGTTAAAATATCATTTTTTCAGCCTCCATCTAAAACGCTTCGTTTGAGGCCAATCGGTAGAGCAGCAGAATTGAATGCTAATTCATGTAATTCTGAAAATTATTATTTGATAATTAACGAATGCTTGTGCATCCACTGATTTAAACGATGTGGCTCAATTTAAGACTGGATGTTGGGTTACAAGACCTGCAAGACTCCAGTCGCAGAATTTATAAGCTTTAACGTTATACATTCCTGTATACAACGGGGCTTCAGTCCAAATCCAACAATCGTCAGGACATGATAAGAAGCAACACAAACACACGACCACCAGGACAGTGCAAAAACATGCAACCTTACTAATGATCTCACTGGGTCCAAAGTTGAAAGTCAGATATAATCAAAATAGAAAGCCTGCAGATACGTTCAATCACCCTGAAGTGTTAAAAATACTCTGCAGAAATTGTTTGAAATCAGTCTGAATGTTTAGGTGTCTAAAGGAACTGCACTGCAGCTGATGAAGAAACACAAAGCGGTGAGAAAATAAATCGAGTGTATAGAAACACACAAAAACATTGTATGTACTCTGTTATTAAAGAGCTGAGACCCTCAGGCTTCAGTCAACCTCTCTGAGCCCACTCTTCTGACACGAGGGACACATCAGCACCAAACCACAAGAGCACAGAAGACGAAACACAACAGCAGACACGTCAGTTTCAAAGTCATGTCTATGTACTGTATGTGTCATGTATTAGTACAACTATGAGCCCATTTGCTTACAGCTGGCATGCACAGCCTCTCATGGGCACAGTGTGAAAGATGAACCATGAAGAAGAGTCAAAATGCAGCTTAGCAGGGCACCCGAGGCTCACCCAGCCGACAGCAGCCCTGGTTTGATTCCAACATGGCTCTTTGCAACAAGTCATCCCCTCTCTCTCCAAAATGTCCTTTTTCCCTTAAGCTTTGTTTCCGCATTGACCACACCAAAGACCACGACAATGAGACAACATGTAAAGAATGAAGGACGCTGTTTCGTGTTGAACAGTCTCTGCGTTTGAGCGTGTCATCAACCAGCACAGCTGGCACCTTGCTAACACTTTCAGTCATGCCAGGGACAGCTTGATGCAACACACCATTCTCCCCAGCAACAAAGAGAGAGGTGACTGAAGAAGACAACAAAGGGATGTCACAGAGCGGTAAAGCTGACCTTATGACACAGCATCACCAGAACTGGACTGTTCCAAGTCCAAGTGGTGAAAAAGCTAAAGCTGGTTCTGATAAAAGATGTCAAAAGACACAGTGCCACACAGTCACAGCACTCCTTTACCGACACTTTCCAAACCCCATAAATACCAACAATGGAGGAAGATGGCCTGCAGGAGTTCAAGGTGTTGACCAAACACCTGTGGGATCCCCATCTCACTACTTCTAAGACTTTTCAAGACCTGCTGCCAACATCTCGACGCCACGTACCACAGCATTACCCGCTAACCAATAAACAAGATGTAGAAACACTGTGGCATCTGTACAGACACTACCTTTGAGTGTTTCTCATGATCCTGGGAAACTGTGACAGCCTCTTTTCCTTGTCTGTCATCGACGTCGGCTGTGTTACACAAAACATTTCATTTCTGAGTATTTATGTGGCTAGCCCACACAAATCTGATTACGTGTCCTCACAGAGAAAAACAGACTTCTTTATTTGATTCTGAGCCAAAAATAATCACATAGGCATGAAAGAGGCTAGAGGCCGTCATGTATTAATACCAAGGAAGATAACACTGAGGCAAAACCGCGACAACCACATACACACACATGGATATTAAAAGCAAAAAGGTTAAAGCACTTAATTTCAGGTTTGCAATTTAATCAGTTTTATCTGTGCCACTCTATAATGGGCACCTGCATTTTACACACACACACACAAGGTATAAAATAGAGCACAAACGGTCTCACACGAATGACAGAAACTCAGGTCGATAGAAAGCTATCTTTAAAGATGAGTAACACCTCACGCAAACAATGAGTCACACACAGAGGCAGTGTCAAAATATAAGCTGTTGTATAAGCTGGTGTTGGTATACAATTTCTCGAGTTTGCTGACTCCATGATCCAGAAGGGGTTTAAAAACCTGCTATTTATGCTCTCTTCTGGTGTAAGGTCTCATGTAGACTCCTGTTTTATGACATCTAGTCTGGGATTTGGGGGACATACAGACACTCTATCTGAACCTTACAAACTCTGAGTCCTGTGAGCATTTTGATGGCTTGTCTGAACGGTGGCGCCTCTCTGACTGAAGTCATTGGCAGGATGTTGGATTTGTGTTCTTATTGCGGTGACAGCTCCTGTCACTTCAGGTTTCAAATGAGTCCGAGTTCAGACTTCTTTTCAAAGTATGCATCTCGCTCCTTAGCACTGTAACTTGGTAGATGCATGTAGAAATACCCAAGTACTGCATTATTAGTACTGCAGTGCAAGTTCTGAAACAGAGGGAGTGTGAAGGAATTCAGTTTATTGAGAAAAACTCTTTAAAATTGTAGCATTGTAAAAGGTTGGCCTTAGACTAAATGCCAAGAAAACTGAGGTCATCACCTACAACGTTCCACCAGAACATCAACCTCTGACTACAGCAGGAGGCGCTGTGCTGAAAGAAGTTAAGGACTTCAAATACCTCGGCTCATGGGTCAACTCAACTGAACAAGATCTGAAAGTGAGGAAGGCACTTGCATGGAGAGCCCTGAACAGCATGACCAGTGTATGAAACTCCACCAGACAAAATATTGCAATACTATGCTGTATCGTTTTTTTTCTCCCACCCCTAGTTACAATACAGACAGAAAAATAATAATAATAATTTCAATATTAATACGACACATACTGTATGATTGTCTTTGACCTGGCAGAGTGTATAAGGATGTTTTGTGATGAACAACAGTAGACAGTCATAGATCATGAATGTAGATGGAAAAATGATGGCTATTTTCAATGGAAAAAGAAACCTGTACAGAAAAAAGCTTAAAAAAACAATAATTATGAAGATGAATTACCTACCTACACACACACACACACACACGCACGCACACACTACCACACATACACACACATACACGCACACAATCCCTAAGCTAAAAATAACTGCATAGATGCCACAGTATGTTAGTGTTGGCACCAATGGGGAGGGAGATAGATCACAGTAATGAACCCTCGTGGGTTTAAACAAAGAGCCGTTTCTACCACAAAAGACAGATTCTCAAGCGAACTCACACACATGAAAACACCGACACACACACACACATATTGAAATGATAACTCTCCCATGTGGTTTACGCTCATCAAGCAGGAAACACCAACAAGGAAATCTCACCCTGGTGAGACTGAGCAAAGAAATGGATAAATAACAACATCAGATGTATACACCCAACATACAGCCATGAGTTGATTCACATGTGGAAAAGCATCTTTCATTATACAAAGTGCTCATTTGATCATTACAGAACAAAACCTCTAAACCTGGCCTTGCTGGGACCTGTACAGTGCCATGCCGGACTCTTCAAGCCACTTCATTTATCACCTCACATATTACTTCCACTTTTTCTGCTTCCCCACTTAGTTCCGCAGCAACAGCCAACCCCAATTTCTCAACTTAGCCCTCTAACTTTGAAATATTACCCTGCCAGGAAGATCCAGAGTTAATGGAAGAAGCTGATCAGCACAATTAAGGTAATACATCTAAACTGAAACAAGCAGTGACAGTGTCTGTAGCTATTTTCTAATACTACACCCCACCGCCAGACACCCTCAATTTACAAAATGAATGGAAAAAAGGAGGCCTGGGAGCAGGACTCAGAATACTAAGTCAAAAATGTGAATTTGTCTGGAGACTCATTATTCATTTTGGTTTCTGAGGAAAATTAACAACCATTGGGACCAAGCTGCACCTTGCTCGCAACAGCCAATCAGAACAAAGAGTTGTGTCATGTGACGGTGGGCTGAAAGCTACTTCCAACAATCAATCTATAAAGCACTTTGTCCAGCATATTACATAGAGTACAGCGGCCAGTATTTGGTATTAGTAGCTGTTTAAAAAGTGAATTATGGGTATTGGCAGACCTATACAGACAATGAGGTGATACATCATTATACACGCACACGATGGCAGCTTACTCATGCCAACAACAAACTTTAACAAGCCGTCTGTATCAAAATGTCTGAACAGCAAATACATTAATAAATGTATATGATGCATTTTTCATTTATGGTAATATTGTTTGTCTTGTTTTATGTCCATTTCTAAAACAGATTTAATATCACAATCAGGGTAACAGTTCAATCCTTCATGAGAGACTCTTCTCTGAACAAAGAAAAACAAAAAACTGCATGTCGGATGTGCAGCCTGTGATATCATGTAAGTGGTGGAGGAGCTCAGATCCAGTGGTTTTTTAATAAACAGTAACACACTCCACTACGAGTGAAGTGTGGCGCTTCATTTCATGAGACTAATCAAATTAACTTAAAGCTCTTAAAGTGAAGTGAAGAACTCATCCCTTTAAGTAATCCAACACGTGATTTTTGTCTGTTGAGCTTACGGACACAGACAGGCATGCTTTGGTTAACTAAAATGGTCAAACAGGTTTTATAACTTATATTATTGTTTTTTCCAAAATCCATCAAAACCCTAATATTAAAGAAATAATCAATAAAATAAAGATGAAAAAAAGCTATTTTAAATTAATATAAATACTGCAATGAAAAAACTGAATTACAGTCATTTCAACATGTTTTTAAATCTAATTAGATATGTTTCTTTATCAATTATTAGTGGTTTATAATGTATCATTCAAAGCATTTTAGACAAAGCTTTTGTAGCTTGAAAGAGAAATGTTTTTTAAATTGAAGAAATGCAATAAAAGAATAAAAGTACTTTCAATTAATAAATGAAGTGTAACAGTGTTACATTTCCACCAAGACAAGTGGAGATCATTCAGAGACCATGTCTATAGGCCCGGCAAGATGAAGTCATAGCCTTGAGAATGAAAAATCAATACAGCTCACAAAGGCTTTACAAAGTGGGAGTTGATCCAATATTGATGGATAGATGGTCTGAGAGTGTGATGGTGGGAAGCTGAAACAAACTGGGTCTAAAGGGCTAAAGACCCAATTTAAGCAAATTCTAGAGGAGAACCCCGCTTCTCAAAATAGACAGCCAAACAAATCCACCCACACATGCAGAAAATGTGTCTGATAAAGACAACTTTCAATCCAAGGACTGCATTTGATAGTCAGAGCCTTTTTTTTTAACATATTGTGATAAAATATTAATTATGTAAGTCTTAATCTGAAATTAACGGCTTGTTAAGAGATAGACTTTTTTCGGTGCGGCTCTCAGGATTGCACAAAGACAGGCTGTTTCCCTGTGACTTAGATCTAACACACACTGAGACGTCAGATGAGCTTACATGCAAGTTTTTCAACCGCACAGAGCCATCTACTGAGAGAGGTTCAAAAGGATGTTTGATGTCATTTAGTGCTGCTCGTTCCAAATCCTCCTACTAATCCTGCAGAGCGTTGCATGTGCGGTATAGACTGCACAATCATACAGTCAATGCAAAGCCAATCATAAACCAGAAATATTACCGCCTGCAGTGAGAGTACATAAGCTCAAATATTTGTGCATTACAGAAGACTGCAGGTTTGGAAACAGTGCTGTATAAACGAGGGGAAGTGCGGTCTTGTACATTATGGTGAGTCTAGCTTCACGTACAAACAAGGCTGCTCATCTGAAGCTTATCTGCTCTGTGTATTAAAAATAAAACAAGTGCTGGAGACTGAATAAAAGATGATATGATTCTCTGGAGATTAATATTTTTTTGCAGCACACACAAAAAAACACACCTCTTTCATTGTGTAACAATGATGGGACACATCAAAACGAGGATCTTCCTGTTGTCTTCGCTCTCTCTGTGCTAAAACAGAGCATCTGAAATATTTATAGCCTCTGTCAGGCCACTGCTTCTGCCACCCATTACAATCAAAGCATGCTTTTTTAAAGTTACATACTGTGCATATTTGTATTTAAACTTGATATTTACTCTTCTTACATGAGACATAGAATCTGTACACTAATATTTTGGTAATGACGAACTCATTATACTCTACCTGAGAGAAAGATATCAGGCTAGCAACAACACAAACACACTAATGCATACAGAAGCATACACACAAAGAAATAATGAAAGACGGTGAGCACACAGGCACTTACATATTTAACCACCAAACACATTTATACACAAACACGCACACATACTGTGTGCATGTGTACAAAATGAATATTACATGACCCGAGCTCTGCCCTGGTGGTGGTGTCATTCAAGGATAAAATATGAGAAAATATGGTTAAGCTAAGACTGTAAAATGGTAAAAGTTTAAAATTATTCCAGAGTCATGAAACTTCAACATGCCGTTCAAGGAGTTACAAAGATAATTACTTGAAAAAAGAACAATTATGGAATTTAAAGCTGGTATTCAAAATCTTAGTTTTAGTGTGAAAAGCCCCCGAAAAAAGAAATACTTTTACATTCTCCTTTAAGCTGCATAATTTATTACTCTCCCATTTAACTTTCTCGGTCTAAAGCCAAACTTCATAATCTACTCTCTCCTGAGAATAATCCCAGAGACTGCAGATGTACCGTGCACTCAAGCACAAGGACACACATACACCTCCTTGTCTCCTAACTGAGTGTTTTCATTTCCTTTCCATGATCAAACCAGGTCAAACGGCCGCAGACATTTTCTCACTCTATGATCTCTTGTTTCTTTTGTCTTTACAACTGGGTTTCTGTTTCGGCCGTTCGTGCCTGCAGCTCAGGATGGAAGAGAGACTATAGGACAGAGAGAGCGAGGAACAGTGAAGACATGTGACACAGCGCTGGCTGCTCCCAACTTTGAATTCACGAGCACTTCCTCATCATATCTACCCTTTTCTTGTCACCACGTCTTCAACCGCTCGCTTATCTTGCAGCTTAGTGCAACCTCTCTCTTCCCAGCCTCCCTCAATCTGCCTCCTCTCTCTCTTTTCATAACCTTTCAATATTTATGAGCACTGCAGAAACACTCATAGCAAAGCATGATGGGTAGAGCTGTCCCTCAGAGTCTGCTCCTTACGTCATGACTCTGTACTGACAGTCTGGGCTCCCTGCCTCTCCTCAGTAACCTGGCAAAAGTCAAGTTCCCTGCCGGCAGTGGATAGTTGAAAATATGTCATAATAAGACACAGGAAGTGAGATAAACTACAGTAAAAACTGATGTCAGAGTAGGCAAAGTAATTTGTATTTACAGAGAAGTCTCAAGGTATGACCCCTTTAACTATCCAGCAATATCAAAATTATGCTGTTAACTGCAAAAGACCAGGGAGAGGTGGTGTGGGTCACAATCCAAGTGATCCTGGATCAAGTCCTTTGTTTTTGTGTGAAGCTGGTTAAGCATCCATGCTGATTAAATATGTAACTCTGACACTAAAATATAATCTGTAGCTGCAGTTCATTGACATTCCAAGCAGAGGTAGAAACACCACCGCTGAGGATGGATAACGGATCCCAGAATTTGATCTGGTCTATTTCAGTTTATGCAAATGTCTTTTTTTTAATCTCACTATTCTCTATAGAGGAGATGATACAGTTTCAGTAATGCAGAGGAATTAGAGCATATGCTACAGTTTGTCAAAGTGCAGTGAAAAAGAATAATCGTAAATATATAAATAAATATGTTACCATCAGATACTTTGATTTGTCAGGCTGGCATCAGTACTTTATGCTCACTTTCTTTTTAAAAGCTACAAACTGCAGGTAATGTTACCATCAGATACTTCGATAATGATAAGGCTCAATCTTTCATATTAAATCTGAAAACCCCTTTATGGGTGTTTACAAAGTTATGTGGAGTTAAAAATGTATGGAACACATTATTTTATGAAGGCAGTATACGTGAAAGTTCCCCCTTTATAACTTATTTAAATTTATGTATAATTATTATTTCCCAATTTAACTGTCAAGGAGAAGTTTTATTGTCCAGATATTGAATAATTGCCCTTCAGCCATATTATGTTGCAAGGGAGTTCAGTCATGTCATAACAATACTTGTATATGTCCCAACCAAGGCAACAGCTGAAGTTCCATGTGATGTTCTCAAGCCAGGTTTAAGTTGTTTGAGCAATCTCACACCGGCGGTGTGAGATTGCTCAATCAACTATAAGAGATAAGCTCCATAAAACAAGCACCACATGATTTAAAGGTTGATTTCAGCTGCAACTGATCAGCAGAGACTTGATGTGACTGACCTTCTACATGTGCCGCACGTCTCACTTTTAATAGCTTCTAAAATCCTCATTTGGGGCATCCCTTCAGAGGCTCTGTGCTCTGGTCTACTGCTGAATTTGATTCGCTGGTACAGCCATCATACATATTGCCACATTAAACACTGAAAGTCTCACTTGAGGTTGAAAGTTCAACATATCTGGAAATGTTGCTCGGAGGCTATGATTTCAGGCTGAGAGTGGGTAACGAATATCAATACTACTCTCATATCTCTCTGCCAATTATGACAATACAGCTAGCAAACAGCTCGAAAGGTGTTAAACAGTTGGGTCCATCATAGTGAGACCAAAATAATTGGGACAGCGCTTTAAAAATTGTTCATAAGGTCCCTATTAAAAACAAATTCATTGACAATAGACCTTTTTCACAGTAGTAGCATTCTGCTCACTTCTGGTGTTAGCGTGTGGTGGAGCCACATAATCTGAAGATGTAGATGCTTCGGTAAATGGCCAATCAAAATTTCTGACGTGCCAAAAATTCATCAAAATTGGTTGTGCGTCTCAAATTTAGAGAATTTATGGACACATTTCAACTAAAAATGACTGAACCTGTGTTTACATGTTCTGGAATGTATTAAGGATGTTCAGCAAAGGTAAAAAAAAGGGTCAAAAGCAGCCCCTCATAAATGGGTTATTGAAACTTAGAGAAACTGCAGACACTTAAAAAACGAAGATCAGGGGAGACACTTTGAAGCACGGGAGCCACTATGTCTGAAAGTCATGTGTGCATAACTAATGCAAAGCACTCAGCTGCACATGGTCAATGACTGCACTATCACCCATAAGGGCAATATACAATCACTATGACAGTAGGAAGCAGTCAGCAGTGGGAGGAGCAAGAGTGATGGATATGGAAGAGGAGGGGCAGGAGATGGGAAGGACATATAGAAGAGAGGATTGGGGTGTGTGATAGGGTAAAGGGAAATAAACACTGGCACAGAGGATGTAAAAGGTTAATGAGAGGATGAATGAGTGCAGTGAAGTAGAAAGACAGAGGAAAGGTGGTGAAAGGAGGGGAACAGAAAAACAAAAGACCAATCAGAGCACGTAAAGGACTGAAGGTTTAATGAAAAATCTCCTAATTCTGTTTGTTTACAGTGGATTTTTTATGTCCATGAAACAGCAAAAATAATGGAAATGCTCCCAGTAAAGACTGCCAAGTCAGGTTTCTCCACTCATGGGGCTGTTTTTAGGATTTTTGGATTCCTTCATTCGTACTGCAGGAGCCCGAGATCACGTGAGGATAATTAGCATAGCAACTGACTGTTTTTCAGCATCCCATCTGTGTTCAGTTATTTTTAAGATCCAGTGTATTTAGGTGTTAGAAAAGACAGACAATACACTGTGTGGCCAAAAGGCCCTGTCAGAAACCCGCATTATAGAGAGCGTGAAGCAGGAGCAGAGAAGTAGAGGTCAGGAGAGGATGGAGGATGAGGAGAGGAGGGGTGAGAACCAGCTGTGAGAGAAGTCACGTTGTTAAGCAGCCAATCCGTGTGTGTGATGAGAGAGATAGATGTCACGGAGCTATGAATCCCCACTGGGAGATTTTCTCTTTTACTTGTTCTACCTCCACAGGAAGAGGTCAAGGGTCACGGTCAGACACAGAGCAGCACCCCTGGGGATTGTGGGGATGCAGCGTCTTGTTCAGACTCACTAAAGCAATGTCAGACCTGTTCAGCTTTTTTATTACAGCCTATCCATTTATCCATCTATCAATCTATATGAACATCCAACTAGCTCTATAAATCTTTCTATCCAGTCTGTGGTTCATTCATTCATTCACCAGCCTGTCAATATTGACAGTTACATTGAGATGAGGGAATGAGGCCATCAATAATAGATTTCTTATTATAATCCTCCGTGTCTCTTGGTTATTTTAACACCCCTTACACACATTTGAATCAGCACACATGGGAAACAAAAGCTTCCCTGTGCTGCACCCTCAGAAGATGACACACTGTTGTAACACTTCACGATTCAGCTCTCTCAGTTTATCACTCCATCCTCCCCCGTCCATCTGTCAGTTGTTCATCTGAGGTGATCCCAGGCCAAGTTGCCATTACTTTTGAGCTCTGAAACATCCAGTCTGATACTATTTTATTGAAGCACTCATGTTCACATTTGGACAGTTTTTTTTCCAAATACAAAATGACCAAATATATTATTCTATTTCTACATTTTGTCCTTAAATGAAAGTGTGTCGGGGTGACAATTATATTTACTGAGTACGTTTCACATAGGTGAAGTTCAGTGTGCTTCAGATCTGAATTCATGGAAATATTCAAACATCATATTTCTCGGTTCAGTGAACTGACAGCTCTCCTACATTTTTGATGGTTCCCTGCTTACCTGTGTACACGGAAACTAAAGTCCTGCTTTTAGAGGAGTGCTGTTTAAACATGCAGTACACCAAGAAACTTTAAGTCTTTAGACACTCAAGAACAGAAGGTTGCTCTTTGTCACATTTCAAAATCCCACACCTGAGTCTCTATACCTGTCTGTAAAGCAAGACCCATATCTCCTTCCTGTATGTAAAGGAGTAGGACAAGATATCAATGGAGCAGCATACTGCCCTACTTACCTACGCAATACAATCATCAACAAGCCAGAGCTGAATATCCATAAATTATTAGATTTATGTATTTAAAAAAACATATGATGCTACAAATAGCCTTTCCCTTCCAATTCGAACCACCACATCACTACTTCACATGGAGGTGCTTAAGACATGGATGAGCAACATGACTGGGAATTAATCAGCCAAATCACCAGAAGAGGACTGCAGAATAAAGTGAAAACTACAACAGAGATGTACCAGACACTTTTAAAGAATTACAGCAAAGTCCAGTGTTTTACTGCTCTCTCGCAACAGGCATTTTATTTGATTTTTTATTTTATGACTACCCATTTTATTAAAAATTTGCATGTTGCACAGGACTGACGCCAACATTCAAATTGCAGCAGTTTTAATGAAGGCTGCAGAGGAAGACATCTGACTGAAAAGACTGGCTGTAGTATTGAGGGTAGCTGTTGTAGGTCCAGTCATCTGGGTTAAGGATCGGTATTTTCAAATACTCAAAGGTGTATTAAATTCCCCCTAATTTTCAAAACTAATTCCACAGTTGCTCTGTAATTTTGTTGATCAGACTAAAAACATAAACACTGGGTCATTTTGGTGAATCCAAACCAAACTGCTGGATATAAATACATTAATTACGCCCTTTGCCTCCACTGCATTTTTGATTCTTCTGTTAATCAGACACTGATTTATCATTATTCATACATAAATATTTGTATTTTTGGCAATATATCAACCCTGGCATTGCTGTATTGTGATATTATCACTAGCATAAGAGATCTACAATGTCTTTACAAAAAACTGTTTGGTTGTATGGCGTTAAAGACACATGGACACTGCATAATTTACAAGTTTTAACACTGTTTCTTTTATGATGTTTATTTCAGGTACTGCAGGGGCTACTTGAGATTTATCTAAGTGTTCATTTAAACAACACAAAAGCACATCATGCTTTATACTTTAATAGCTCTATACTAATACTCCCTGATAAATATTACCTTAAGTCAAAAGAAGCACATTTAATAATCCACATTCGGTTGTCGATAAAATCTTTAACAGCTCTCTTAGCAAACACATAACCTACAGAAATAAAAATTGATACCGTTCTAAAATCGAACTGAAGGCAGACAAAGCATCATTATGACAAAGAGAACCTCAAATAGACTGGCATGTAAGCTTAAGTGCAAACTCCACAGGGAAGTCTCTGTAAGGTCACTGCAGTGTGAGTCAGGCGCTGAAGGCAGAGTTGGATGCTAGATGTCAGAGTTTCTGTGATCGTGGCCTGGGAGGATGAGAGGCGTGGGGGGCTCAGCATGGGGGGCAGAAGCTGCTGCCCTATCGTGACATTGACTGACTGACTACCAAATCAGCTGTGTCATGAATCAGGACTGTAGAGGGCTCTGGAGCTGACATGCACTAACTCACACAAGCACACTGACAGGCACAAGACAAACACACACCAAAAGTCTTAACCTGGAGGTGTGGGCACGTGCACCAAAACAGCCCACATGAGAAGATTTACAATCAGGTACATTTTGTCACACAAATCATAACTCTGTGCAGACATGTCAACATGGAGGCACAGTAAAACATGCTACATCATCCTCAGCCCTGCTCCCCACAGGCGGTCGCTGAAGCAGACATATGCTCTTCACTGCAGGAAAGAGAACCCCACACATGAGACTGCACGTGTCAGCTCACCGCTTGCAGAGAGCAGTGAAAATACAAAATCAAATTGCCTCGCCTCATTAACTGTGACAAAAGTTGCATATTTACAAGCTGCAAATTCTCTTTCCCACATCGTTCCTTTTGGAAAATGTCCCAAACTCCAACACAATGTTCCTCTAGCAAATCAAGAATGTCTCAGATGTAAACTATCAAGTCAACTGATGACTGATGATGATTATAAGAGAACAGGTCTGCCAGTGCTGATACATAATGCTGAAATTTTTTGTTCGTTCGTTCGTTCGTTTTTTTTTTTTTTTTTTGCCTTTTGACATAAAACAACAATTTTTCTAACAAGTTAAAGGAAATATCTAATAATATATATATATATATATATATATACACATATATATATGTGTGTATGTATACATGGCTGTCCAAGCCTGTATTATATTTTGCATGAATTTTTAATAAATCAATAGAAAGACAGATATTGGGTTGTCCTATGGAATGATATGACTGACATCGCAGTCAATACTAAATATTAAGGCTGGGACAATATGCTTTTCTCCTGATTTGATTCTACTATGATTTTTTGGATGCCGATTCAATTTAAATTGCAATTCTATAATACTGTCGATTTTTTCAATTTTTTAGTCAGCATTTTTAACACCAGTAAAACAGTTGAATGATTATAATTGTCTATTGACTATTCCAGGAACCATATTCCCCCCCAAAAAATACACATTCCATTAAAGTCTGTTTTTAAGATTCATTCTTACATATGAAAAGAAAAATCGATTTTTGAACACAAAAACTGATTTAAAAATTGTAAAACAAAAAATTGCGATACTTATGTGAATCCATTTTTTGTCCCACCCCTGCTAAATATTATATCACAATACATAATTAACACTAGAGATTTCCAAATATGATATTGGTTTCAGGTATCGGTCCGATATCAGTAAAAAAAATAATACCAGTGTACTTAACACAACAACAGTGTGTACTAAGTACATACAAATTAGCAAGGAGTAGGAGTGATGTCAGCCATGTGCCAGTATTTTTTGTTGAAGTCTGAAAAAGACATTGCAGCTGAGTGCAAAACTTGTCATGCACAATTTTGTGCCAATATCGGATCAATATCGGTGTCGGCCAATACTGAAGGGTACAATATCGGTATTGTATCAGAAGTAAAAAAGTTGTTTCTGGACACCCCTAATTAACATACTCGTCAATGACTATTTTGGATTTGATAAGCCGTTAATGGGCAATGTGTTATCAGCCTGCCTTGTGAGGGCCGATGCCGATATGTTGCTAATAATGTGAAAATGCCAATAATCATTAATTGGTCTATCCCTAATGTAAACACAGCAACCACTCCTAGCACTAAATGTCTGCATCCCAGCACTGTATTCATGATTATCACTAGCCTGTTTTTAATTTGCATCCCATGTCAGGAAGTTTAGCATTTTTCTGACAGATTGGAGTCAAAACAAGAACTCAGTATGAGTAAGAATTCTGCCCCAATTAATTAATTAGAATTAATAGGAATGAAACGTGGGAAAACATAAAATGAGAGGCCCAACAGTAAGCAGGCCTCACGGTGCATGTCTGTGTATCTGACAGTGGGTTGTCACTAATCACCCAGTGGGTGCAGAGTCATACCAGTGGGTGACATGCTGAGAGAGGGATGAGAGATGCACAGGAGCTGATCAAGGATGAAAGAGGAGAAACTGCAGAGGACAAACGCAAGATAAACAAGAAGACAAGATCTCAGGAGAGGTACTTACACTTACTGTAAGCTAACAATGAGCATTACGGCTACTGCCTCTAAAAATAATGATACAGAAATAGCATTCAGGACGGCAGTGGGAGCTCTCCTTCGCTGCTCTTCATGCATTAGCCATGAGCTCTTCATAAAGGAAAATGTCAGATACATGTTTATATGAATTAACTGATCCAAGATCAGGCATCTGGGACAATGGGCCTATTCACCAGGTCAACCTGTCAAATTGACCTTTTCAATTCAGTTCTATGCTACTGTGTGTTCAAGGCAACCACGTGCACATGCTATGTCATGTATCAACAGCATGTTGGTAAGCCTGTGCCAGCTGGAGGAAATACAACATGAAGGCGGTAAACAACATCTGCTAAACAGTCTGTATGTATCTCATGCTTGTTGTGTTTTTCTAGGGCTTTTTGCAATATCTGAAGAGCTAATACGGTAACACAAAATGACACGACCAACCCTGTCAAAGATAATAAATAAACAGAGATAATAAACCAAACACAAGAGAAGAAGAAACAAAGCGGTTTACTCTGTCAGCTGCAGAAACAGAAGAAATTCACCAATGATGAAGACGGTTCTCAACTGTAGCTACTATAGCAGAGAACTAACAAATATATCAGTGCTACATGATCAGCATGTTGGTAGGTCTATTGGTGTGTTGCATGTGATCACTAAAAACAGAAGTTTTAAGATGCTCATCAGGTCCAAAACTCCCCCTTCAGTCAGAACTCTAGACTCCTGTAATCCTGGGTAGCTGATTCATGAATCAACAATAAAGTCATGTTTTCTATCGTTGTGTTGTTTTCTTGTATTGTAGTCCTGTTTTGTGTAGTTTAATCAATCAGAATAGCACAAGTTCTATTTTTAGGACATGTTGTCATGTTGCCCTTATGTGCAAAAGATCATGCATGTATTATGTTGTTACTGCCTGGTATTAGCTAGCAACGCCAGCAAACAACAACGGGAGTTAAAAGGAGGTGAAATATTTTCTAACCCATACTCCGATGTGGATGTCATTTCCAGGTCCTAGATCCAACTTTTGGGGTCAATAAAAAGCACCATTAGCATTTTGCCAGGTCGATGTCATGTGAGGGGGCACTACAGATCACCGACCACATCTCTGCACAGCCCACAATTCAAGGAGTAGCAGCTGCTGAGCTTTCTCTGAAACTCTAACACTAATATTGAATTTTAGAATCTCAAGATCATCATGCTGAAGTGTATGAGTTGAATCAACTGACACCTGATACAGCCTATGAGCCTACGAAGATTGCGTAGCTCACCCTGTCATCACAACTCTTGGCGACTCTCCTGCTGAATGCGCACAACGCTACTGCGCAATGTTGGTTTCAGGAAACGTAGGGAAAACGCGGAATAAGGGAGCTTTTTGGCTTGAAATCCGTAAACTGGCATAACACATAACCATGTTGTCCATAGTCTATGTATTTACACCTTAAAGGTTGAATTATATCTTTAATTTCAAGTTCTGGGGCTAGCTATCTGAAATGTTGAACACTATGTCTTGCATGTGTACATCATGTACAAACTTCACACAGACCAGTGAATCAATGTAATGTGCTTTTCAATGCTAAATCTGTCACATATTATATTCCACTAACTAATATGATATGACTGAGCCACAGCCTCGCCCTTCCTCCTGAGAGACTATTCTGGAAACATGAATAAAAGCCATGAACAATATGGCATTGTGTCATCTCTGCTTATCATTCTCCCCAGTAAACTGATATTTAAAGGTTACACAGGCCAATATAGCAAGAAATGTAGAGAAGGTTTATCAATGTATAATAAATGTGATATGAGGGAGAATTTTCTCCAGGACCACAAAAAGACCAATCAGCCTCACATGCCAACAGAGGAGAATAATAGCATCCTCCTCAGCCACAAATTGCCATTGCTGGTCTGATGGATTTCACGGGATGGTGACCACTCCCTGAGGCCGGTCGATAGAGCCACCTCCTTATGATTCAGCAGTCTGTGCAGGTTCTTCAGGGGCAGTTTAGTCCGCGAAAAGCCATTCATCAGTGGGACACACTCCCAGCTAATACCAGGGTCAGACCTGAATCGCAAGGTCCAGTAGGGGTTAACACATAGCCTGTCAATTTAAAGCAGCAGCGAGCGGCCTGTCTCCAGCGGCCTGCATATAACAGTTTTCCATACGGTCTACATTGGAGAAGTGAGTCTCACACACACAGATAGAAATGAGAAACTGCAACACTAAGTGAATCGTGATCTGGCTCTTTAATATACTGATATAAATGTACTTTGGGAAGATCACAGTGACATAAAAACTGACAAATACAAGATATTGAACCACTGAAAATGTCTGGGCTCGCAAATTCCTCAAGAAATGTCAGCAAGAGGGTAAAATAGCACAGAATTCCTGCAGAGTTGTTTGTCATGTTACTGTAGCAGGTATTTTGTATTTTTGCCTCATTCGAATCAAGGTTTTCAAAAACTAAACGGGATGATCAGGGATGTTTGGTGGTTAGCAGGGTGACTCTGACATGCCACATGATGTCACAATGGGAAGTCACTCCGCTCTTTCTAAAGCTCATGCTATAATAAACCTAATGCACCAGGGAGAGCTAAAAATATAGGCTAGACAAGCTGACACACTGCGTTTGCAGAAAGCTGCACCCTATTCGGAGCGCCATCAGTCACCCTCATCATTCACCGGTTGCTGATGCTTGCTGTCTGTGCTGTGTATCAAACACGTGATGCTTCAACACAACAGCGTGCTGGCCTGCTAAAAAACCACACATCAAGTTCAATGGGTGATAAACAAAACTGTATTTCTATCCTGGTGTGAAATGCCTGAATTTTAAAGAGTGGTTCAATATAAACATGCTGTAAGATCAAACATCATAATGCCTTTGAGGGATCGACCTTTTTTTCGTGTTGGAACCAATAAGGACCTGGAATTGAGGACAATCTCTGTGTTAAGCATGCTCTCTCTGATGAATATTTAAAGTCACAGTAAAAAAGCATCTACACCATGATATAACCAGGGGGTGTTAGACACACACGAGGGAAAATACTGCCGTATAAATAATGGATCATTTTGTATTTTAAATTGATCCGTTAAACCTTGATTGGGCTCTTGAAAAAAAATCAAACTAAATATTTACAAAACAAATCAGCAATATCTACAGCGCTACGATGACTTCAGTTGGAGTACAATGAGACGAAGCAAAGACAACCAAACCTTTGTGACTGTGTGGTATCATGATGCCCATTCTTGACCTACTTTAGACTGGTTCAGGAAGGATTTCAGCACTTTCATGACAGGAGGTCTTCACTGACAGCGTAGCTGCAGAATCAGGCGCACTAGCCTCATACTGATCAGTAAACTGAGGTCGCACGCTGCATTCAAAGCAGCAAGTGTTGCTTTTCTTTAATTCCAGAGGTTGATCCAAACTGTAAGGTAATCAATCATCGGAGTCTTTCTGCAAGGCTCGACGCACTTGGTGTCTTGAATTCTGATGAATGAGAGGAAGCCTCAGTTTGCTAAGCTATAGGATTAGGAGGGTGTTTAAGTATGGATTCTATGTACATATTTAAGAGCTGGCGTGTCTGGGTGTTCTGTCCTCTCACCTTGGCTCGCCCCATGGGACCACTGGTGCAGAGCCATCAGCTCAGAGCCTGTCACCTTGTAAGTCAGTCTTTCTACCTCAAAACTGCTGAGTCAGAGCCTTCCATTCATTACATTCAAGTTGTTTTGTGCATGTGATTATTAAAAATACAGCACTTCTGTTTAAGACAATACAACAATGTGAGAACCAAAGACATGCAAACAGGTAATCGAGACCTTTCTATGTTAACTAATGAATGGCTGAGATCGAAGAATCAGGGTCACACAGAGGGGGTGAGGGTCACTGCTGAGGGACACTTAATTGAAAGCCTCTGATTACATTTAAAGTGAGGTTTTGACCTCAAGTGACCATGAGAGGTTTTCAGACGGGACAGAAAAGAGGACGCCATCGACATGGTGTGGCTTTGGAAACAATCAAGAAACCAGTGTTAGTTTCTGTGTGTAGGTACATACTCAGTAAACTGATGGGCAAGGATTGTGTAGCACTGTTTACACTTATTTATCAGCTGCTTGAAGACTTCTTTATAAACAATGATGTAAGCACGCAAGTCTTTAAGACCCACACTCTGATCCATTTTTTTTAACGACCTAAATTGTTCTCAGTGGTCTTTAAATCATGATTATAAAGTTTTTAGCCAAACTCACGTTACCTTTGTCATTATTAAGGGCTTTTCTTCTGCAGAGCTCCAGTACCTCATTAGCAATTCGCCTCTGAGTTGTAGGCGGAGACAGCGCTGCCCTACACCCTCCTTCGCCTTTGTGCCGTGTAGCCTCATGTCACATTGTACAATAAGCTACGTGTTTCTCAAAACCTCCATCTGCTGCCATATCCATTCTGTAACATGCAAAGTGATGCACACATTTTCAAGGAGAGCATGACAATATCTTGCCATATTGATTTTTTATGAGCGAGACCCTGGTTGGTTGAAAGTGGCTGGCTATCTTATGTTGATGAAATAAGGGGCATTAGCTTGTGTACTTGACAGGCTTCAAAAGAACAGTCGCACCGCATCCTCAACTGCAAAATCATAACCAGTTGCTACCATGGCTGTACAATTTGTGCCCTCTGCTGTTTAAAAAAGGTACTGAAATTCATTATTTACCTCAATGATTGAATCAACCTATAAATGGATCAATCTTTAACTGCCTTGTGAGGTAAAGCCTGAATGAAACATGCTTAGAAAACCTGTCTTTATGTCTGTGGTGCAGCTAAACCAAAAGTCTTATTGGGTTTGTATGTAACCCACGTAACGTCCTGTGCACTAACTGTGTTGTCTTTGACTTGATTCTCTAAAGGTCACTTTGTGTTTTTTTGGAGTCACAGTTGACCTGCTCTGACATTTAGGAATGAGGACTGTCACAAACTTTACTTGGAAAGGATAATCGAAATGTTCTATAACGTATTTTTACTGGTTGTTTTTGGGTCACTGTGGGTCACACAGTGACCGTGGCTGATACATGAAGGCCCACTGATGATGATGTTCAGACTGTAGTCGAGCATAAATTCTTTCTCGTCCTCTCGTGACTTTTAAACAGAAGCTAAAAGGATGTAAACAAACTAAATGAGAGCCAATTAAGTCAGTCCATGTTGGAGCAACTGTTTTCACAAAAGTACGGGGTGCCTGCAGGATGGAAATCATGATGCCATTCGACATTCTATGCCTCCAGAGCAGTATTGCATTTCCATCTGTTCCTGTTTTTTCCGGCTAGCTCAATATCATCCAAAAGCCAGAAAATCTTCATTTATGACTCACAAGCTGCTTTGGCAAAACACGGTGTTCGCATTTATTTGTTGTACTTAGCCTCTAACTCTGTTTAGACTGCTAATGGATGGAAGCCCTACGGGTGAGTACTACCTGATGTTTGCTTAAATTATCATAATACACAAGACACTCTAATGTTTGTCTTTCTTCATGGTTAGTTATTAAAATACTGGAGTAAAAATGAGCTTAAAAATAGTGAAATAAACGAAAAGACTCTGATTTTCCAGAGTTGGGGAATCCCTGAACGTGTTAAACCTAATTCCCTTTTTAGTTAGTCGAATGCCACGGTCAGCGGGGGATCAATAGGCTGCAATCAATACCACTCTGGCATCAGAGAAGAGCTACAAGAGAACAAAGGGCAGAATGATGGAGCTGTTGAGAAGGAGGGACAGAAGACGGGGAAAAGGCATACAGTGTGCATCTGCTATTTTAGTGACAACAATCTCCATGTCAGTTAGCGAGGCTGGATCTGCACACCAAGCAGTTAATTAACATTTGGCATGGTGTGTTATCAAGAAACAAGCACTCGCCAGTCAGTAAGAGCAGAGCAGAAAAGCACTGTCACACACACAGGCTTTGGTAAAAAGAAGCCTGATTATTTTCACCTCATTACGCTCCAATTCTGTCAAAATGTGGCTGCTTTGACTGCAGAGCATTAATTTAAGACCTTTTGTGATCGAATAAGGGAAGTATACCCTCCGTTTAAATCACAGGATTTAGATTTTACAGATGTTCTCTGTGTGAGCATTAGCTGGGTTGGCACATAAGTTAACAGCTGACTCTGGTATTGCAAGTGCAGTACTGCAATGATGAAGGCAGTGGCGCTGACATGCATGGTGAGTCAGTTATGCTGAAAGCAGCAGGTTGGGGATTCCAGAGAGGAGGCCTTATAAGCGCTTTGAATCCTGGGTATACAGACATTTGACAGGCTTTGGGAGAAGGACAACAAAATGTGTATGGGCCATCTTTACCCAGGGCTTTTGGGTTTGTGCAACTGTTGAGCAACAACATCTTTATGAATGTATGTGTGAGGTTAAAGGGCAATTATAAACCTCTGAGATGGTGAAAGGTCCACTCCCTGGAATTGTTTTAGACCTTTGAGCTAATTCTCACAGCCCTCATCAGCTGAGCCAACAGTGCTAGCTCAGGCCTTCAGTCCTGTAAGCCAACATTTAATGACTCTTAATAGGATTTTCTGTTGAACAGTGGACACTGCTGCACACATACACATACACACTGTGGATTACACTATGATGACTTTCACTCAGCATGCAGACTGTGGTGGGATTAAGAATACGTTCAGTTTATGCTACTTGTTGTTTTAAAACTTTTTCCTCATTCATTTTTTTTCTAATTGGAAATGTAAGAAGAGAAATGTAACTGCTTCAATTTTCTTGTACGATTTGGGCTAAATGACAATCGGTTTGACCATTGCAACAGTCACATCACAGGATATGCAAAGTCTGTTTGTGTCACATGACTGTAAAATGTAAACATGCATACGCCATTGTCGATACCCCACAGAAGATCTGTTGAGGTAGACAGATTTGAAGTTTTCTCTGTCAATCAGGCGCTCATTTATGTTGTGAGCACATACAGACCACTGAAGGAAACTTCAAGTGCTCAATTTTCGTGCCTCGTCGGCAGCATGGCATAGGTGTGGCGTAAGTCAGGTCCACCGCACCGAAAAGGCGTGCCCAAGCACATTTTGGTATTTTGGTGAGTGGCATAGCCCGGCGTAAGTATCTCCTCTCCCTTAGTTCCTCCCAGCAGCATAAGTCGTAGTTAGAGAGGAGAGAAGGCGTGTAGTGGCTTTAACACAGCCGAGACCTGTTTTCACCAATCACAAAAGCACCTCTCCTCACCTTTAAATCTGCCACCAGCGAGGCGGATTACAATTTTCAAAAATACCATTAGACCAGCTGCGCTCTGCCCGCCGATTCTATCGTCACCTCCCCCTGCCACGCATCCACACCCAGTGCTGTCTTTACGTTTATGAATCCAAAATCTAATCAAATAGATTTTTTATCCTGGGAGAGTATTTATCATAGCCAGTTATGGTTGTATTTCAATGACAATCATCATTAAGTTTGTCAACTAAATCCCCATCTATACTCTTAGCTTTTTATGTAGTGGCATTTGGTATATGTGTTTTTACATTCAGTCATCCTGCCTAACTTCATTACTTTCCTGATTCTGCCCTTCAAAACCAGAAACAACATAGTGAAAGTAAGAAGGTTACAGTTAGAAGACAAGGAAACAGCTAATGAAGCAGCACAGAAGAGGAGACAAAAAAAAGTAAGAAGTGGGAGTAGGAAAAAGAGACAATAGAGAGGATGGGAGAAAGCTGAGACATACTTAGAGCAAATGACAAAGACAAAGAAAGATAGCTGGTAGAGAAAAGAGCTAAGGGCATGGTGCAAAAAAATACAGCTGCTTTACTCTCCCTCTCTTTGAGTTTAAAATTGAATTAGTCATAAAGTATTTATACAGGTTCACTGTGGATTTTCCATTTCAATGCATATGTACAGTAGACAGCACATGAGAATAGTATCTACAAACTGACAGCATGGCTGATTGGTTTCTTTTAATTGTCTACATGCCATAAAATGTGGAATATCTATATTATGACACCATTCGTGTTAGGGGGTCTCTCAGAAGGGAAAAAGGTTTCTACTCTCTGCCTCTGTGACAATTCCTATTGTGTTGAGATGGCTTCACGATGTGCACTTCCGTGCAGATAAAGCTCTTTCTGTCCATCTGTTTTCACTATGAGGAGTTTGCAGTCATGCTAGCTACAAATCATTCGCCTAGATTCACACCACCCACCTCTTGTTCACTTGGAGTCTGCAACTGAGAAGACGGCTCAATCAAACCAGCACCAGGCAAGAATTGTTTACTCCAAGTTTCCACCATCTACCATTCTTTAAATCTATGGTAATGAGCAAATGAGGGAGAAAGGCTGTGAAAAAGCGCTGCCTGCCTGGTCCACACCACTATTTCAACGTGCTGTATGCAGTAAAGCATCTGCTTGCAACATTAAATGGCGTGTATTTTCAAACGCCTAGAATTGTTTGCAGTGGGTGCTAGTTTACTACCATGCAAGATACAGTGAAGACATCTTTGAAAACCCTTCAGTATTTTACACTGATGAGCTGGTTGCATCAACACACTGGATGCAGCTTACATTTTGGACTAAAGCAGGTAGGCGACCACATGCCCCTTTTCAGCGTGTTACTACTTTGTCATCTTCTGGTTGGCCTCTCATGTACCAAAACCGTTAACAAAACACATCAGCAAGTGGCTAACAATTTAACAATCTAATTTCATTTGAGATAGGTCTCTGTTACAGAGTGATCAAAGGTCAATTTTAACCAATCTACAATCAGCACTTAAAGTAAAGAACGTCAATCTGATGGGCTATTGGTTATGTAAGCAATGGACTGAACAGATGGTGGTTGATCGATAATAAGAGGCATGAGGTGCGCCCAAATATGATTTGCGGTCTTGCAGATAAAATTTTGGTAGCACATGCGGCCAACATGGTTGCAGTTTTTAACCCTGTGAGCAATTATACAGTAAACTTCAGTGGTATGCTCACATGTTTACAAGATCATATCCACAAGGGTGAGGGGATGCAGTGTAAGGGGTACATAGCAGAGGTTATACAAGGATTTACAGGCCACTGCTGAGGAGCAATTGCCTCTGTTTCTCACCAAACCGCATCAATGTGTGCTGATGCATGCTTTATATCAGATCAGATCAGAAGGAGCAAAAATATATCAGCCAATGGTCTTGGCAGGGGTGTAAACTGTTGATGTCCTTTTTTAGGGGCTCCTTAACCTGAAAACCAAAACTGTTTTAAGTACAATTTTTTCTCTCAAACCCAATCATTTCATCTCAAGTATGTGTGTTTGAGTAGTGTTTGTATATGAGCGTGCACACTCACAGAGTCCAACGGCATAGATTGGTTACTGAGTTATGGGCCTGAAGTGAGGAGAGCCATTCCATCTGCCATCGGGCAACAATCCAAGTGACACATGACACCCTATTTCATGATGGTGGCATGCTCGAATGCACACACATACACAATTACACCACATGCCCATATGTATGTAAACGGTGGCAGAACCTGTTAGAAAAAGGACTTGTCTCTCTAATTCCTCGCCTTTTGTTTCATTCTGTCCAAAAGCCATCCACAAAAATTGGTGGATTTTACCATCATAAAGAAGAAACAAGACACCAAACAATATGATATCATGAGACCAAAACATCAAACTAGGCATATGCTATCATTTTAGGTATTTTCAGGTGATAAGGGTAGTGACGTACAATACCAGGAGAAATCTCACAGATTAAAAAAATGATTTTACATCTTCACTTCTATATGAAACTATTATTTTTGACCATGCATTTTGTCTAACAGCCCTTCCACAGGGTTTGAGATGTGTTTGGGCCATGCAGTAGAGAGGAGTGATGGAGTCAGGGTGTGCCTGAGAGCGGCTGCTTCAGTGCATTAGAAGGCTCCTGCAGGCCACATGATCCATGTAGACCTTGAGGATCACTAATTCTATTACATAATGCCCATCTCCAGCTGTAAGTGTGTGTGTGTGTGTGTGTGTGTGTGTGTGTGTGTGTGTGTGTGTGTGTGTGTGTGTGTGTGTGTGCTCTCTGTGGGTATCAGTGTGAGTGGCATTGTGCCAGTCTGTGTTACTTTTTGTCTTCCTCTAATGATTCTCAGGCATTAACAGCCCTCACATACGGATTTTGCTGATGTCATGTGATGAGGCAGCACCATTATTAAGGTATAAACTGCATGTAGGTCAATTATGTAAATGTATATTTTAGATTCCCCTTTTGATATCAAAGTCTGAGCTGCTTGGGATGTAAAATAAATCTTGGAAAAATCTGGAACACGACTGCTGTCTGACTCATGAGTTTCTTATTGATGTAGTCTCATCAGAGGCACTAGGAGCTGAAATGAAAGTCAGCATCCACATAAATCTGGGACTGCAGAGGAGTTTGAGAGCGCAGCTAAAACAAAAAGCTTTTTCTCACGCAGCATTTCATGGAACTCGTAATCTGGGCAACCAGTCAGACGTCTCGTCATCTCCAACCACGGCATGCCTTTGCCCATCTCTTCATCTTTCATCATTCCACCATGTCAGGTGTCACACAGTAATCACCATGGCAACATTAGTCAATTCAGACTGACCCCAGGGTCCCAATAAACTATGCTGAAAGATTTACAGCTGCCGCCCCTCCCTCTGCATGCCAAAGACTCGTTGGCCTTGCTAACAATGATGATGGATCGACTGATTAACAGGAACGGGCCGGCAGATGAGCTGTGACTTCTGAGGATCTCGACAACTCTCTCCTTTCACCAACCAGAGACAAGCAAGACCCCCAATTCTTCAAACTACATGTGATGCAAATGTTTGAGGTACAGTTCTACACTTTCAAAAAAGGACTTCTCACCAACACATGGAGTAGTCAACCAGAAGAGAAAAAGGTAGAAGTCCAAATCTGTTGGCTTAACATTAAATTCCACTATCCTAGCATAGACACTGTGTAGCGACTGATTTCCTTCAACAAAAAAGGCTGCTGGGGTTTAGGTTCACTTGCATCTGTGACTTGAAAAACACGTTGATCCAGGTTCAAAACTTTTGCCTTCAAATGAAAAAGTGATCTGATGAAAATGAGGTTAAAACAGGATGAGTGAAACGGTGAAACGGTCAACAAAAAATTATCAGAGCAACCCATTGTCTGACTACAGCGGTGAGATTTAAATAACCCACCAAACATCCCAAAACCACACCCCTCAGTGATGATCCCTGGAAGTGACTTACCTACAGAAATCACACTCTCAACAAACATATTTTGGCCCCTACACACTGATTTTAGATAATAATAATAATAATATTAATTCATTTTATTTGTATAGCGCTTTTCATGATACTCAAAGACACTTTACATAAAGCACACAATTTGAATATAGCAGTAAAATAAAATAAATAAATATAAATAAGTAAAATAGTCACATGTTAAGGGCAATTTTAAAAAGGTGGGTTTTCAGAAGGGATTTGAAGAAGGATTATCGTTAGATATTTTTAGTTTCCAAATTTTAAACATTTAGCAAATTTTGTAGCCTGTCACAGTACAGGTGGCCTTTAAAGTTGTGGTGGGCTGGCAAAAATTAAGCAATAACAGTAACCACTAATGAGAGGATGTCTAGTCAGGCCCTTACATGTGGAAATATGAGTCTTACACTTAGTTTCAAACATTCTGCTGAATTTTGATGCAGCATTTTTTTTTTTATGGAAGCACAAAGCACTTAATTGAGAGTTGTATAATTCCTGCATCAGCTTCTCATCATTGTAAGATTTGATCCCTGGTAACCAATTAATCAATCATATTAACTCCGCTGTTTTATTTATGTTTCAAAATACTAAAGCAATCCTCTCATTAACAGTCTCAAATGGATCTGAGCAGACGATTTGAGATTTGTGTGATTTATAAAGGGAAGTCACTGAGTTGTTCATCTATAAACACCTGAGCGTGTCCTAGTGGAAAAACTTTTTTGTGTTTTCTGTGCAGACGTTATCATGCTGTCACCGGTTCTTAGCCACTGTTTCAGAAACAACCTGAAATGAAAATCACCTCTCTCTGTGCAGTAAAATGCAATTTTCATTCTTGTCCTCAACAATTTTGCTAATATCCATCAAAAATAGAAGTTTCATTCTGCACCGAGCACCTCCCCGCACTCACGCATTATTCAATACAAGAACTTTATTGATCCCCGATGAGAAATTCATTCATAAGGAGCGTGTAGGGGCGGGGCTAACACACACAAACAGGCATCTTTCTCATACCCACTTTTGGTACGATACAGATGCAAGTGCTACTCAAATCATCAGGGGGGAGAGGGTTGCAACTTGTCAATATATCATCAATATATTTTATTGAACTCGTCTACAGAAAAATAGTGACTGGTTGACGGTTTGGCTGACAGCTGGTACCTGGAAACCTTGTTAAAGCAATTGGACCATTCCTTTACTCCAAGTTCTCAAAGTCTTCATTAACCGAGAGAAATGACTACTGATATTCATCAAAGGTATCTGATAAAGCAAAATCCCTTAATCAAAATATGATAGCATTTAGAGACTGACTCTTCACTTCTGGAATCATCTTGTGCTGTTCGAGCAGGTATGGATCAGGGGCAACATCAGATCCATGTATCAGGTGCTCAGCCAGCACACAGTAGTGGTGTGTAGACAGAAGGCTAGATCTGGTCTCGGAAGCACTGTAATCCTAGGCTGGCAGGTAAATATAGCCTGTGGCTGCTTCAGGCTGGGCTGAGTGCTACTTTGCTTTGCTTGACCTTGGCTCAGCCTGCCCTCCCTATCCTCAAAGGGGATGTAGAGGCACCCGTCTGCATTACTGTGATACCTATTACTGCTGCTTTACACAGAAACATGCATACCATAATATGTTTGACACATGATCTGACAGGAATGCTTCACCACATCCAGAAAAGCCTAAACTTGTTTGTTTTCATAGATCTTTACAGGAAACTAGTGAAACTTTATGGCTTTGGGAATTTTCTTCTTTTTTTGACTGCTGGAGAGAAGAAGGAAACTGTTTAGAGATGAGAGTGGGGGTAGATGAGGCACACACTCATGGCCAGGAGTCAAACCAGTGACTGCTATGACAAATACAAAAGCCTCTGTAAATGGGACTGCATTTGAACAAAGGAAGGAAAGTGGAAACCCAATAACACTACATATCTGTCTGCACAAAATCAGAGATTGAGCACGCTTAAGACTGAAACATGTTTCTTGGAAACGGATGATGAAGAAATAGGTAAAAACTTCAGATGTTAAAAAAATGACATTGTAATTTTGCTGCAGAGTAGATGTTTTTAATGAATGCTAATGTGCTTATATGAGTGCTGACCGCCCTTGTTCAAGATAGCAGACAGTAAATCTACTATGTGTCCTAGATGTCCTTCAGACCTACTGCATTTTGTCCTCTGTTACACATGTGCTGATCATGAGGAAAGACAAAACACAAATAAAGTGGACATGACAAACACATCCGCCCCTTGGACTCTATGAGAGGGCACATTTATTCTACATTTCACCCCTCGCTATACGGATATGCACTAAGGAGGAGGCATTGTTTTATCCTCCCACCATACTACATTGCACTATTCAACAATCAAACAATCCACTGAATGTCTACTTGACCACAGAATGTCTACTGTATATTGCACATTGTATATATATCATATATTTATTGTAGTATTTAGTCTAATTTTGTTGACTTATTACCTTTTTTTTCCTATCTGTCTTTAGCTTTAGACCGAGAAACAGCCAAGCAAATCTGAATTTCTCCCTTGTCTAAAAATATTTGGAATTACTTTTTATCTGTAGATAACTTTTTTTAATGAGCAACCTAAGGCATAATTCAGTCATTGTCCTGTGTGTTTTTTTGTGTGAGGATTAAAGCGGAGAGGAAAAAGAGAAGGCACAGGGGCCCAAGTAAAGTTTTGGATAATTAGGGTTGGGTATCCATAAGTTACATAAAAGCTGAATGAGATCCCCTGCAGTCCTGCTATTTCACTCACACACAAACCATAAGTGCATGCATGCACACCGACCGCCCCGGTGAAAACAAGAGTAAGCTAAGCGCACACACACGTGGATGAAGAGTACACACTATCCATTAGCAGATCTTTGGTTCCATGGTAATAAGTGCAGGCCTGAGGGTAACTGGGAAATGTAAAGGCTGGGGGAACCTCTTGCTGAGTTGCTACAATAAAAGGTTTTATGTCCCAGATCAGTCTATCCCATTAGTTATAGAGAGGTAGACATGAACCTAAAAAAAACAGCAGTGAAATTAAAAAATGGACGAGTTTCTCCATGTATTCCCCATTCACACCGTTTCATTTTCAGTTTATGTTGAACAAATTTGTATTTTATCTTAGCCATGTACTTTTGCTGCTATCCTGCAATTTTACACCTAAAATGATCAACTGATGAAGGCTACTATGCACCTTGACTCATCTGACTGCTATCAATCAAAATGTCTAACTTGTGTCGTTGTAAACACTTGAATTTAAATCTGTAGAATTGAGAAATCAGCGGCTAGAAGTGATGTGGTACACCGAGTAGAGAAGTCAGTATCAGTATTTTCACATCCATGGTTTATCATGAGGGACGAAGGATTGCTGTCCACTGATCTTACATTCTTGTGGCCCTAACAACCTCAACAAGATGTAAATTCCCATGCCATATCTCTTATAGAAGTCATACTCTTTCAAAGATTTGTTGTTAAACTACATGTAAAGATAACCTGTTGGTTATTGTGAAAGGCTTCAACAAGAGCTTCAGTATTTGGACCAAAAAGTAGAGAGGATAAAAAGTGTAATGACAGACTACCTCTCTTACTCCACCCTCATTCATATTTGGATCAATACTAGAAACTAGTAATGGGAACCCGCTCTGCATCACTACATGAACAATACTGAAGGACTTGCATCGGGATCAAGGCGAAGAAAAAACACTTGATCTGGACATCCTTAACCCATTGAAGCATAAATCAATAACAAATCAAACATACTTCATGGGTCTGTTGTGACTGGTGACTAGTAAACATGCAGCTGTGATCAATGATCCAAGACAGACTGACCACAGCATGGTCAGATAGTAATTCATAGTGGCAGGACTGCAGCCAATGAGTCAAGAATAGATTCTGTCACTGTAACCATCAATTGACCTCCATAATTCGTTTCTCACATTTCACATTGGATTGCATTCAGTAGGATTTTAAACTACATGTTGATCTTTGATAAGGAACATTCATCGTTTTCATTGAGAGTCACACTGGTCGATTTTAATCATTCTATAGTATAAACCTATTTCTCCAAAATTGTACAGCCATCATGGCAGGTAATTCATCCTAATACATTTTCTGCCTGACTTTTGTGTCTGACTAACCTGAGCCAGATGAGCCAAAAGAGCAATGTTGAATTCACAAAGCGTACACAAACGGTCAAGTATACCACAAAATTTAGTGCTGCTGAAGCACACTGCATCACTGTGAGCCAGGGTTGTTTGCAAATGAGCCATTATGCATTCATTAAGGCAGAAAAGGCCCCTTTCTATGCAAATGAGCCTAATGGCAGACAACAATTCTAATACTGGCACCAAAAGCAAAGCACATTTAGAGCAAAATTTTTACACTCTGCTTTTTATAAACATTGATAGACACAATATTATATTTAGTCTTTATATATATATGACTTTCACACTGTCTTCAAACAGGCTGTGCTATTACGCACAATCTTGTGCTCTTCCCAGAAGGCTGGCTGTACATGAACAGAGGAATTCTCGTCATATGTCATGAACCAACACCAAAATGGTCAGGAGTGTTCCCTCTTCAATCATCTCATCATATATATCAACTAAATTAAGTGCTGTCTGGACAGCAGAACTCTACTCAGCAGAGAGTAGAAATACTGACAGCTAATTTTATTCACAAGTGGAGACACACGGGAGAAAACTGCACAAAGATTGAGGGTTTTGTGGGCAAGTGTAAATGATGCATGATTTTTGATACTGTCTGCAGCTAATACTGTGTTATGAAAACTGGCGACATAAGTGGCAACTCTTGCATATACACATAACAACCCTTACAAGACCTACATGATGACTCTTGATCACACAAGACTCTTCACCTTGCTCTTCTGGTTGAAAGCCTTATGCTTCTTTCAGCCAACAAACACTCCTGACCAGCATCCATCACCATAGGTGGCCACTGCCTAACTGGAAATGACAATATGGGTTGCACTTATCTGATGCACAGCTGCCATATAAAGGCATGGCCCAGATCCTCTTGCACTTTGAGTGATTTTTCAAAATCTTGCACAGAGACCTGAGGAGTGGTAATAGATCTGTTTCAAACTTTTGACTCTGCAGCTGTTAAAAAAGCATGAAAGGCAGCGCAGATGGCAGAATGCCCCTGCACTGTCTTAGTAAATCTTTAACTAAATTACTGTCCAATCCATTCAGAGTTATGATAGGATCTCTGTTGGCACTGTAGTGAGTGACCTTTGTGCAAGAGGAGAAGTAGAGGGGGGAGATGCCATGCTGCCGAGTTTGATTTACATCGAATGGAGCTAATTAACATCTGGGAACATTAAGACCTGCCTGTGCCTCGTCTCTCACTCTCTGTCTCTTTGACTCGCTTCATCGTTCCTTTTTAGTGCATGGAAACAATCTACTGGAGGTAGAGGCTGGAGTCAGATGCACAGAGGGCAACAGAGAGAGTAAGGCAGAGAGAGAGAGAGAGGAGAGAGAGGGGGGATGTGTTGTAAAAAATATCGCTGAAGATTGGTTAGTGGGAATAAAGTCACTCATGCAAGGATTAACCACGTTTGGGTGCTTCCTTATGGCAACATGAATGCTCCTTAAACAATGCAGTACAGCAGGTGACAGCAGAGTAACAGGGATACTCTACATTTATTGTCCTTCATCACCACGGCAATGCTAAATTATAGGCCAAGGCTTTACAAGCCACTCCATTAAGAGACAGTTTTAACTGGTGAGAGCAGTATCAATGGGATACCAATGAAATCTTAAACCCACCAGCTTGTTTGATTTTCAAGGATAAATCAAATGAAGTGTCAATCATAGAAAACATGAACCCCCTAATAACTTTTAAAAACGGAGCTGCACTGAAAAAAGAGGACTTGAGCACAAACCAGTCTGACAGTAACTACATGTCAACATTGCAAGCAGGGGGGAGAAAAATGTATATTCTGTGTAATTAATTTCTAAAGTTTGTCCACAGCTCCATAGGGATTGATGGAGGGGGCGGAATTTAAGACCTATACTGCAACCTGTCACCAGAGGGTGCTGTTCTCGCAGTGGCTTCACCCAGTGAGGAGGCAGACGGTGTCCGTTCTATTTACAGTCTCTGCTTAATTCTAAAACACAGGATTAGAAACAAGGGCATCTCTAAAGCATTAACATGTGCTCTGAACAGTCACCTCTCTGATTCAAATAAATGTTTATACCATGATAAGACATTGATTCATTAAGAGATCAATCTTTTGGAACAATCCCTTTCTGGTGGGTAGCACATTGACTCACTTCAAGTCTTTGGCCGTGCAGTGAGAAATAACTCCATGTGAGGTTGGTGGTACCCCAAACAAACACGGCAGCATGCCGAGCTGCTCCACCAAAGGCACCAACAGAGCTCAAATCAGAAAACTCACAGACAGACAGAGAAGAGCTGGACACAAGCAAAGCCAATATGCAAAATGTGCAAGATGGAGGTCAAACACTGTGGAAATCCTACAAATCCACAAACCCATTCAACAAGGCATCACCAGACATTCAATTTGCAAAAATACACGATCCAAATGAACATCCAGCTCTCCATGTGCCAAAAATATCAATAAATAAACTGAAGCAGCTTTATTATGGAGGACATCCACAAGTGCTTTTGTTTTTTAGAAAGGAAAATTACAGTTAATCATTTCAACTACGAAGTTGAGCCTGCCTCTGCTTAACATAATGTGTGCATTTCCTTGCCTTTACTGCATACAAATCCAAGCATAGGGAAGGAGGTTCTCTATGCGCTAGCTCCTCCCCTGTATGAACTGCACCTTATGAGTCAATATGGGGAGGTGGAGGGGCTGGTGAAAATAAAACTTTAAAGTTTTATTTAAAGTAACAGTCGTTATCCCAAGACACCTTCCAAAAAAGACAGGTCTAGACCAAGCTCATTGTTCGATGAATTACCAAGACCCAACTTTAAGATGGGACAGATTTGACCCGTCACGTCTAACATGAGTGACAATGGCTTCCTTTCAACAGGCAGAAACCTTGGGAAGGACCAGACTCTTGTTAGACAGTGACAGAGTCGCTGCTGAGTTGGATGTATCCCTCAAATCGTTTTGATTCACACCATGTTATTTTTAATCTTTGGATGTTTTGATTTTTTTATGGATAAATATCCTTCTATTCTAGGTGAATTATTTTGCGTTTAACATATGTCTCGATCATGAAACAACAAGGTTCTGTTTATATCATGAGGTTCTACATAGTTCTATATATGGAGAAAATTTATTAAAACACTGATTTTTCAACATAAAGGATGAAAAAAATCAAAAGTTTTTAATGGCTGTAGAATTACAAAAGTGATTTTGGGCTACAGTAGGAAAACAATATTACACTGTTCCACATCATTTCCACCACCACATGATCCTGGTTCTTTAACTGAAAGAAAAAGAATAAGCTCAACATAAACATATGGCTAAATGTCTACCGAATTGTCCAAGAAAAGCCGAGCAAATCTCTGCTTTGCAGTCAGAACCTAAATATTGATATATTTAAGGCTACAGATTACGCTCAACAACCTCACAGCTTTCTCTGCAGATTCGGTTTGGGACTCGATTCTTCCTTTGTGCTTCTGTCGTTCTAACAAACACTCACTCGCTGACTGTATTTCACATCAACACTCATGTACACACATCTCTCAAAGTGACTACGAAGACACCCATCCATGCTCCCTGTTGCCACCAACGGCACATTAATATGTGCATGCAGACATATTGCAGAAATAGAGCTGGCATTTGAACAATGAGCCCACTCTGCGTGGCATATAGTTGTCGAGTAAACGGAGGAATAAGACTGATCAGTTTTCCTTCACACGTTTAACCAGTACGCTTCACAGTGCGATACGTTGTTCATAAATCATGTTGGTGCTACCGGGCATGAGTGCACGGCGGCACAACCCCAATATAATCTGCACCTAGAGGCAACAGTCAGAGAGGGAGAGTGCAGTGGAGAAGTGAGACGAAGGGGTGAATGAAAGCTCTCATGCCTACACAATGATCTCCTGCAAGCCTACTTCCTGACAACACATTCAAATGATAATGTATTAAACAAATAACATCACTAATCTAATAAACAGATTTTTAGTCGAACAAGACATGCAGCCTACGCAAACCAGAAACACACATACAGATGGGTGAACATTGCATGTGCTGTTTGAGTGTTCCTCCATCTTCCCCCTCCATTTTAAATCTCCCCCAGTGAAAAAACCTGTAATATGGGGGAAGACACAAAGTCTGACACCAACACAGCTTTCTGCAGAAGAGCAGAGCATGCAGAGCATGTCAATGGAGACGTGGTTACATGCACAAAATTTCTCGCGGTGCATCACACTCCGGACATTAATATGAATGAGCTGCACCCATGTAAGGCTCAAATCTGTGAGGAAAAAACAGGACATTGCCTATTATTTAATCACCAGCATATGTTGGTCACACCTCTAACAGCATACCAATCAAGATCAGCCTCCTTCCCTTATATGTGTATGACTGACGGAGGGAACACAACCTGTACCAGAGCATATGTGCTTGACTGGTTAGCCTACACAAACACATGCACAGCACACACACCAGCTGAGGCCGCAGGACCAACTGTGTAATTATACATGTGTAATTGCATCCCCACCAGACTTGCACAAAGATGCAGCAACAGAGAGAGAGAGACTGCCAGCAGGATGGAGAAAGGTTTGTACAGGGTGGAAAGATGGATGTGAGAATCATCGTCACCTCCCCTGTCTCTTGCAATTGCCAGCCATACCTTGCGCCTGCGGTCTCTGGATCGATTCCTCTTTTTTAACTTTTCCTCCTCCTTCTCCCTCTGCTCCTGGGCGGCGGCCTCCGCAAGGTCCTTGGTCTTGCGGAGCTGCTTGGCGGCTTGCGCCATGGTGCCGCTGCTACTGCTGCCGCTGCTCCAGTCACCGTTGCTCCAGCACTCCTCTCGTTTGCACTGCCACCAGTCGTCCCTGTTTCCTCCTCCTGCGTCCCTCTATCCCCCGAGCCCCGTCACTTACTACCTCGTCTCTGGTGGCCACCACGACATGTGTGTGTGTTTGTGTGTGTGTGTAAAGCAGGCAGGAGGACGTCCGTGTCCAGAAATTTGTGTGTGGGTGGAGGATGTTGATGCTACGGCAGCCACTAGACAGCCTCCAGCAGCCACAAAAGAAAGATGCTACAGCTAGTGGTGCTGATGCTGCTGCCTGTGCCGCGGCTGCTACTCATCCAGTCAGTTTGCACTGCGCTGAATTGGCTCCCCTCCCCCCTCCTTCTTTCCTACCTTCCACCCTTCTCTCCTCTCTCCTCCCTCACTCCCTCCGCTTGCACAGACCAGTCACGCAGTCCTGTTCGGCACGGTGGGGATCCTGCAGCAGAGCGCCCTCTTTTTATCTGTCAAATGTCCTCCTCTTCCTGCTGCTCTGCCTCTTCCTTCACAGTCTCCCTCCTGGGTAGAAGATTTTCTTTCAAAGTGCTGTTGTTTCTTCGCACAAGTGAGGTACAAATGATGAGGGCGCCAAAGCTGCAAAATGCCTTTGGAGGATTTTTTTTCTCACCTCTCCCTTTTCTCTGACCATGGCACCTCCTTCCTGGAAACAGATGGAGAGGAAGAACGGTGGTGAGAGAGGTGGCATTTGTCTGAGAGAAATGGATATCATCTTTTATTAAATATTATGCATTAGTAGAGTGCTTCTTCTTATACAGCAGGAATTTTTCGTTTTAACGTCAATTACTGACGTCTAAGTGGTCAACCATTAACATTAACAGCAGCCCCCCCTTCCCTCCTTTTTAAGTGTCAGAAGCAGACAGGGAGGAAAACATCAACATGAATACTTCATAAAAACTGCATGTCCTCTGCTTCCCTTTTTACTCCACCACTTTTCCTTTCTGTGTCACATCAGGAGAGCATGCACAGATGTTTGGTGTTGCAGTTCAGTAAGAGATGAGTAAACCACAGCATGAGCAGATGAAATGATTTGAAGATGTCATGGACAGAAAGATGGTAGGTGGTCTTCTACATTGTCAAGTTCACATAGTCAATCATTGTTGCTGGCTGAAAATAAACCATTTTGAAGTCACACAAATGACTCAAGTATAATATTATCTATCATGTATCTTACTTCAGTGATGAGTATAACGTTGTCTTGTTGGTTTCAGTTTTAATATAGGTTCTAGTGCCAAGTTTTGCTAACAGCAAAATGATAATGTTCCCCTGTGATATTGATTAATGTTGGAAAATAGGCTTGAATGATTTTAGATTATTTTTTGCCAATCTCTTTAGTCTTATTTTAGCTCATACTGAAGTATATCACCTATCCTATTTTGTATTTTAAAGAACACCAAGTCTTTCCTATAATTACTTACTTTTCAACAGTCTATTTGTTTTCAAAGCCAAAATGACACAAGTCGAACAATACTTAACATTAAGGATGATGAATATAACATTTAAATGACGGATGATTTGAACTGGACCTCCAAGAGTCTGTCGAGAAGTTAATATGAGTACCATCAGAAGCGAGTCTACATGGCTGAAGACGAAGCTTTGGAGTTCAGGTAAGACTACATCTGAGAAGTAACAGTGGCTAAGTATAGCCACAGACTCTTCCTCTATCATTAGCTTGTAAAGCCTACATCTTCCACCTCACTGAAAAGCAGGATGTTGAGAGCAGGGAATTCAATTAACTTTTTTGGGGTGAGCTCTTTTATCTTTGTGAACTCACTCACTGCTATAATGCTCAGCTCAGTTTGTTTTTTGTTTTTGTCTGAAGTCAGGGCTACTAAAAACTTTATGTTGATGCTGGCTGTTTTTCTATTTATTTTAGGATGATGGTTCAGGATGATGCAGTTGAACTAGTCATGTAACAGAAGAGCTGTTTTGCTCGTCTTTGCACCACATGTGCGTCAAAGTCATCAAACTAGCCATTTTGCTGTTTTCTTCAATAGTACTTCATACTACTGGCCAACACTTTTACAGTCATTGTTGGCATGCTTAAGTTGTCAATAGCAACAATAATTTTAACTTAATTTACTTGACTTGTATCTGCTGCCAAATTATGTAAAACTTAAATCTAATTGTGTAATTTGAACTTGATGTATTTACTTTTTATGGAACCATTTTCAAAGAGAGAAGACGCCCTCAAACCAAATTTTTCTTGTTAATCCCCCTTCTTGCATTTGCATCATCTTTGTATCATATAATGCTGAAATATAACATACAGCGCTGCATTCTACAAATAGCACGTCTTTAGGAAAATTTTCACACCACATTCAACTGCCAAAAGATTTACACCAGATCTGTTCAGTCATTACAGCCTAAAATCTATGAGATCAATACTGATGTCAATAGGATACTCCCTCGGGAATATTTTGAATGACATTTCGCCTCTGACAAATTATATCACCCCACATTATCAGGGCTTGCCACTGTGTTTCCCTCGTGGACTAAATATATAGCTGTTCCTCCAAGTGACAGTTTTTGTTGTTTTCTTGGGCCTGGTGTTAATGGACCTATCAAGCTGGAGGTAATAAATTTAGTAATGCCATTTCCCCCTCCACAGCACTCTAGATTGGCCTGAGAAGCACAATGGTCTTGAGAAATGGCTGTCCGTGTAACCTGACTAATACTTCTAAATGACCCTCGGGGCTATGTGCATATTATTAAGAGTAAATAGGCAATGAGTTTCCTGGCACAAGCTTGATCCTGCTGTAGAGCTTCATTCAGTAATGTGTCAAAGGTCTTTGGAAAGCACACACATTTCACGTGACCAGTCAATTAGAAACCTGAATGAATGAAATAAAATGATCAATACAGGGTACTAATGTTTTTGTGCTGCCACAAAAACTCACTCTTCACTTTAGCAGGAAAGAGGTCATGATTCCCTGATGTTTACATAAAAATCTGCCTCTTCTTTATGAAATATGCATAAACCAATGTGGGTTGACAACTACTTTCTGAAAACTGATGTTCTTTCTTTCATGGAATCCAGCGATGGAAAAAAAATACCCCAAAAGCTGTTATTCACAAAAAAAGAAAGGAAAAAAGAAACTCTAAAGCTATGAAACATATTTTCTGCCATGCATATTACTTCTTTCCAGTGCTGTTGTAGTATAATACAATATTTTTTGCAGTAATTTTGGTAATGCATGCATCTCTTCATTGCTGTAATCTCAGTGTATGCGTAATTATTCCCTTCAATTAGAATTAAAAATAGTTTCTTTTTGTATTACACATGGAAACACATGTTTTGTACAGCTTTTGAGGGGTTAAGTCTTGGTAAATTCAATATTTTGGCCTGTAATAATCATGAGTAAACTGCTATTTGGTCACTAACTTTAAGTTTTCTCTGGTTGTGGCAGGAGCTGTAGTTTTCTGTTGTTTTGACATGTAATTTTCTTCACATGTTATTGTCTTGGAAATAATATTTTATGCCTGGTGAAAATCAATAGGTTGTGAAATCATACACCTTGGTTGTTTGGTAGACTTCTACTGAAAACTATGACTAGCACTCAAATGTGGCATTGACAGTCAAAAACAAGTTTTTCTGAGGCAATGACAAAGTTATGTCAGAATTACCAGATGACTTTTTTGCATATATAATATTATGCTGTCGTCCTGAACTAACAAGATAATTATCTCCCTTATTTAGAAAAACAGTGTGAGTTAATAACCCACATTCTTTCATAATTCTGAGATCTGGATTTTCCCCCCCAAAAAGTTAAAACAATATGGCTCCATAAATTGAAACAAAAAGAGGAAAGAGGATTTCACCTAGCCTACCTCAAACCTCCTGGCAAACACATGCTAGTGAAGCAGCGTGGTGTATACTTGCAAACCTATAACTGTGCTTACATGAGCACAAACAATCAGAATAAAGGCCCGATCGGAATAAAATGTGTCAAGTAATCATGTCAATCGGGAGATTCTGATCCAATTCGGCTCAATCGGAAAGAAACTGCATCCCGATCGCGAGAGGTGGTTTATGCTAATCGTTATTTCGAACATGTGAACACTTATTCCGATCGTGACTCTCTTACCTGACTCGGTCCTCACTCTTTGGCCTTCAGCTTGCTCAATGAGGTCAGTACAGGAGATTTTGTTACTAATTCCCTGGCATAAAACAAAGTCGTAAGTGCCGTGTCTGCTCCTCCGGTAACATAACAAGGCATACATACAGCGTAATGACGTCACATCTGCACGCACAGTGCAACCTTTGACAGAACAGTAAAATAAGTACGCAAGGGCGCCATCTAGTGACAATATTTAACAGGGGGAAAATCCTGAACGGTCTCTTTGCACAGCTCCACTACTTTCTGAATTTAAGGCAGCTCATTTATTTCCTGTCTTACATTATTCGACAAACTGATTAATCCAGGTGCGACTGATCAGTGTAACTGCTCAGACACATCTGGATTAATCAGTTTGTCAACAACTCTTCTTCTGCGGTTGTTTTAGCGGAATTGGACAACTCTGCGCATGTCCAAATGCTTCTAATTTGAATAAAGCCTGGTGCATGTATACGCACGTCATGATCGGATTGTTTGCCAATATAATCCAGATTTTTCCGATCCCTCAAATTTCTAATCGGACCAAGGAATCTGCCATGTAAACATGGCTAATTAACAGGTGAAGTGTAGTGTCCTAGTTCCTTTTAGCAGGAGCTGAGCAAGCAATGCTTAAATCTAAAGCCAATGCTACTTTCTTAAATATAAGGAAATTAACCCACTACCTTTTCTTTGGTACAGAAATAATCTGTTATTCTGCACAAATGGGTGGCACCAGAACTCAGATGGTCTGGTCCATATGTTTTTCAAAACACATACATTTACAAAAAAGATTCAATGATAGAATCACTTGGGGAAAAAAAGTTCTGAGTAGTATTCAATCACTGACAT